CTAACCCTAACCCTAACCCTAACCCTAACCCTAACCCTAACCCTAACCCTAACCCTAACCCTAACCCAAACCCTAAACCCTAACCCAAACCCTAACCCAAACCCTAAACCCTAACCCACTGGCTTCGCTCATGACGTGCTTCGCTGTACGCCTGTAGACTGGCAGTCACCGCCGCCGCTCGGTGGGTATCGCGGCCTCGCAACGTGGCCACCGCCTCTTCCAGCAGCGTACTCAGGACGAGGGCATCTTCCACACCGAATCCGGCACCGGCCCCGTGGTGCGGCGATGAGGCATGGGCTGCATCTCCGGCCAGACACACGCGGCCGAGCGCGTAGAAAGGAGCAGGATAATCATACGTGTCGAAGATGGCCCACTTTGTCAGCTGGTCGGGCAACAGATCAATCATGCCGCGGACCGCCGGGCTCCAGTCTGTAAAGGCCGCAACCACCTCGTCCCGGCTGGCGGGCACATCCATCTTGCCCTCTATCGACCAGTCGTTCGGGTCGTGAACAAAGGCGACCACGTTCATCATTGTATGCATGGCCACGGGGAAGTTGAGCACATGGGCCTTGGGCCCCATGTGCATACACTGGTTGAAAGCGCGGTCCTGGCCGAGTGCCGCAACCGCTGCGTCCATTGGAATGAGCCCGCGATACGCGACCTTGTGGGTGTAGTGTGCGTACGACGCCGGGTTCTCTTCGCCAAACATCTTTTGTCGTACTCGCGATTTGATCCCGTCGCACCCTACCGCTGCAAGATCATAAGTGGTTGGTCAGTTACACTGCTCTCTCAACGCAAACGGGGGCTCTTCATGTTCACCAAGATCTGCCTCTGCCGTGGTCCCATCGCAGAACTGCAACAACAATTTCTGGTCGTCTCCCCGATCCAAATAGGAGTCAAAACGCTTTCGGAATTCCACCACTCCGGGAGGCAGGAGTTTGACCAACTCGGCAAGGAAATGTGCCCGGTGGCAGCCATCAAAGCCGACGTCGCCTGCGTAGATCTTGAATAGCAACTCCTCGCGTGTGTCCGTCGGATCGTCAGTGCGATGGTTATATCCGTCAACGTATTGGTAGTAGTCATTTGGATTCTTGTTGGCGACTCTCTTCATGGATTCCAGGATGCGAGGGTCGAGCAGCTCCATGCACCGCTGCGCGTTGGCTGTGAAGGCGACTCCGGCGCCGATTTCGTGGAACTCCTGGGCCTGCTCGTAAACCTTGACAGTAAATCCTCGTCGGAGCAGTCCTAGAGCCAGGATGAGGCCCACGATGCCGCCACCCATGATGGCGACGTCAAGTGCGGCCTTGCTCGTCGCAGCACCTTTGGTGGCCGTCATTGCTGGATTATCTGTTCTGGGGCTCCTCCTTTGGCGCTTGTGATCTAGAGGGATACACGAAATAGTGTACACTGTGGAATTTGGGTGACGACAGGGCGATCGCATGCCGTCCCAGGTGCATGAGATCCGATTCCTTTGTTTGAAATCAACCGCTTACCACCATCGGAGGAATTAATCAACATAATCAGTAGTGGCTGGTCCGGAGCATTTTCGGCAGCAGGAATGCACGTTTGCTTGCAAACCCGCACATGTTAAATCCTCCGAGCCCAAGTTCCTCGCCGTGTCACGTCTCTTTCATTGTCTCTCGGCTGTTCCGACTCAAGGGCCGTTAGCAATAGGTTCAGCTTGTCTGACAGCGAATGCCGCTTTTTCTCTACCTGGCTCTACAGCAAGACTCGGCTCGACTGGCTACCAACCAGAACACCACGACAAGAGGGATTAGAACGAGGTGGGGAAAATGGTTGAAATACCCAGAAAGACAGTCCTGATCACCGGCTGTAGCGAGGGAGGATTAGGAGCTGCCCTGGCCCGATGCTTTGAACAAACGGGCTTCCATGTCTTTGCCACTGTCCGCGACCCCGGGAAAGCGGCTTCGCTTCAAGGCGAGCATATCGAAGTGCTGCCCCTTGACGTTACCTCGACCGAGACAATTCAACAGGGCGCCGATCTGGTGCGATCCAAAACGGGCGGCACGCTAGACGTGCTCGTGAACAATGCTGGGTCCATGCTCATGGGTCCTTTGCTGGATGTCTCTTTGGACGAGAGCCGGCAGGTGTTCGAGGTTAATGTGTGGGGGATGCTCGCAACAACGCAAGCGTTTGCTCCCATGTTAGTCCAGAGCAAGGGAGTTATGTTGAACATCTGCTCCATCGCCGGAGCCGTCCGAATGGCCTGGCAGGGTATGGACTAGCGAATCCCCTCTCTGCTGGTTGTGCTTTCTGGGAAGTAGTTTGTGCTGAGCTGACTACGATCGTCTCTTTAGGGATCTACAATAGCTCGAAAGCGGCGGAAACATGGCTATCTGAGACCATGCGCATTGAGATGGAGCCACTGGGCGTGCGGGTAATCACGGCCATGGTGGGTGAGGTCGAGACCAAGATCTACCACAACGGCCGGTCCCTCCAGCTGCCCCAAGAATCATATTACAGGACTGTCCAGCACATTATCGCCGACCAAGCGGCCGGAAAACTTCAGAAGAGCAACGAGCGGGCCGATGTGACAGCACGGAACCTGGTGCGCGATGTCCTGAGCGGCCGTTCTGGCTTCACCTGGCGCGGGGGCGTGGCTGGAACTGCAAAGCTAGCGTTGTGGTTGCTGCCCACGCGGCTGTTTGTGAGTAACTGCGGCCTTGCTTTTGCTGCCGGTGATTAATACTGATCACTTAAAATGACTCAACAGGAAAAGATCCTTCATTCGAACCGGGGAGTTTACCAAGTGTGTCCGCCCTGATGTTGGGTGAACAACGATAGGGAATGTTTAGCAAACAGCCACTGAAATGCCATGATTATGTGGAAAGACATTGTGTCTTCAATAGAATAGTTTACTTCTTCAGCGTTCGACATGGCTGATATGTGGGCATTTACCCCCGTAGAAATATATATCGGGGATACCTATATATGCGGTAAGCTTCCCGTAGCCACACTCGACTTCATTAAAACTACAGTCCGTTACCCATGTAGAATCTTAAGGTAACATTGCAGTGAAAGTCCATGATATTCGTTACTACCTTGATGATTATCTTGATCAGATTCCTACTGTACGGAGGGTGGTGGGTGAAGATATTCCTACTGAGTGAGAATCACGGGGCTTGATCACGGCCATACGACCCGTATGTCGACAATCTGCAGTGGAATAGATTGTAAAGACTCAATTAGAAAATCAGATAGACGGTTTATGTGATCCGTAAGATACCTGGATAGACGCTTATCCGATATATTGGGAATATAGTTTCCACTCCGGATCCTTGTCCAGGCCGACAAAGTCCTCCTCGGTCATGCAAAGCAAAGCGTCAATGTCTCCTGCCTCCGTTCGAGGCATAAAGTAGATATCGCTCTTGAGAGGCGCAAAATTGGGGCGCCTCACCAAGGCCGGCTTCCCTAGTGGACCGAACTCGACCCGGTAGAGCTGCACGTCTGCCCAAGACGACGATCCAATGTCGGTTTCGGGATTGAAGTTGCCGCCGTACGAGATGATTGATCGATCCGGTTCATTGGCGATAAGCGTGGCAAAACTACGGATGTAGTACTCATTGTTGCTCACCTGGAGATCCTTCCGCAGGGCGGCGGTCACCACGGCAAGGGGGGCCTGTGCCAGTTCGCCCAAGGCGAATCGGGACGTGGCGATTATGACCAGGTCTCCCATGTATTCTCGAGGCACCCCCATGGCTGGTCGCGCGTTAACAGCACGACAGAACTTGGTCGTTGCCGTCGTTGCTCCCCCTCGGCGAAGACGCACTGTCCCGATGCGCTTCCAGCAGAATGCGCTCAATGCGTCGTTGGTCGAGATGTAGGGGACTTGAGAGTCGGGCGGAAGCCCGCCGAATCCCTCCTGGGCCTGCTCCTTCAGCTGCGCCAGCTGGCTCCGGGAGAAGCGATAGTATCGCCAAAAGTAGCCGGAACCTTGTCCCAGCACCGTGGGGTCGGGCCTTTCCGACGAGACGGTCCGCTTGAACTGGCTGTGATCCAGCCTGGGCTTCCCGTCTCGCAGTAAAGGAACAATAGACCGGCGGTCTCGATTGCCTTGCTCGATGGCATGGAGGGGGAATGCTTCTCCACGCATCGCAGTAGCGAGCAGGACAAAGCATTGCTCGATTCCCGTCATATCGATAATATTGTGTTGGGCCGCGCAGTCAACCAGGATTCCTCCCTCCACCAGGTTCACCTGAAATACGAGAACGGGGGCCGGTTCTTCATCGCTCTCTTGGTAGCTTTCGGGAAATGCAGTGCGTGGCGCCAGAACCTTCCCGTCGAGAAGCCGGATGGGCCCTCTCGCACTGACAATCTCGTCGTAGGGTGGGGCGATGCTGCGACAGTCCTTGAAGCGAATAATGGAGTTAGGGAAAATGGAAGAAGGTTCATAGGCAACCACTCTGAACACTCCCGAGTCGTCAATAACCCTTCCTGCTAGCCAGGGAAACGCGGTGGTTAATTGATTCGCAGCTGCCATGAAGGATGAGAGAATGGAATCGTGCCAGTCATCCAGGCCGGATTTACCGCTATAATCTCTGGGGGCTGGGAAGCACAACATTAGGTGACTATAGGTCTTCAAAAAGGGCAACTGGCCCAGAATGTCTTGGAGATGATTGAATGCATCCATTGGAGAAGGATGAGTAGTGGGAGTAGTAGGAGTAGTAGGAATAGTAGGAGTAGTAAGGCTAGCGAGAGAAATGTTAATAGAGTAGAGAGAATTTACATGCTCTTATAGCTCTACTCTCACTGCCAAGTTAACCATCGGAAGGTTTCTTGCCCATGCACATCCCCAATCCGAAAGAGACGGCGACCCAGTATCCTGCATCCGTCTTCAAGGATTAGGCTCTCTCTGTTTGACCTCCCCGTATCCAGATCTACGAATGATCCTCAATGGTGTAGACAAGCTTTCCGGCAGATACCTGGCCAGCTTGCAATTCTGCCAACCCTTCCGGGATCCCGGCCAAGCCCCCGTCTCGCTGGTGGACCAGGAGATCCAACTGCAGCCGACGCTCTCGCAGTAGCCCCGCGGTCATTTTCCAAAAGCCCCGGGCGAATTCCAGATGATCTGGCTTGGCAGGCTGTGGTTCCCCCAGGAAATGGTAGCTCTCGCCAAACGCTGCAGGCACAATCAACAGGTCAATTCAAGTACACTTCGGCCGGATGGATACACACCTGTGTACCCCGACGTCCAGCCGTGCTGGACGTCGCGCCGAGGGAATTTTCCTGCCACTGGCAATGTGGCCGTATAAACTGCCTCACCGGGTCTGGTCGTGAGTGCGTCGGCGCAGATTTGTAGACTGTCGCCCTCGGCTACACAGTCGAATGCGAAGCGGAGGTCGTTCTGGGTGGCCGCTCGGATGGTCGCGCTGCAAGCCCTGCCATCATGGTAGTCAAAGACCTCATGGGCCCCCAAGGTCTTCATCAGCGAGAAATTACGCGGCGAGCACGTCGTCAGAACATAGCAGCCGGACAAACGCGCAAACTGTACAGCGAACATGCCTGTCGCCGTGGCGCCCCCATTGATAAGGATGGCGAGTCCGGTCGGTCTGCTAAGGGTATCCTTCTCTACGGGGAGAGGGAGCTTCATTGTCTGATACAAGGCTACAGGGGTGGTTAGCCCGGACCATCATCTGAACTTGATCTTCTGACCTTGACCGATCGTGTTGATGCCCACAGGAATGGTGGCGGCTTCCGCGTCGCTCACATGGTCCGGCACCGGCAGGGAAAGACATCCTTTCAGCAGTGCATACTCGCCAAAAGCACCGTTTGTGGGATCTCCTTGCCGTAAGCCGTAGCAGAGTCCTGCCACGCGGTCCCCCGGCCGATAGTTCCAGTGAGTTTGCTCCCCACCGGCGACGACAATTCCCGCCACATCACAGCCAATGGTATGCGGCACATCCTGTCTGTAGGCTCGCACACCTTTCCAGTCGGTGGGATTGAGCGCCACACTGTGCACCCGGATCAGAAAGTACCCCGGGCGAAGTGAGGGCACGGGGGCCGTCTCGTCCACGAAGACATCATCCACCGCGCGGACCTTCACCGCTCGCATTGTTTCAGGGACCGCCATGTTTCTGGGAAGACAGAATTCTGACTCGTTGCTGGAATTGTGTGGTTGAAAACATAATATGCCCCATTGCTATCGGACATACTTCGGCACGTTAGGGAAAACCCCCCGATGTTCCGAGGCCGAATGCACACCGGCAAAGACCAAGCACAAAAGGGCACAGATAGAGACTGTCATGTTGTCCCTGGACGGATGGGCCTTTCATATCACCACGTAAATTAGACACCCGAATCATTCATACGATGGCGTGGAAGGAGATTCGGCCGGGTCACTGGGAGCGCCCCTTGGGAGAAAGTGAAGGCATGATTAAGATGATCGGAGACGGAGGCAAGAAGATTGGGAAAGATATCTGGTGTATTTCGATCACAGCACGCTTTACTGCCCATTTGGACAACGCCGAAGGAGACGGATCGCTGACTACAGCGCTTCGCCGGGGATGGAAACTCCTGCGTTTCCATCATCCGTCGATTGCCACCACGGTGCGCGAGGACACTGCTCGATATGACGTACCGGACTGTCTGGCTTTGGAGAGATGGGTATCGGAAACGTTCATTGTGGTCCACGGCGAGGTCCATCCTGACGATCTTATTGCCCAGCTACCTCCACGCCCGCTGGCGACTGTCCACTACCTTGAGCATGATTCCAGCCTTGTGCTGCAACTTTCCCACTGGCGCACCGACGGCATTGGTGCGTTGCATTTATTGAACGCCTACTTTGAGGCTGTTGTCGACGCATTGCAGCAGGAAAGGCCGGATACGCTGCCCTGGGGCGAAGAAGTCTCCCGCCTCGTGCCGAGCGTGGAGGAGGCGCTGGGATTGCCGTCGACGCCGACTCCCGAGGCGGAATGCGCTGCGCAGAAGTATCTTGATACTCTTGCTCATTACCGGGATGCCCTAAGTACCCCATACAGGTCAGGCGGGAATATTGCTCCTGGGGCAACCCGCAGCGTCCACCGTGCCTGCTCAGTTGCCGAGACCACGCAGCTGGAGGCTGAATGTCGGCGCCAGGGACTCGTACTGGCAGCAGCTGTCCATGCGGCCGTCACGACAACCGCCTACGACATCGCAGACCCTGCCTTGCGGCGCTCTCACCATAGCACCACCATGCGGCAGAGCCTTCGTCCCAACTTGCCGGCGCCGTATAACGGTCCGGGAGGAGCGGCCAGCCTGTATACCGCTGGCTACGTGGTGAAAGTGCCCCCCTCGCAGTCGTGGTCGCAGTACGCCAAGCAATATGACGCCGAGTATCGCCGAGGCGCCACGGCGGAGCTGCTCTCCTCCCGTCGACACTACTCCCGGGTCATGAAGGCGCTGTTGCAAAAGGGACCATCACCGAACCCTCCGCCCAGTGGTTTGGATATCTCTTACATCCCCGATGCTGCAGCTCTCGTCGCATCGGTCCATACGAACCCGCTAGGAAAGATGGAAATCAGTAGCATTGGGATCAGAGTGGAGGTCGTTTCCCGTCATATGTACGTTTTTGGATGGGTGTTCAACGGGCGACTCGAGCTACATTTGGTTTACAATGAGTCATTCTACCACCGAGACATGGCGGAAAACACGGTAGCTCATGTCCAGAAGAATCTGTTCTCCAATCTACGCTCGCACAGTTCATGAATATGGTGAGATGACGAGTTCTCAGCTGCCTCTATCTTGAAGTGTAGTAGGAGACTGATCATCGTAGTAGGTAGGGAACAATACATGATAGAGGCCATCTATATATCCATACTCAAACCAAAAACTGGCCTGCTGCATCCCCCTCCTCTAGGCCACCTGGATGACCGCCGGTCCGTACAACGTTGCATTCGTCACATCTTCTGCGGTAACGAAATTATGTCCGATCTCGACGACGGATGCCAAAGTCATGCCATGCATCACGTTATGTGCGAAGGGAAAGTCGGCGCTAATCTCTGTCACAATTGAATCACCATCTGCAACATGACCAATAACGCGGTAGGGCACCACAGTTGGCACCAATGCGCCATTGATGAATGCCACACGCTGTGTCCTGTCGTCAACGGGACCGGGGACGCGGAACACCACCGAGCCTGTTCCTCGCACCGGGGTCCGGACGTCCAGGGGTGGGAAGATACGCAGAGGGATCGCTTCCAAGTTGGGGCAGCTGCCAGGAACAATGAAGCGCTGCAGCCAGCTGAAGTCAAACTCGCGCGTCGAGGAAGTTAGAAAAGGCTCGGCGCTGGGATGCAGGCCCCGCAGAGAGCGAAACCATCCAGACTGCTGCCCTTCCTGTCCGAGCGCCTGAGCCAGGACGTATATAATGGAACTCGAGGCGGACCCCAAGCTCCGCGCGGTGCGCTGCTGGATATTGGCCAGGAGGGCGATGTACATGTCGGTAAAGGTCTGCGCCAGCGCGATGGCGGAGGAAAAGTCGGACACTGGGAAGAGGTAGGCGCAGGGGAAGATATGCGAGCCATTTGTGAAGTGTCGCACCGCATCGTTGGCATTGTACGCATGCATTTCCTCTTGCTGTTATCGTTGTCAGTGAGAGAAAGAATCTTCGAGGCGAAAGGAGTGGGTGAAGGTAGCAATGCCTACTGCTTGAATGGCCCTCAATGAATTGAGGATATAATCTTCATGCTGCGGCGCCAGCTGGTACCCGGGAACCCGGTCTGTGATATTGGCGAGCAACTGGGTAAAGAAAGCCACCTCGATGAATTCATGGAAGGCTTGTAACTTCCAACTGGTCAGGGAATCGTCGTCAAACTTGGGTGCCAGCGGGGCATTCGTGAAATTGCCGCCTGCGCGCGTGAACAGCTCCTCCAGAGCGGTATTGCTGGGAAATGGGAAACCATTAGGAAGGGGATAAGTAAATGGACTAGCGAGGCTCACTGCAGCAAGAGGGAGGACAGTGAGGAATGAGTAGTGCATGATGGCTTGGAATGGCTCCTCCCGGTCAGTTAACAAAACGAACATCAGCAGAAAGAGAGGATCCGGGAGCAGGAGAAGAGTCCATACACCTCGTCTCGGCTCAAGGAAAACAAGCAGATTCGTGGCATGATGCAAGCCTCCTTCGGCTGTGGCGCCTCGCGTACGATGAACCGATCTGCCATGTTCTGCAGGCCAATGCTGCCTCTCAAGTCCTTCTGCAATATCGCTGACCGACTCCCCTGTTCGCCGACTGATTATAGGATTCAGAGACTTGATTGGTTCGGGGGATTACCCAAGGGCAGAGAATGCAATTAAATCCTCCAGTTGGTACCATTCGAATGGTGATTGGGCATGTAGCAGGGCGTCGGAGCCTTTTGGTAGAATTAGGGCTCCTTCAGCATTCATACTAAGTTGAAACTCGTTGACCGGTCAGAGTAAGCATCGACGGCGTATCGGAGGATTCAAGTCGACTAGTCTCACTACGGTCAAACGGCCCGAAGCCCGAATCAAGCCTCTTGATTGGAGCACCTGTCATTACGGAGTAGTGCATTGTCATGGATATTCCCGAGTCCCAACAAAACGACAGAAATAGCGTCGGACCAGGCGGAGTTTATGGGGGTAAACTCCAGCGGGGGTTCCTTCCCCTTTCCTACCTCCTTGCCGGGTCCTACCAGTCATATTAAGAGAGGATTCGGGAGACCGTCTCGACGACTAGCCAGGGGAAGCGCAGCAGAGAGCCCTCTACACTACTTGATACTCTCAGAAACTCCACATCACGCGAACACAATGACCAGAAGCCGAATTTTCATGACCGGTGCTTCCGGCTATATTGGCTCGGTGGTATTGGAACAGGCAGTGCAGCAAGACTACGAGGTCTACGGGCTATCACGGAGCAAGGAAAGCGATGAAAAGATCCAAGGTCTGGGTGGCATCCCCGTGCGGGGGGACCTACAGTCCCACCAGGTTTTACGCGAGCAAAGTTCCCAGGCCGATATTGTCCTGCATTTGGCCGACGCATGGGCCGGCAATTTTGGGAAAATGGAATACGAGGAGGTGGTGCGGATTGATGCAGGTGCGGTGGACGCCATGGGAGAAGGGCTCAAGGGATCCAAGAAACCGCTGGTAATCACGTCCGGCACGCTTGTCGTCGCGGCCGACCCAACGGGCAAAGAAACGGATGAGACATCGCCCCTGTGGGATAAACCACTGAACGACCGGATTAGATGCGAGCAGCACGCGATGGGGCTCTGCAGCCAGGGGATCACCGTCTCGGCCATTCGACTGCCGCCCTGGGTCTACGGCCGTGGCGGTAGCGGCGTCCGGCTCTTCATGACCCTGTTCGCCAGCATGGGCGAGGTGTTTTATGTGGACGAGGGCGCGGCCCATACCTCGGTGGTGCATGTCGATGACGCGGCTCAGCTGTTCCTGCTGGCGGCACAAAAGGCCCAGGCTGGGGACGTGTTCAACGGGGGCTCTTCCCATGCCGTGACAACACGAGAACTGGCCACCGCTATTGCCCAGACGGCCGACCTTCCCCTCGAATCGCTTCCGTACGATGAAGTGGTCAGCAAGACGGGGGAGTTCATGGCCCGTTTTCTTAGTGAGGAGAACCGCGCGTCGGGGAGGAAAGCGAGGGAACAGATGGGCTGGGAGCCGCATGGACCGGGTATCCTCGACGATATATTATCTGGCTCGTATCCAGCCGTGGCCCAGGGGCTGAAGAAGGCCATGGCCTGAACCTATGTAGATCCTACACATATACACAGATCATATCTAGTGCATATACTTTGATGGATGTGGAAATGGGTATGAACAAGTGAAGATTTCCAGGCAAAGGGTGTCTTCACCCGGTCAGATCGGAATTGGTTGGAGATGACAAGCAATATGAGACAGCGTAGAGGGGAGCTTATTGAAGACTCTGCCGCCTTCCAGGTTGTTACAACACAACTAGTGCTTACCTTTTCTCACCCAACCAACACCGGCATTATGTGATTCGAGGGCAGACAGGAACCAAAGTTCCGCGCTCTGCAGGGGATCCAACCTGGGCCGGCATGATTCAGTGGAAACCACCTCGTGGGCCTGTCTCTAAGCCGACCGCAGCAAATAACAGGCTCTAGGTAGTATTATGTGTGTACTGGCCGTTGGGTCTCGGTGTTAAGCAGCTCCTTCAGGGGCAGAATAGGAATCTTGTATTTAACGCCAAAATTGTCCTCTCGCGCCGGAAAACAGAACGGCTTACTCTGAGAGAAAAACAGCCTGGCTACCATAACTCGATCCATTTGATCTAGACGTCTTGAATGAGCAGACCAAATAAGACACCAACGTGTTACTATTCCCGGACGGCGTGGAGGAGACTGACACGAGCACAATCATTCTCCATCCACAGCAAGGATACCACCCGAGGCATCTTCAATGGAGACCTCCCAGCTGGATCCCGCTCATATGCGATTGACCCGACGTGCTGCCTGTGACAGATGTCGAACCCAGAAACTGCGGTGTGTACGAGTCTCGCTCAGCGATTCGGCTAAATGCAAGCGCTGCGAGAACGCAGGCACCTCGTGCCACTATAGCATCTCCAAGCCCGCCGGCCGGCCACCTGTCAACGGTTCTTCCTCCACGGCGTCCTCTTCTGGTCAGGGAAAGGGACTGAGTGAACCCGGACCCCAAGTGAGATCACTGCAACGTAGTTCTCAGGGTGATAACCCCGCGGAGCCGGGGAGGGTGCCACTGGCGCCATCGGTGATGGGCAATGGGGAAGAACAGCCTGAATCCAGGGCAGTGGGTCAGCAGGTTGATCCTTTTGGACCCCATAGCATGGCATGGTCACCGGGCCATGATGATCTTGCATCTCTGCCATCGACAAACGGCTGGCCGACCACGCAGTCCCCGGTGATCGCATCAGTCCCCCGCACTCCCACCGCGACGCTGCCAGGATTCCCGGAGGAAGAGGCCGACTGGTCGTCTACACTGCACGCGCATGATCCCGTGGATGCTGTGGGCACGAGTCCGCCGATGTCCTGGGAATCTCTGGAACGCGGCTCAGACCCTGGCTTTCCCTGGGGCATGGAGTAGCAGCCTCTGAGTAGACAGCCAGGGCACCTCGACGCCACGGGGAGTCGTGCTAATCGCGCTGTGATGGGGATGACTGAGTCAACGATGGCTCCAGTCCCGTCGGAGCTCAGATTCACCAACGGGGAAGGGAACAGGATACCCCCGCCCAACTATTGCACACCGTCATTCCCGTCGGCGTTGCAGCTTCAGATGTCCCTCTCCACTTCCGCTCATCCCAGACCACCGGAAAGCCAAGAGGGCAGCCGTGGTGACTTGGCCGCAGCCCCGCACTGTTGGATGCAACAGTTTTCCGAGTTGAACATGCGTCTCTATCAGTCGGCGACGGTCGGTAGCACCTTGGAACGGGACGTCAACCGTCCGGGGAAACTCCTCCCCTTCCCCACCCAATTCGCGGGGAGGGTAATCGATATATCCTCGGCCTTTTTGGCACTTTTGAAGGCCATCGGTGGTCAGCGGCATAGATTTGGTGAGCCTCATGCAAACCATCTATTCTGGAACGGAGAGCTTTTGCGCGACCAGCACATGCGTTTCACGGATCGCTCGTCTGAGTCCAGCGATGATGACTCGGGAGGGCCTCGGCTCGAGGGAGATGGCCACCGGTTTCGGCGCGACGCAAATAAGTTGTGGAAGACATCACCCCCTTTGGCAGATATCACGACACTGCTGCAGCTGCTGGCCTGCTATCTCCGCCTACGTCAGCTGCACAATATCCTCTACACAGCCATACACCAGTACATGACGACGATTCCGGCCGAGCCCAGGACCGCGCCGTATCAGGGCTTCCACTCACCCTCCCGGACTGATGCGATGCTCGAGGAGACTGGCACGCGGCCTCCCCTGTTCAAGGATCTTCAAATTGGAGGGGTCTCACTGGAGGATTTCCACCCCTTCCAGGTCAAATTCGTGCTCCAGATCGTCGTGCACATTTTGGGCGAAATCGAATTTTCATTAGGATTACCTGCTGCCTACCGAGTCAGCAAAGAACTGGACGATGAAGAACCAGGCATTCTGGGCTCGAGCATCTCCCCACAACTGCTCAAGACAGTGATGCAGGACCAAACCTCCTCGTTTGGGCGTGTAGGGGGGGAGAGCAGCATTGTGTTGGCGATGCGGGAGCGGCTGAGCCAACTACGAAAGCTTCTGCGCGGTTCCATCAACTTGTAGTCAATCCTTCGGTGAATGGCGAATTGAATCGATCTCAGCTAGACTACATAGCGGAACGATCCGTATGATATTGTGCTGATATGATAGTAGTTTGCCAGTTACCAACTCGGGCACATTGAAATCTGTTATGATGAGAAACCCAGGTGCCTGTATGTAGACTCCCTATAGGATACTCAATTCCAATAAGACCATAAAAGGAAGTTTCTCTTATTCCCTCAGTCTTATGTTCGAAGCACGGGGCGGATGTAGGTGATGGCCGGTCCACGGTTGATGACTTCTTCCGCCCTGAAACTGGCATACTGTTCCGGAATCGGCTTGAAATCGAAGCTGAGCACGAGCATAATAATCATCATGCGCAGCGCCAAGCGAGCTAGTCGTTGTCCTACTCCCATGTCAGCGTTCACACCGACTCCAATGCTGCGCGGATCATACCAAAGCAACCGCGAGGCCCGGCACCTACGATATACGCAAAGGTCTCTCGTCAATCATCTATCTCCCGATGGCTCGTCTGCCACCACTTGGCTTCTGTGCGCGCCTCCCGCTAGAAAATTTCGTCCATCGCGCATCTGACCTCGCGCTGGGTGTTGCTAGAGGATGCGAATCGGCTGCGGGACTTTTCAATCAGCTGCACCATCGCGGATTCTTTGACTCGCCACGCCTCTTTCCAGGATGGCAGAAATGCGATCTTCCATGGCGTCATGCTGCGTGATTGGCCGGGTTGTATACGGCTGCATGGATATGTCAATCTCGGAGATGCTGTTGAAGGAGAAATATCTTTCGCTATAGCAGCGGCAATTCCATATATCCGGCCCGTACGAAGCTGCGTCGGTGTCGGAGACTCTTAAGATAACGCCTAGCAGTGTCAAAGCGTCACATCAAAACCTCCGATTCGTCGTATACGCACCGGGGGTAGGTCAAGTCACTTCGGGCTCTCCTCTACGGTGAATAAGTGTCTGGACAACATACGTTGGGCCGAATTCATTCGCGCAAATGCCTCAGCAAAATGAGGTCTATCCGAATATACTACGTCAGAGTGAGGGACTCGTACAGAGAGGCCGAATAATTCTCGTCCGATGAAGAAAACACCAAAGTCTGGCCTACCTAGTTGGCCAATGTCACCAGTTTTTTAGCTGAGACACCCTTCTTGACTTGATCCAAAGCCTCCTGAATGCCCTCGAGACCCTTGGTCGGCACGACCTCCGGGGGGGAGCTACCTTGTAGATCCCCTTCGCCAACGCGTCAGGCAGATACCCAGCAAAGGTGGCGGGGTTTGTCTCGTGGTAGATGATCGCTCCCCCCGAGGCAAATATCATCTTGGCATCAACGCCCTCGGGGGCTGCCCCTTCAGTAACCGGGTTCGTGGCGGCGACGCGCAGGTTTTGCTTCGATTGGTGTGCTACCTGGCAGGATGGTGCCACGTCGCCGGCCGCTTGGAAGACTCCAATGCATTCGCCCTTGTCCAGTTCCGCGACAACCGTACGGATGACGTCTGGGTCGTTGTAGTTGTAGACGTGATCAGCACCAAGACTCTTGACATATTCAAAGTTGCGTGCAGAGCAAGTGGTGAAGACCTCAAAGCCAGCTGCTTTGCACAGTTGGATCGCATTGCTACCGACACCCGAACTGCCGTCCCAGATAAAAATGGATTTGCCGGTGCTGTTGGCGAGAGTTTTGGTCGTGGGAAAGGGCAAGCCCAGGTAGTCCTTGGAGAAGAGACCATACGCCGCCGTCGCGATGCAGAGGGGAAAGACGGATGCTTCGGTGAAAGACAAGGAATCGGGAATCTTGCACGCCATGCTATGGTCGAGGATCACATAGTCCTGGAATGCACCTTGCTCGGGCTTCGCGACGGCAGCACCTAGAGCCAGTCCCAGAACACGATCTCCAGGCTGAAATCTGGCCGTCGCCGCAGATCCGACCCTCTCCACGGTACCGGCAACGTCCTCTCCCAGGATCAAGGGATACTTAATAAACGGCAAAGGCACGTCCTGGACCATGGCGTCGGCAGGATTCATAGCCCAAGCATGAACCTTGACCAAGATTTCGTTATCAGCGATGTTGGAGGGAATCGGACTCTCGCGGATGACGCCGAGCACACCGGCCTGGTCCTGCCAAAGAGAGCGGTTCAGAGTCGACATGGTTGTGTGTTTGTATGTCGATTGTACCGGATCTGTTTCCTTGACTGAAGACTCCTCGTTAGCTATTTATCAAGAAGCACGAAAGAGATTCAAAGGCACTAGCCTGTCGAGTCCCAGCCCTTCCAGCCCTTTCATGTCCGCTTCATCATGCATTTATCACCGCCAAATTGTAACTCCGGTACTGAGCAGGGATCTATTTCCCGCAAGCAGACACTTCCATCCATCGCAAGGATCATTAGCGCGCCGTCCGCATCACTTTAGTGTAAAAACCAGGCCTTCGGGGGATTGTTCGCGGACCTAAGCGGACCTAAGCAGCGTTACGGCCGGCCTTCCTTTGTTGTAGATTTCTTCGTCTCCCCTTGGCATGTGGATCACCGAGGGCATGAACTCGTCGTTCGGACAAAATCAGGCAAGTAACAGTGCATTCGCAGTTTAGAGAGTGGATTTTTGGACCCCCGAATCATATTATCCGAATCTCCCCGCTGTAACTAACATGTTCGATGCGTGATCATACAGAAAAGATCTGCTTGTACAGGTTGATCATGTTCCAACGCGACGAATCTTTAAGGATCCTATGGATACATATGCTCACACAACCGGGCGTTGTCACGCCCGAGATCCTCGCACACCACTACCTACCCGGGTGCCGGGACGGTCAAAGAGCTATATCAAATCGCCTTCCTGAACCGCGACTCGCGCGATCTGATGCAGTTTCCTTTGTGGCTGCAATGGATGCTGTGCTGCATTTGCGGCGGTGCCACGTCCTCCATGGCGATCATTTCCATTTTATATGCCCGCGGAGTATCGCAGATAGCGAAAGATCTTGGTGAGAGTGACGAAATGGTAACATTAGGATTGAACCTCTTCTTGTTCGGCTTCATTCTTGGGCCCTTGTCCGGGCGCCTGTTTCTGGTACGCTTGGAGACATAACTTTCTGCGGTTTGCGTCGACGATAAGACAAAAGGGTTTGGACGTCAACTGATCTTCGTCCTCTCAATGGGATGCCATGTCGCCTCTAATGTGTGCCTCTGCTTCTGCCCAAACCTGACCTCTGTGCTCCTGCGTCGCCTTTTATCCGGTGCCTTCAGCACCGCCGTGTCGACGAATGCAGGAATGGTCATAGCAGATACATTTTCTCCTCGGCTATGAGGTCTGGCCATTACTATCTATCCATTTGTGCCACTTTTCACTCTGATTAGCCCATTCGGCATTGGATCAAGGTAAAAACTAGAAATTTACTTTAAATTCATAACAAATCTATTTACAGGGCTATGTTAATTTACATTGCCAGCCCTAAAACCTTAAATAGTACTCTATAGGCTATAGCTATAGGGCTATAATATCATACCTAGGGACTTTATTTTAGAATGTCAGTATGTCAAAATGTCAGACAAAGTATTTTTTGTTCGAAAAAAGTGGATTTTACTAGTAAAATAGGGGCTGGATACAACTCAGGTGACTTATCAAATAATTAATACTCTATAAAAGGGAATAAATAGAGGTAAATACCCTGGAGGATGTAGAATAAGTGGTTTATATAGTACTGGCCTCAGGGGATAGCAAGCTTATAAGAAGGGCTAGCTTAAGGAGCTAGCATCCATAAGGATATCTAGTGGTTAGGCCCCTATATAAGGGACCCCTCTGTGGAAATCTAGGCCCTGCTCCCTAGACTGCTTATATAAGATAAACTTAGACCCCATAGGACTGGTCTGAGACCGGGTCCGTAGAAAGGGTCGCCTCAATTCCTAAAGTAACGGGGCAGTTGATCAACCCCCAAGTTTGAGAAACGGATGATCCATCAGTTCGCGAGCTGTCTTCCTCTTCTCTGGGAGCCAGGTGAGCATATCTTGAATAAAGGATAGAAATGCCTCTTGATCATTCTCTTCAAGGAACAGAGTTGTATCCTCTAAACTTCTGGATGGGATTAATTCATTATAGCAGAATTTATCTAGAATATAGTTAGCATGTCAGGTATTACCACAGGAGATAGTTATTAACCCACCTTCTGCATCAAAGAAAGGGCCATTAAAGAACTCTTGGGCATTATTACAGAGTGCTCTAGTATCATTCATGACAGGCTGGGGCCAGTTATGCTCTGACGTGGCCCTTGATTTCGCAAGCAATACCCCAGGGGGTGGGCCAAGTAAGGCAATCATTTCCGCGAGGTGTGCCTTTGCGTCATACTGGCCGTTTGTATTATGTACCTGCTGGAACAACTCCTTGTCCCCAAGGATATGCCACAGCTTGCCGGACAGGATTATTAGCACTAAGCCCAAGCCAGTGATTGTAACCAAATTCAAGGGAAACAAAAAGCCAGGCATGTTGCAAATTGGCCTCCTGAAAACAAGTACAGGGTCTTACCAGCACACCAAAGTTCCAAATATCTGCCTTGAAATCCCAACCGCAGCCAAGGATTACCTCCGGGGCACGGTAATAGTCCGGTTGGATAGGATAAATGCCCAGTTGCTGTCCTACCATTCCATTTCGGGTAGACGGCTTGTCCAGTCTTGTTGCGAGCCCGAAATCGGCTATTTTGGGAACCATATTCTTGATTTCTCTCCCATCAATAGCACCAAAGTCATTATGGCAGCGGTAGATATTTCGGCCACTCTCGTTATCAACCTTGCATTGCATCGGTTGTTGTCGTTTAATGAAGTCGATAAGAATGCTTTCGTTTTCAAAGCTCATGAGGATATTCCCTAGCTTTAGATCTGACAAGTAGATTAGGTCTTTAAATTCCAGAATAGACACAGGAGAACGGCGACAAACACTCACCCGTGTGGACGACTTTGCACTCTGAGTGAAGATAATCAAGGCCAACAAGGAGGAAATAGATATAGGCCTTCGCAATAGGGAGAGGAATCTTGCGATCAATGAAACGCCCCTGTAAAATCCAGAGAGGCTCTCTCATCGGCTCGTACACAAGACACATGTGCTTTCCTTCCGGACCAGTTACTTCGAAGTCATCCAGGCACGTCCGTAGAATTACGCGGCCACGATGCTCTGAATGTCGCTGTGTAATATGGCTTTCAATCTCCTTCTCATGACGAGCATCGTCAGCGTTGCTACTGTTAATTATTTTCAGGGCCACTGTTTTTTCAGACTGCCATTTGAGTCTTAGTTATGAGGACCAGGGTCAGTTTCTCGGTAGTCAACATGAAGCAGGCACGCGCGTTTACAATGTGAATAGATACCTGGAAATGTCTCGGGCGAGCCACACGCTTGATTGAGATCCCCACCCGATTTTGACAAGTAGTTGAAATTTCTTTGCGAGTACTTCCCCCGGCTTTGCCGGGTAGAATGTCGCCGAATTGTAGTCAGGACAAACCTCTTCGTCAACAAGTTCCTGTTGAGGAATTGGCGGCCCCGAGCTGGGCGGTACCTGCCAGAGTGACTTTTTGGCGAAGGAGAACATAGTACGCCTCGATTTCAAGGTCAACTGCCGAAGAGGTGACATTTGGCCATCCCAGCGTTATTGCTAGGGCTCTGGGAACAATCAAGTACTAGGGAGGAAGCTGAGCTCGATGTTCCTTGAATAGCCACCAGGAGGCTGGTGAAGTATGACTAAGTGCCAAGCACCATCTGACTTGTTTGATTCACAAATCACAAGGCATTTTGATCACAGCCTTGTTTCTTCTATTCGCAGCGCATGCACTATAAACAATTAGTTCCCCACCATCAACCAGATGGGAAATCTGCATATTGCCATACCATCTAGAGTAGGTTTTAACTTTTAAGTTGACATTTAAGAAGTTCGGACCCTCCCCCCCCCCTCGGCCTAACCTAATCTAATTTAGTATAAGTTTCACCTTAGAACTTAAAGCTTAGTATAGCTAACCTATTTATATTAGGAGCTAACTTACTATAGTTAGATTTAGGTTAGGTTTAGGTAAAGTTGCATACTTGCATTCAGTCCGAGTTCGGGAGAGAGAATTCATGGCCAGTTGGCACCAAACCTGAGTTTTGAGTCAATTTTAGGACTCAGAACCCCCCTGACCCAATTTGATTTGGTGCGGACCGTGCGGGATTCACCCCAAAAACCGCCACTAAGCCTAGCAGAATCAAAAATTTCAGTGGTTTTTAGATTTCAATTTCTCTACCCTTAGCTTACATATAGTCATTATATGTATATTGATCTATAATCAAAATATCAAGCCAAAATCTATAGATTTGAATGGGTGGTGATTAAAATTATCCTAAAATCATAGGGGATGTGGAAGGTTGATGTATACCTATATATATCTTACATTCGCTTTCATACTAACTTCTGATAAACATCATCATTCCCTTATATCTCGACAACCACTACATATTTTAGATTAAAATTTTATATCTAGCTAGATCAGATAGTAGGCTATCTAGTGGTATAATTCTTATAGAGAAATTCCTAAAAATTTGGGGTTTCACTGCCTAAAAAAACCCTATGGTTTTAACCGAAACCTGAGAGGTTAGGTAAGGGGGAAACCAGAACCACTACAGATCCCTAGCCTAGGAACTGAACCCTCACCTCTGCGAGTTCGGTGAGGGTCAGATTCAATTTTTGCGGTCCGGGTATGCAACTCTAGATGGAGTTATTGAGGATTCCAATACCATGCTAAGGAGGGAAAATAGATATAGCTAGCCACATACTTATATTAAAGCCGTCCAAGTAAGATTGATATACAGATACTGTGGTTTGCAGATGGTTTATCCTCAGTCCACACCTGTAGCTTGTTGGCTTTGTGTTTGCTTGTTTCTCTATTAATCACTAAGAGAAGGATTAGCTCCACTCTGGTATCTCAATCCCCCTCATTCAAACACTAAGACCTTGCTAGTGGCGAGGATTTGATTCCAACTGAATCGCTGATCATTCATTGTCCAGCCCAGGGAACAGCAAACTGGACCAGAGGCTGCACGCAGTGAGTCCAGTTTGGTTATTATCCAAATGGTTTCAGATATTCAACATCCTGTAGCAGTTTATTAGTAATCAGATAATACTGCAGACCAGTGCAGTGACATCGAATGTAGTATCGCTGTCCAGTTGTCTGGAGTTAGGGCTGAGATATGAGGTTAGGAACACTGCTTGTACAAAAACAGCTAGTATCTAGGTAACATAAGCGGGTTAGTGGATTACATTTTGGGTTTCAAAGAGTCCAGGGAGAATCTATTGACAAAGGCCCCAGATACCTGTATAGGTCAACTTATACACCCATCACCACATATTCCCAGTGAAAGAAAGACCACATCAAACTGCACAAGGAAACCAGAAAGTTAGTTAAGCTGATTAAGCTATGTGCTTAATAGGGCATCAGGTGATTGGTATTCTTTTTCCAGAGTTACTATTGCATTCTGCCAGCGACATGGTCCAAAACTAAATGGCTGTGTAGTGAAATGCGTGGTTTCATGTCATGAATCAACTAAGACTGATGTATCTTCCTGAACATAAGTGATTATTGGTCAGGGTGTCAGCTAATGATGATTTAGAAACTGAGTGTACTCCTAAGTCCGTGGATCCACCCAGAGAGACTGACTGGACTTCTCGCATTTATCCTTAACGCCGGCATTGATGACATTAGGTTGAACGTCCCATTGGTTGCACAACAAAGGAAAGACAATACAAAGCGTCGAACTTGAATCTGAATTTGTAAGCACAGGTGCTGCTACACCCAAGGCAATTGGAAATATTGCCCTATTTCAATTCTCTCATCTTCCCTTCCAAGATCGCACTGATCACCCATAGATTCCCCTTTCAATCAAAGCACAGAGTCAAGTCCTAACGACCTCTTTACCATGCCCTCCATCAGAAACTCCACTGTTCTAGTCATCGGCGGCTCCTCTGGCATTGGCTATGCTGTCGCTAAGAAATGCCTGGAAGAAGGAGCTAAGGTGCATATCTCGTCATCCAGTGCATCCCGCCTTGAAGCCAGCGTCAAGTCGCTGGAGCAGGAGATCCCCAATGCCTCAATCTCCTCGCACGTCTGTGACCTGTCCAGTGACAACGTTGAAAAGAACATAGAGCAGCTCCTCAGCACGATTGCACCCATCGACCACATTGTGTTCACGGCTGGCGACCCCCTTGCTATTCAGCCTCTGGGAACCATTGACCTCGCTGCCATCCACCGAGCAGGGCACATCCGGTTTGCTGTTCCCCTCCTCATCGGGAAACAAGCCCCAAAATTTATGAGAAACGGCTATAAATCATCCTTTACCCTCACTACCGGCTCTGCCTCCCAGAAACCAATCCCAAACTGGTCGTTGATAGGCGGATACTTGACTGGGCTTCATGGGCTCGTGCGGAACCTGGCCTTAGATCTCAAGCCTCTAAGGGTGAATCTTGTGAGTCCTGGTGTGGTGGAAACGCCAATGTGGGGGCCTGGTGGAGTACCTGACGAGATGAAGAAAGATAGTCTTCTGGGCAAGGTGGGCACGCCAGATGAAGTGGCGGAAGCATATGTATATTTGATGAAAGACACAAATGCGACAGGGAGTTGTGTTAGCAGTAATTCAGGGTCGCTCTTGATATGAGCGAAGGGAACGTTGTGCTGCCAGATTAGAACTGACTCATATAACTATACATATAAGTAGTAATCAGGATGTTATTTTCAACTAAAAAGGGGAAGACTGTACATTCATATAGACAATCCTATACGGAACAGTCCCAGCAGACGATCAACCTGAGCCCTGTGGTTGTGGAAAGCGAGAATTCAGGTATCCCGCCGAAGCAGTCAAGCACTGGCACTGAACCTAATCAGCAAGACCTGTACATATGGTACTCTGCTCTTGAATAAAGTACTGAACAGGTGCCATTTGTATTTGATATCAAGTTCCTCATCCTATAATCTGGATGACTTGGAGTCACATATTTCTGTCGCAGAATTTGGTACTGCAAGGCGAGCTGGAGCGATATTGATTGGTTTCGAAGGAATCCTTCCAAGTAAGCATTGGATCCTTCTATAAATACACACTACAAATCCTGAAGGATTTGTCACTTGGCAATAGTAGGTCAATATTATTACTGCTGCTGTTGCTGTCCACTTTCATTCAACTTCAGCCGACTCACTTTTGCGGCGCCTGCATCTGGAATCTGCTCGTAGACACTACTCACATGGGAGTATTTCTCCGCTGCCTTTTCTCTGTTACCTTGCTCAATGTAAATCTCTCTAAGAAGTTGCAGGCAAATGGCTTGACCGCGCAAGGGATGAACCAGCTGAAAGATCACTAAAGCTCTCTCATATTGCTTAATCACTTTCTGACTCTCTCCCGGTGTTTTGCATAAAATATCACCGAATTATTTAGCACAATCTGCTTCGCCCAGCCTGCTTCCAGCATCTTTGTACGGTTTGTTGCTTTGCATATACCTTTGAAGTGTGTTTGTTTGCTTGTTTTTCTGAAACAGAATGTCCCCAAAACATAGGTTGTAGTTGGCTTGTCCCAACATATCTTCAGTGCTCTGGTAATGTGTTTGGCCTCTGAGAAACAGGCTTTCCATCCTGTGGTTATGACCCTTGCTCACTGGAATTTCACTGAGATAGTGGCAACACTTTGCTTGACCTTGTAGATTCCCAGACTCCCTGTAGACTTTATAGGCTGAAACGTATTTCCTCTCCGCTTCATCATTCTGCTTATTCCTCCTTGCGAGGTTTCCAAGACTCAACATACAGTCAACCTGGCCGGTTCTGGTCGTTCGCAATTAGCTCGACCCTTTTCATAGCCCTTCTTTGCCGCGCTTGTGTCTGTAGACATCTTTGCCAATACAACATAGGCACCTAGTTCAAATTCGGAGGAATCGAATATAGCAGTTTATACTGCTACCTTAATCAAGATAACATTGCCCAGACCTATGAAACACCACAGTTCTGCCAGGCTGAATGTAGTGCGCATGGCAAGGGCTTTTTGGGGCTCATACTTTTCGAGAATGTATTCGATAACACAATTGAGATTTCGAATTCTAGAAGGTCATCTACGGCGGCGGCTCCATTTACAATCCCAACCTCCATGCCTCTAGCGGCAATGGGGAAGATGTAATATGTGACGTCTTTAAATAAGGATACCAATTATTAAACCTCTTTATAAACATTCTCCTTTCACACTAGTTTACTAGCTGTTCTGGATCAAGGATCCTTATAGCTGAGCAGCATGAATCCAGCACTTGCACAGGGCAAGCTTTTCCTAATGTGGAATCTATCCACACTATAGTGGTGCCATACATGATATTGTGACTGAAAATGATCTGTTAGATTTGGAATATCAATTTAATCAAGAAGCATTGCTATGAGGTTTGAACTATACGCTTTGGAAGGTCATATCTGGCTTTTAGAGCATTGAAACTCCCTTGAGGCTGGTGAGTTAAAGTGATCTTCTGATCTCTCTATGAAAGATTAGGCACGCCCCCAGTGATTATTGTATATGGCTATTGATACTGAAGTTCAATGTGATGACCTATGATATCTATGGAACATGAGATGCCACCATTACTGATCTTGGAGCTTAGGTGTACGGCCTTACGAATTCTACAGGCAATGTTCATGCAATAGGCCACATTTTGTGGTAATTCCCTAGCCCACTGGGTAGGAGACCAGCCCTTCGATGATCATGATTCACCTCGTGACCATGACATTACAGCCTTGGTGACATTGGGTGAGGGCTACCATAACATCCACCATGAGTTTCCATCCGACTACCGCAATGCTATTAAGTGGTGGCAGTATGATTCAACTAAGTGGGCTAGCTTCCCAGAATGGCTCGACGCAGAAGCATCCTTCCCCCAGCTTCAATACATGGAAGCAGCTCGGCCTGGCATACAACCTTAAGGAGTTTAAGGAAAATGAGATAGAAAAGGGCAGACTACAGCAGCAGCAAAAGAAGCTAGACATCAGGTGGTCCAAGTTAGACTGGGGCACACCAATTTCCTAGTTGCCCATTATGACTTGGGATGACTTCAAAACCGAGTCAGTAAAGACTGACGGGCGAGCCCTTGTAGCCATCGCTGGTGTTATTCATGATATGGCCAGCTTTATCAAAGACCATCCTAGTGGCAATGCGTTCATCACCTCAGCCATTGGTAAGGATGTGACTGCCACCTTAACACGCCCACTCTGATAAGCAAAATAGGTTCACTATGCAGGATAAATGAGGGCCAGCGTTTTGTACGAGCCGCAGAGTGGGTCAGAAAAATCTCTCCCCTTGACCACGGTCCCACCGCGGTTGAGAGGGATGATTAGGAGGGCAAAGCGGCTATGAGACAGAGACATGTAGTTCCAGTTCATCCCGAGTTCTTGATAGCTACAAAGAAAGGAACCATGGCCAGTACGATACACGAACTCTGCCACCGGACGTTGTTAAAGTAGCGGTTCTGAGCAGCGCTTGCAGAGAGCGAAAAAGCCAGAACCCACCCCATGATTCAGGCGTCCCATCTAGCCGTAGGATATTTCGGAGCTTTTTTCTTTGGCTGGTGACCGCAGAGCCTTCATGGCCTCGGAGCATTGTATACCAGGATGTCGGAGCATCGGAGCATTGAGGGCTGGTGAAGTGGCAACGCCGAAGTTCCAGGCCTCCTCACGAATAATCCCCCGTCTCTGCGGTGCTATACCTCCGGCATCATGGAATCTCTGTACAGATCTAGCACTCCCACTTAAAACAAATTAGGATACAGAACGCTCTATTGTGAGGCTGTTGGATGTTGCCGTCCCTTTCTGGATCAATGCCCGTACCTCCCATTAGAAGCTGTCTGTAGTGCTAATAAACAGGCCAGGCATTGTCTATGTAGTTATATATATCTGGATTCACACACACAAGCCTTTATCGAGCAGTGTCGGAACAGAAAAAGAAAAGACGGTGAGTTTGCTTACAGCGACCACCGCCGCCATTACTCTCGTTCTGGTAGCTGTTCTGTACATTGGCTATAGGTAAACCCTGCCGAGTCCACTGCCGGGACAATCATTCGGCCCCTTCCGCTCACGCCCTATAAATTGGGAAGTTCCCTGCCTGTGTGTCTCATGGCATTTATTTATATTACATAATTTCCGTAAGTCGTTGACTTTTAGTGTCCCATAGCGGCGCTTTCTATATCCCCTAAGTGGCTAACCAGAGGCAAAGGGGAAAAAAAATCGTACTTCATAGGGCGGCGTAGTCTGCCCCTCCATCCAGTCAGTGTAGGACTTTCACTGCACCAATTCCTCTGCAGTTAACAAACACCATGTCTACCACCACGACTGCTACGATTAAACCTGCAAACTCCCTTGTATTAGAAGTAAGCAATCTTGAACCCCCAGGAAATGGGCAATCAGCATCTCGAGAGTCGCAATTGCAAAAGATCGTCGGGCTCAGCCAGCTTGGCGCTGTGACTCTAACAGCCAGCGTAATCAATGGGCTCGTCATTGTCAGTCTCCCGACTATCACCAAGGATATCCACCTTCCCTCTTCTCTATCATTCTGGCCTTCATCAGTGAGTAGTCTCGCAACCGCATCGACACTTCTCTTAGCGGGGTCCCTAGCGGACACGGTTGGTCCAAGATGGGTTGAACTCGTGGGCTCCTTTGCCAGTGGCGCATTGATGATCGGTCAAGGCGTGGCGCGAACCGGGCAGGAGTTGGTGGTTCTGAGAGCACTCCAGGGAGTCGGCCTCGCAATGCACCTCGCTTCGTCGATATCCATAGTGACGCAGCTATTGCCCCCAGGAAGAAGCCGCAATGTTGCTTTCTCGTGCTTAGGGCTCAGTCAGCCCCTCGGATTTTCCTTAGGCCTGGTTTTCGGGGGCATCCTGGTTGATACCATCGGCTGGAGGTCGGGGTGGTTCATCTCGGGCGGCATCACCGTCTTCTTTGCGTTTGTAGGTCTGTGGGCTTTGCCTAGGAGTAAAAGCACACCGAACTCGGATCGCCTTCGCAACATCAAGAATAAAATCGACTGGGTTGGTGCTGGGCTGGCTTCCACATTTATGGCTTTGCTCTGTTATCTTCTGGCGTATGTCATCCTCCGTTCTGGCCTAACTAGAAGACTGACCTTAAGGATATTATTCTGAGCGCCAATCCCTCACGGATCAAGGCTGCCGATAGCATCATTGTTCTGTGCCTGGCTGCCCTTGCGCTGCCCTCATTTGTCGGCTGGGTCCATTATCAGTCCCAGAGGAACAGACCAGCTCTCATCCCCAATTCACTGTGGAAGAACACGGCCTTTTCGAGCATCTGCGCTATCCTCGCAATCTCAACCGCGGTCGTCAATTCCATGGAGCTTTTTGCTAGCTTGTTGTAAGCTTCTCCCCTTTCCGTAGCCTGCTCCTTATTAACCCGATCAAGTTTCCAAGAGGTCCAAGGCCTCTCGGCGCTGAACGCTTCCGTCCGTATCCTCCCCAGCCTCATAGTGGGCGTCCTCCTCAACCTTGTCATTGGAGTCTTCGTGCACAAGGTCCCCGCATTCTGGATCGCATCGGTGACCTCCCTTCTCTGCGCCGGATCCCCCCTGCTCATGGCGGTCATCCAGCCGGCCTGGCCATACTGGGCCAACGCGTTCATCGCGCAGCTTCTGCAGCCGGTCAGCTTCAACGCGCTCTACACTGTCGGCCTAATCATCATCACGAATAGTTTCTTGGACGACACGCAGGCGCTGGCGGGCGCTGTCTTCAACACAGCTGCGCAGTTTGGCAGTGCCCTGGGCCTGGCTATCCTGCAGGTCATCTCCACCCTTGTGACGGAGGAGACTGGTGGCGATAGGACTGCTGCTCTGATGGCGGGATACCGCGCCAGTTTTTGGACCATGTTTGGTTTTATGATTCTTTGCACCGTTATGGGGTACTTTGGGCTGCGTAAGGCGGGCAAGGTTGGCTTGAAGCGGGATTGAGCAGGATCCTTGAGTTAGGATAGGAACCCGGCTTCTTTGCCTTGCCATTGCGAACTATTGTGTCAATGCCATCTGCTGTAGAAATAGGGCACTTTTTTGCCCTTGCGACAATGGCTGCGTCGCGTGTGTTGACTGCGGTCACCCAAAGGAATAGTTGTATGCAGGGTACATGGTGAAACCAACAACCCATTGCAAATAGATCCTATCTCCTTCTGGAGGTCCTATGCCCTTGCAACATGCTAAGATAAAAGATCTCACATGTGATTAGTATTGATAACTCTATATAGGGACTTCTTTATTGCTATGTTTGGGTGATAGCCTGGAACATGATACAGATAATAAGCTGACCATCAAACACTATGCCTGTTTCATCTTATATGGATTTTTACCATAACCACCCTGAATCTGAATGAAGTGCTACTGCTCAAAAATACTCCATTCCAGCCCTTGTCTAAACAGTGAAATGATTATTGAGAGGGAAGAAGTGCTAAGGTTCCATGTATCAAGCCTTTGTTTTTTCTATGTCTTTCACTCCTATGGCTGTTCTCTTGAAAGGGGCACACTGTTCTCATGTCTCCTTTGCTTTGAGAGTCATTCCGAGGCTCCACCATAATCAGTCCTAGTTTCCAAAGACCTCATTACCCATTTCTCTGTTGTTTTGTTTTTCGCGTATTGCCTTCATCATCGTCAATGGTATGGATATGCTGCGGATCCTCGAGCATGCCTATTTAAGGGACTGGCCGGCAGACAACTCATGAGATATCTCCCATCAACTACAGCATTTATTACTCACTACCCTGTGCGACCTATTCATCTATCAAATTGATAAATCACTCTTCCCATACCCCATATCCTCTAGGTGTCCATCGAATTTATATTACCAAAGTCACAGCAAGCATGTCTTCCAATGAGCACCCCACCCTCAAAACCCCGAAGCCCAAGCTTGTCATTTTCGATTTCGATGGCACTATTATGGATACTACTGAAGCGATCAATACAACCTTCTATAGATCCTTTGAGCTTCTCCTCCCCGATTTTCCTGTCCCCGAAGAAGCCCTACGTTACAGGATCTCCCTTGGGCAACCAGCTGCGGCAACATTCGGCGCCCTCTGGCCGGATACACACAAGAGTTCATTCGATGTCGAAAAGTGCGTAGCCACCTTCCGGGCCATGTACGACAAATATGGATTCGATCTCCAGAAGCCCTTTATCCATGCGGACTCGGTCCTCCGTGCTGTTGCAGAAAGGGGAATCCCGGTGGCCATCGTGAGCAACAAGAATGTTGGGGTGATCAAGAATACAATGGAGACCCATAAGCTGACCGGTCTAGTTCCTGACGAGCTCATCGTTGGAAGTCCAATGTACAAGACAAACCAGAAGCCCCATCCGGCAGCGTACACCGATGTCCTCCTGCCGCTTTTGAAGCAGAGGTATGGAGAGGATTTTGAGCACCAGGACGGTGATGTCTTGATGATTGGTGATACTGTCTCTGACCTCAAGTTTGCGCACAATATAGGAGCCAAATCGGTCTGGTGTGCATACGGTGATGGCAGCAAGGAGGAGTGCAGAAGTCTAAAGCCGGAGTTTATGATTGACCAGCTGTTTGATGTTCTGGCGGTGATTGATGGGCTGCAGATGCCTTGAGACACTGTCATAGGCCAGGCGAGGTATGAAGAGAACCCCGATTCCCTTGTGTTCCTTTCAAGTTGAAGTCAAACTATTCATTCGTATGCATCCACATCAGCCGAGTCATAAAATATACATTCGTTTAAGCTTTCCTCATTACATATCATAGTATTACTGTGGGGTGTGTAGAATATATAAAAGTCGGATCTAATGGGGTTCGTCCGTTCCCTTGCGACTGCTGTTTCCGTGGTGGTCAGTGGCGTCATCTTCCAGAACGAGATGAATGCGGCAAATGGAGATCTAGTGCTTGCACTGGGGTCCAATCTGGCACATGAGTTCAATGGCAGCCTCGCCTCTTCCAGCGTGGAGCAGACTCCCAGTTTGTCAGCGGGTCTAGAGGTCCTGGTTAGGAAGACGTATTTCCATGCTCTCCGGATGGTGTGGGTCATGTTGGGTACAGACTTCCCTTGTTTAAGTGATCCAGAATATACTGACAACATTTCCTACCATAGTATGTTGCATTTGCTGGAATGGCATCTGCCTGCAATCTGTTTGTGTGGGCTCACAAGCTGCGGAGTGAGAGTGAAGGTGCGGTTTTGGGTGCAGACCGAGTACAGCCGGTCCAGCAGTCAGATCGTCTCTCAAACGACGAAAGCAATGAGCCGAGGAGTCGTCAAAATGACCGAAGTTCGCCTTGAAAGATCAACTCACTTTGAAAAACACATTGCGGGAGTATGAATGGGTAACCTCGACCGGGACTCTTTACAGACAAGACCATGCGATGGACATGTTCATTGTCAGGTGCTCTTTGTGGATGGGAAATTATTCTCCGGAATTATCTCAAAACCCTCTTCCCTACTCATGTAAGCTAATAACGCATGGACTATATTTGTGAAACAAAGATGTCAATATTTCGGTTACTGAGGTGACTAAAGGAACCATGTCCATCCTGCGGGTGGTAAGAGCAGTAGAGATGTACTCAAAGTATCCAACCCTAATCACATCCCATCGATATTTGTCATCTTGAAGCAGCAGAGTGGAGAGAATGTATCAAGAAAGACAGAACATCACTTCTCCTGATCGGCCTCTTGGCTCACAGCGTCCAAGGGAGTCGACAACCCAACCCGGTCAACGGTACGAGTGTACTCGACGCCTCCATTCACACGATCCTCATGCACAATGAGATCCTTTCGGTTGGTATCAACCAGCAGGCGAATTAGATCCGGGCGCATGTAATGGCCGCCCTGTTCGTTGTTAGCTGAGGTCGTTCCAGGCGGCGTTGAACTCACAAAGTCGGCGAGCGATTTGGTTAGATGGCATTCATCCAGGTCAATCTATTGAGGTCAGTAGTGGAAACATGCATGCTTTCTCTCTGCTTACATCGACAATAAGCAACCCTTGGAAATCGTCGGCTGGGTGAGGGACAAGGTTCTGTCCATCGGGTCCAAAGATCCGACCATGTCCGTTGTAGATGTTGGGGTCCTCCAGTTCCTTACCAGGGGGCGTGTTGACCTTGATACCCTCGGCGGTGATCGTCTGCCAGGGAGCCAGGGTGTATGTGCCCGTCTCAATGGCATACGCAGGAGTGACCAGCTGTGCCACCAGTTAGTCACATAGAAACATCCTCAATCATAGAACGCATGTCGTATTACATCAGCATTGGCCTCCGCCACGTTCGTGTATGGATCGGGATACTTGAGTGTCTCCTTGCCTGGGTAGAGTGGCCAAGCCGCAACGTGGACCTGTTCGCCCAACGAGGCCGCATACGCCTTCATGAACGGGTTCATGTTTTCCCAGCAGTTGAGGTGGCCGACGCGACCGATCTCGGTCTGCGTGACCGATTCGGTAGTGTCACCGGTGCCATCCCCGAAGATCAGACGCTCGACGTGAGTGGCGCGAATCTTCCGTCGATGGTTGAGGACATCGCCTGTGGGAGAAATGAGAACCTGCGTCGTGTACAGGCTGGCTAGGTCAAGCTCGGAATAGCCCAACGAGACCCAGATCTTGTTCGCACGGGCTGCCTCTCGGATGCGGCGCATCTCCTCCGAGTTGGAGGCGAGGCTGTTCTCGCGATATTTCTTCAGTAGAGGCAAGCTCTCCTGGTAGGTAACCTTCCAAGCCCAGTAGGGATATCCGGGAATCCCTGCACACGGTCAGTAACAACAAAGGTTGAAGTAGCGAATTACTCACAAAGCTCCGGAAACGCGATGAGTTTGCACCCGGCTTTGCCGGCTTCATCGATCCAGTGGATTGTACGGCGGACAGATTCCTCAAGGTCGAACCAACCGGGCTCAGCGTTGACGGCAGCGGCCTTGTACTTCTTGAGAACTGGTGCCATGGTGGATATCGGTGACGATTGGAATTGGATGTTTGTGTAGAGTGATGATTGACTGGACCAAGTGGTACCTCGCTGTCCTTTATATCTGTCACCGTGCAATGGTATGGGGCTGTTCAGCATCAGTCCATCCGGAACGCCTTGGAGTCTTCTGGCTTCGGTTTTTGCTTCATTGCTCCTTGAGAACCCGGATCGACTGCGACGCAGGTTGAGGTGACTTGATAGTGCAAAGATCTGACTGAGCAGATATCCATACCAGAATCATACGATCACAAGTGTTTTGTATAACTCCGGGGAGATGGGCTTTCCGAGGGATAGTAATCATCTTGATGGTGTCTGTTGAGCTCGGTGTATGCCGACTGTGGCAGATCCCGAGCAAGCAAAGACCGAAGGAATTACCCACCGGGGACATATGATATCTCAGAATTCGCCGTATCGTGAAACCATGTGCCAGGTGGAATTACGATTTCCTGTGTTGCACATCTGCATCTACGTTTGTAACCGTAGACATGGAGTTGACCCTGCTGGGAGGATCGAGCAGGTCAAAGTTAGAAACGATTTTTTAGTACGAGCACTTCAAAGCCGTCGATATTTGAAGTGCCGCAATGAACAGCATCCACCCATTCCCTTTTGCATCGCTGGGTTGATGTAACATGGTATGCAGGAATTCAGCCGAATAACGGCCAGGCGTCGACGTGTCGTGGTCCGCTTGACATTCCGCAGTAATCCGTCTGGCTGTCATCGCATCTCGAAGTGACAATGTCATTTTTGATTACTCTGGACTGTCAGCATTTGGCAGGCCAGGCGCTCTTCCTGTTACTGGCATTTGACCTCGGAGTACGGGAGGAGCGAGTGTTGTTATCAACCTAGGGTTTCTGCACAGTACTTAAACCCGGCCATTCCTTGGGGTTGCAGTCCACAATTAGGCCAATCTCCCCTACAGGATGATCATAATTCTTGTAGCGCTCCGAACAGTCCAAGGCGTCATGAATCGCACCTAATCCACTCCACGAAGATAAAGTCAGCCACCACGAATTTGCTGGCTGCTCCGTTCTGTACTCGGCTGTACGAGGTCCGGCTTCAAGTTACTCGGATATCTGGAGGAACTTCGGGCTCATATTGGTGTTTATTGTTTTCAATATTGTTGCTGCATGCTTGTTGAACTTGTGTGACCGAGTCCCAAGGGTGACGAAGCCGGTGGTTCGTGCTGGGTACGCGTTGGTTATATATAACAAAGCGAGCCGCAGATGATCTGTCTGATAGAACTCGACTGTCACCCAGTCACTTTGATTTTATGATCGACCATTTGAGTATGGCGAATAGCTAAAAGCTATTGTAGAGATGCCATTATTTCTCAGAGGTTGGTGGTTGTAGTGGCTGCCAATGACTTATATGGCCCTATCGCACAACCTCAAAGTCAAACACTCAATAGCGATAGGTTTGAAAGACGAATTGTTCACCTGTCGCCGATTGTACTCGGTTGATGGGATGCAGCTGACCAAGGTGAGAAAAGTTCTGCCCCTATGTGCCCGTCAGCCTCCGTCTACTCCGTACGGTCCAGACAGCAGTCTCCACAGCCCTCGGACCTTCTTAAATCTGAGAGAATAATCAGAGGATTCGATAGGCTCGGAATCCCAGGTTGACATCAGTTCATAATATCCCATTTGCAATGATTAAGAATGGCGGCCGACAGTGGGATTGAGCCGCTGGAATCCCATATCCCATATCCCATATCCCACCTCCCATCGGCAAGGCACCGATGGGATGACCATGCATGAGGATTATTTATGATTAAGGAGGATTTACTACTATCTGGGAGCGGAAGGATTTGGCGTCGGATAAGGCGTTGTGCCACTTGGGTGTCATGGCGCAACGAGTGGACCGTGCATAATCGTCTGGCTCCGAGTCTGAAAGGCAGATGCTCTCTCTCAATGTTAGGCCGCAGTGTCACAGTCGTTACGGCTTAGCAGGATTCGATTGGTAGGTATAGCGCGGGGTCCCCGAAGCTAACGTTCAATCTCCGAGTTCAGACGCGTATTTATGGTCTATAGTCAGGAACATTGGCTGCATACATTGAGACTAAGCAGAGAGCCCCCGGTCCACCGTTCTTCGAATCATCTTGACCGATCCCGCCAGCGCTTCCTTAGCCCCATAACCGGGGACCTCGTGGATCCCATCGTGAATGAATACCGACTTCATGTTGGAATTGCAGAGCTTGCTGACATTTTCACAAATATCGTAGACGGGATCATTGGTGCCCCAGATATGGGCCGTTGGCAGGCGGATTATCTCGCCATCAGTGACTATGTTCAGCAAACGCATCCTGCCCTGCGCTAGCTCTGCTGGATTGCTTGGAAGCCCCGCGGAGAGAAAGATGGCGCATTTGAAGGGCGGTTCGTCCTCAGGATCCTGCTGATACCGTTGAATGATGAACTCAGCGGCGAGCGCTGCGCCATGACAGAATGCCATCACCCCATCAAACGGCCCTTCTTCATCGACATATTCGGCGAGTTGATCGAGCGCTGCCAGCATACTGTCTGGAGATTCATCGTAATAGGCAAAGCCTGTCTCTTCAGGCGCCATCATAGCCCTAGCATTAACGAATTCATTGGCAAAGAGCTTTCGAATTTCTAACGCTTGTTAGCGAGACTCGGCCACCCGCGGAAGATTATTGTAAACAGAGACAGACCAGGCGCTACCGGGCAAGGTATCGACGCCTCGAGGAAGTCGTAGGTATGATTGTCCCCAAGCTCGGAACGCAAGGCAGCTATATCCAAGGTCGCAGATCAGTATCGGTGGACACCGTACGATGACATCCATACGCACCTGTTTGTGTTTCGAAAATCTACCTCCTCTCGACCATTAGTCCTAGTTAATCGATTCCTGGTTTGTCTTTGAGGAAGAGGCAACAGGAACTTGCCTTGGCGCTGGTTCCGAGACCATGAAGACAAAGGAAATGCATATTTCTCCCGATGCTGGCACGAAGGCTGGTAAGGAAAGGTGTAGTTTTCGTTCTTCACTTTGGAGGAACCTATGACTGCGTTCGTTTTGGTAGGTTATATTACTTTGCGCTCGGATCCCATCTCTTTTTTGTTTGAGCTCTTTTTCCTGCTTCTCGTCACTATAGACACTTGTTTAGTACTCCGCTGACTAGGCTTACCTAGTAATTGACTCTGCCCCGCGGACCAAACAGTTACATTTATGCAGGCCATGATTCTACTGGCCAGTCGGGTGCATTAGGGTGTCAGATTTAAGTCTCACATACCATCGTGGGTCTCTATTCGATGGAATGATACTCTTGAAGAGCCTCTGACCCGGCTTCCTGCGACTAGCGTCCGCAAGATCAGTGGCAGTGGTGTCGTTGTATAGCCTCCCTTTTCTTGCCTTTGCATTCAAAGACCAGACAGCTGACAAATTAATCGCCCAGTAAGCACTAGATGCATCATTTGTAAGATGATGAAGGGTCAATCGTATGATAGCCTGTCGTAATGCAGCGGAGCATCTTCTGGTTTCCGCGGATGAGATCAAGAACGAGCAAAGGGGCCAGATAACGGCCTTGAACCGAGTGGGTAAGCATGCTTTACTCTCGGGCGTATCTTCTCATTGTCCTCGAGCCGTGATCTGTCGGACTGGAAAATGTATATAACTAGGACTCTCAGGACGGTTTCGTTGGGGTCAAATCTCGAATTCAAGCTCAAGGTACAAGCGCTTTGTGCAGAGACAGGACCCCCGGACTTGTTAACACCATGGTGCCCGGTATTATCAGCAGTGACCTCAACGAGGAATACCATTACAGCGACTCTTCCAGCCCGGAGTATATCCACAGCCAACAAGACACGGCAGGCCCAGCCCACACCGACAAGCTCAAGCCTTTGGCTATCGTGGGACTCGACTTGAGATTCCCTCAAGATGCCACTTCTGCAGAGGAACTGTGGAAGATGCTCTTGGAGAAGAGATGCGCAATGACAGAGTATCCCAAGGACCGTATGGAGATAGACTCACTCTACCACCCCAACTCTCGGCGAAAGGACACGGTATGAACTTCTTCGCCTGGGGTCCAGACAGAATGACGCTGATGCATGTGCAGATTGCAAATCGGGGCGGCCATTTCTTGGAGGAAGATATCGCTGCATTCGATGCATCCTTCTTCTCCATTTCACCGGCTGAAGCCGCAGGTATGGATCCCCTTCATCGCATCTTGTTGGAGACCACCTATCGAGCCCTGGAGAATGCGGGTATTTCCATGGAGTCGGTCAAGGGAAGCAAAACATCGGTGCATACGGGCTGTTTCACGCATGACTATGAGATTATGATGAACTCCGATCCCCTTTTTATGTCCAAGTATGCGGCTACAGGCACGGCCCCTTCCATGATTGCCAACCGAGTCAGCTGGTTCTTTGACTTGGCGGGTCCCAGTATCAGCGTCGATACTGCCTGCTCCAGCAGTATGGTTGCCTTTGACCTTGCATGTCAAGGCCTGTGGAACGGGAGCGCTACGATGGTATGATTGATATACAGATACCACTCTCATGGGTCTGACTGCTGACATTCATGTCCCAGGGAATTGTGGCTGGCTGCAATCTCGTCTACACTCCAGAAATGAGTCTTGCACTGTCCAACATGGGTTTTCTCTCCCCAGACAGTCTCTGTCTGAGCTTCGATGCCTCCGGTAACGGATATACCAGAGGAGAAGGGTTTGGTGTTTTGATCATCAAGCCCCTGGAAGATGCTCTCCGTGACGGTGACACGATTCGGGCAGTGGTACGCTCGACAGGATCCAACCAGGATGGCCGGACCCCAGGGATTACGCAGCCGAGTAAGGATGCACAGGAGCGGCTCATCCGAGAGACCTACGCCAAGGCAGGGCTGGACCTACGAGATACACGTTACGTGGAGGCGCACGGCACTGGTAAGTCTGCACAGGATGGTAGAAGACCGCCGACTCACGAACAGGATAGGCACGGCGGTGGGGGATCCTATTGAGTCCGGGGCTATTGGAGCTGCGTTTCGGCAACACCGTTCAGCGAACGATCCATTATTTATGTGAGTATTAAATCATGGACTTATGGTGTCTCATATTGATAGATCCACCCAGTGGCGCGGTAAAGAGTAACATCGGTCACCTCGAGGGGGCCAGTGGGATGGCAGGACTTATCAAGACGATTCTCGTGCTTGAAAAGGGCATAATTCCGGCAAATGCAAACTTCAGGTCCTTGAACCCCAGGATTGATGCGGAATACTTGAACCTCAGATTCCCCGAGGAGAGCGTACCATGGCCAACGGCTGGCCTCCGTCGTGCAAGTATGTATGCTCACTATCTGTATATCATATTATCACTAATAGATCATCAAGGCATCAACTCCTTTGGGTTTGGGGGGACAAACTCCCATGCCATCCTTGACGATGCCTACAACTACCTGCGCATGCACGATTTGCAGGGCAACCACCAAACTGCGGAACGACCACCGACTCTGGAAGCTTTGAGGCAGCCTTCAGTGGGAGGACAACCGCTGGTTCGCGACGATACCACTTTATCAACTCTCCCAAGCACTCCCAAGCTTCTCGTATGGTCAGCAGCGGACGAAGATGGGCTGAAGCGGCTGGCAACCAGCTATAGAGATCATTTCTCCGCCCTACAAGTTACTAATGGCAAGTCAGAGGATTATTTGAGAAACTTGGCCTATACACTGGCGGCGAAGAGAAGTTCTTTATCGTGGAAGGCATTCGCTATTGCTGATTCCATCCAGAGTCTGCCAGAGGTGTCCTTTTCCAAAGGAGTCCGCTCGAACTCGAAGCCTAGCTTGGGCTTCATTTTCACCGGCCAGGGAGCACAGTGGTACGCGATGGGCCGGGAGCTCTTTGTCTATCCTGTCTTTGAGAAGAGTATTCTGGAGGCAGAGGAGTTCTTGATTCGACTGGGATGCTCATGGTCTCTGAGGGGTGAGTTTGCTATGCAGTTCGCCCATTCATGAATCACTGGCTAATCAATAATGAAACTCTAGAGGAACTTTTTGCGGACAAAGCCACGTCCAGGGTCAACGACCCCGAGTTTAGCCAGCCACTCTGTACCGCTTTGCAGGTCGGACTTGTTGACCTCCTGCACAGCTTTGGAATCATTCCTTCAGCGGTCGTGGGCCACAGTTCCGGAGAAATTGCTGCGGCGTGAGTGATATACTCCTAACAGTCCAACTAAATCCATGAATACTGATCATATTCACTTTATAGATACGCCATCGGTGCCATATCATCAGAGTCCGCATGGAAGTTGGCATATTATCGTGGCAAGCTCGCAGCAAACCTGGCTAAGACGCGATCAACTCCCGGTGCGATGATTTCCGTGGGACTTTCCGAGAGTCAGATAGAACCATATTTTGAGAGTTTGCGCTCACAGTTTGGCGATCGGCGAGTGGTAATCGCGTGCATTAACAGTCCTACCAATGTGACAATCAGTGGAGATGCCGAGCAGGTTGATGCGCTGGAGCACCTTCTCCGGAACGACGAGGTCTTTGCGCGGAAGTTGCAGGTCACTGTGGCATACCACTCTCCCCACATGAGTGACATAGCTCAAGACTACCTCCAGGCTGTGCAGAAGCTGCAAAAGGGCGACAAGCCGCGGGGCTCTCGAGCACCGCTCATGGCGTCTTCGGTCACTGGCCAGCGAGCCACAGAGGAGGAGCTGCGCAAGGCGGAATACTGGGTGAAGAATATGGTGTCGCCAGTACGATTTACTGAGGCATTGTCACTCCTCTGTTCGCAATCTGGAAAAGCCAAAACGAAGAAGATCGGAGGAGCACATCGCAACTCGGTCAATCTCACACATCTTGTGGAAATCGGACCGCACTCGGCACTTCAAGGCCCGACCAGGGATATCCTCAAGTCCATTGGCAAGTCGGAGGTGCTTTCGTACAGTTCTGCACTAGTCAGAAATATCAGCGCCATTTCCACCGTGCTGGGCGTCGTTGGCCAGTTGTATTGCGCCGACTACCCTGTCCGCCTCGACGATGTGAACCAAATTGGCAAGGAAATTTCACGCCCAGTGACGCTCTCAGATCTCCCACCTTACCCGTTTAATCATTCCCAGAGACACTGGCATGAAAGCAGATTGAGCAAAGGTCACCGGTTCCGCAAGCATCCCCGACTTGACCTCCTAGGAGCCCCAGTGCCGGACTGGAACCCTCGCGAAGCGAAATGGCGAAATGTGATATTGGCCAGCGAGATGCCGTGGGTTCAGGATCATAAGGTCGATAGAATCATCCCCTCAGGCCAAATTGGGAACAAGAACTAATTGAAACCAGATCAACGGAACGACACTATATCCTGCAGCGGGAATGATTGTCATGGCCATCGAAGCCGCCAAGCAGACCGCAGACAGACCCCGGGATGTAACCGGGTTCAGAATCCGAGACATCACGATTCAGCGAGCGCTCGCCATACCCTCGGATCAGGAAGGTATTGAGACCATGTTCTACCTCCGGTCAGCCCAAGAAGCCACGGACAAAGACCCCTCGTGGTCCGAATTCCGGCTATTCAGCATCAAGGACGACGGCTGGGTCGAACATTGCAGAGGTGCCATCCAGGTTGAGTATGAGACCGATCATGGGGCTTTGGAAGCAACCCAGATGGAATCTGCCCTCAAACAGACCTACGAGCATGATGTTGCTATCTCCACTGCAGTCGATGCAGAGCATATCTACGACGCTCTGGACCGCTGCGGCCTCAATTACGGCCCAGCTTTCCGGCCCTTGCATCAAATTGCCTACGATGGCAAAGGTGGCGCTACTTCGACTGTGTCGCTTTTCCGGGACTCCAAAGATATTGAATTTCCCTCACAACCACATGTGGTCCATCCGAGCACGCTGGATGGCATTTTCCAGCTTGGCATCCTAGCCATGATGGATGGCGGGAACACGCCAATTCCAAGCATGGTTCCTACTCGCATCACCAAACTTTGGATTTCCAACAGTGGGCTGAGCGGCGCTGAGGTCGATGCCGCTGCGAAAGTTCACGCGCGTTCTCACTGGGAAGGCCGGCGAGGATTGCGCTCTTCGCTGTTCGTTCTGGGCGCTGATGATCGTCGTCGCATCCTTGTGGAAGGGTTCGAAGCGACTGCAGTGGCCAGTCAAGATGAAAATGCCCGGATAGGCCAGAAGCAGCCCCAGACCTACTACTATATCGACTCTCGGCCCGACGTGGATGCGCATACTGCCCAGGAGATTCAGAGCTATCTTACGCAAAAGTCGCAAAGCTCTCAACAGAGCAGCCTCGAGGGCTACTTCGATCTGCTTGCGTACAAGAATCCCGCGCTGAAGGTCCTGGAGATTGGTGGAGGAACCGGTGACATGACCGCGGTTGCTATGGGAGTCTTTGCCCCCTGCGACGAGGATGGGCCTGGTATTCCTAGATACGCGCAGTATGATTTTGCTGACACCACAGATGCGGAATTTGACTCGCTAGAGAACAGATTCAAAGCCCAGGAGGAGCGCATGGCGTTCAAAGTCTCAGATCTACAGAACAACTGGCTCGCTCAGGGCTTCGAGCCGCAGGGCTACGATCTTATCATTGCATCCATGGCAATTGCTTGCGATTCGAAGCTAGCTCTTGAAGAAATCCGAAAACTTGTCAAACCGTAAGCAGCTTGACATATTTTGAGACACGTCAAACTAACTCGAACTAGTGAAGGCAGACTGGTACTACATGGAAATAGCCAATCTATGTCTCTGGAGGACTGGCAAAGAGTCCTGGAGACACACGGATTCAGTGGAGTCGACATGAATCTGTCTCTCACTAGCAGCTCTGAGTGTATAATCTCCGCTGCACTTACAACTAAGCCATCCATCTCCGGCCCTCATCGCAAAGTTGTCATCATTACCGATGACTCTCCTGTGCAGCGAGGTCTAACCGCCGGCATCCTTGGATTGCTGCCAAACCAGGACCACGAGGTCGTATCTCTCTCTCAAGCGGCCTCACTCGATCAGACGGATGCGAATATCTATCTATTCTTGCTGGAGGTAGAGAAACCATTGCTGACCACTATTGCGGAGGAAATGTACACCGCACTACAGAAGATCACCAAATATGCCAAGGAAATTGTATGGGTTTCACGTTCGGTCGAGCAAGCGCCAGAATCTGGACTGATTCACGGTCTCTCCCGCGTGCTTCGCAGTGAGAATTATCCTCTCAAGTTTGTCACTCTTGCTCTCGAAAGCCCGGATCCTTCTTTGCAGGCAGCAAGGATTGTTCGAGTACTCCAAAACACCACTCGAAATCCGGTTGACACGTATGAGCCGGAATATCTTGAGCAAGATGGAATGCTCCAAGTGACTCGACTGGTCGAAGCCCCTGCACTGAGGCGCAGGATCACCGTCAAGGAAGCTCCGCAACAGATCAAGGTCCAGTCACTGGCCCAGGCACCCCCAGTGAAACTGCACGTGGCCTCTCCGGGGCTTCTTGACAGCCTTCGATTTATTGAGGACAATGATCACCTTCTTCCCCTTGCTCCGAATGAAGTGGAGGTTGAGGTCAAGGCTGTTGGTATCAATTTCAAGGACTGCCTGGTTGCCCTGGGGCGGGTAGACCAAACCACGATTGGATTGGAATGTGCTGGTATTGTGCGCCGCGCGGCAAATGGCTCTCTGTTTCAGGCTGGGGACCGTGTCGTGGTCTGTAAAACGGGCAGTTTTCGAACGTATGTGCGCTCACCACAGGACTGTGTAGTCAAGGTCCCCGATATATTGTCATTCACGGAGGCAGCGGCCATTCCAACCAATTTTGCCACAGCCTACCACGCACTGTACGAAGTTGCGCGATTGCAGCAGGGTGAAACCATTCTCATTCATTCCGGCGCCGGAGGAACAGGTCAAGCTGCGATTCAAATCGCTCAACATCTGGGTGCTGAGGTCTTCACCACAGTTAGTTCTGAGGAGAAGAAGCAGTTGTTGGTCGAGCTCTACGGCTTGAACCCTGATCACATCCTCTACAGCCGTGACCTCTCCTTTGCCGATGGAATCAAACGTCTGACTGACAACAAGGGTGTGGATGTTGTACTCAACTCACTATCCGGAGAGGCGCTGGTCGCCTCGTGGGAATGTGTCGCCCCGTACGGACGCTTCATTGAGATTGGTATCAAGGACATCCTGGCCCACAACACCCTTCCTATGTTCCGGTTTGCTCGCAACGTATCCTTCAGTGCGGTCGATCTGGCCGCCATCATGGTCGAACGGCCCCATCTGCTGCAAAGGGCCCTACAGACGGTAATAGATCTAGTAGGTCAAGGTTTGATGCACGCTGCCGGGCCGCTACATGTCCACCCTGCTTCAGCTGTTGAGGAGGCCTTCCGGTACATGCAGAGTGGAAAGAATACAGGAAAGACTGTGGTGGAGATGAATGCTGATGACCAGGTTTTGGTGAGTTACCAAGTCTTTACTCGATTTTCATGATGTCACTGACCACTCTAGACCGTCCTCGAGACCAAACCAACTTGTCAATTCGCAGCCGATGCAACCTATGTCATTGCCGGTGGTCTCGGCGGCCTGGGTCGAAACATGACTCGGTGGATGGCCAGTCGTGGAGCCCGAAACCTCATTCTGCTGTCCCGGCGAGGCGCGCGAGACGAGGCTTCGATCGAACTGGTGCGAGAATTGGAGAACGCCAACATTCGAGTGGCCACACCTGCCTGCGACATTACGGATCTCGACAAGCTCACAGCGGTCCTGGACAGCTGTTGTGAGACAATGCCACCAATTAAGGGCTGTATCCAAGGCACCATGGTGGTCCATGACAACATGTTCTCGCAGATGTCGCATTTCGAGTGGACCGACGGGCTGAATCCCAAGGTCATTGGTACTTGGAATCTGCACTGTGCCCTTCCCGGAAACCTGGATTTCTTCGTTATGATGTCCTCTATCTCGGGTATCGGGGGATTTGGTGGCCTTGCTAACTACGCCGCTGGAAACACATACCTAGATGCCATCACCCGGTACCGGGTCGCACGAGGTCAGAAGGCCGTTGCTCTAAACTTGGGTCTGTTTGAAAATGCAGGATATGTTGCCGATCATGAAGCCTTGGTCGAGCGATGGAAAGGGGTGGGATTCTACGTCAAGATGGATCCGGAGTATCTCTGTACCCTGTTGGATCACTTTTGTGCTCCATCCCTGGAACCCCTAACTGCCTTGACTTGCCAGCCGGTGTTTGGCCTGAACAACCCGGCCACGATACAAGCCGCTGGGAAGGAGGAGCCTTACTGGATGCACCAACCACTGTTCCGCCTTCTCTATCAAATCCCTAACATGAGTGCTGGTGCTGATGCTACCACGCGCGCCAAAGGTGAGGCTTCCTATACCGGCCAATTCCTTGCCGCGGCATCAACCCCAGAAGCCGGAGAGATTGTGGCTACGGCGCTCATCAAGAAACTATCCAAGACGCTTGGGCATTCGGAGGGGGATATGGAAGCCGATCGACCTATGCATAATTATGGAATGGACTCTTTGGTGGCCGTGGAGATTCGCAGTTGGCTCTCACGGGATTTTGGGGCGGATGTCGCGATCTTTGATATCTTGGGGGCAGCGACCTTTGCATCGACGGGTCTCTTGGTGGCTGAGAGAAGTACGCTGCGTCAGTCGAAGTAGTTTCTCATTTCCATGATGGTTCTTCTGGTTGATAGAACGTGGTATTGCTATTTCGATCGATAGAGCACCTCCAAAGATATATCTGCTAGTCTTTCTCACCACTACATCTACTCCTTTGCTTCCACATGAATAGTCGTCCCCTTGTCCACTGTGGACTGGATCCCTTGCTCCTTCAAGTCAGCAGTAGCGACCTCGGCCACATCGACGCTGTCCTCTCCATCGAAGTATTTGGCGATTTCCTCCATGGGGGTGTACCGTGTTTCAATGAGGAAGGTATAGATGACGAACACTTCGAATCCCAAAAAGACACAATACACAATGTAGTACTTCCAGGCCAGCGCATCTAGGGCAATGGCATTGATGTACTGGTTGAAGAACAGGGCCGCGGTCACGCAGAAGTTCAACCAGGTGAAGCCTTTGGCACGGAGTCCATATGGCAGGATCTCGGTGGTGTAGTTGGCCATTAACCCAGATCTAATCGACATTGTCAGTGAGACCGTCTGTGGAATTTCGAATGGCAGCACACTTACTTGATGTCGTAAAACACACTATACAAGAAGGTGAAGAAAACAAAGGCGTATCCCAAACCCTTGTTGGGAGCGATCTCATACCGCGCAGACACGATCGTCCAGACATTGAAGACGATAAAGGTGCCCACAGTCGATACCAGATAAACGGGCCGACGTCCCAGAATGTCAATGAGAAAGGCGAACGTAAGATTCATGACCAGACCCTCTGTCTTCATGCCAGCGTTGATGCCCAGCTGGGTCTGCGGGTCAGTGATTCCGACGCTGTCCATGACATACTTGAGATAGTAGGAGATCAATCCGTTTCCACTCCACTGACTGAAGAGTCCCAGGGCAGTGATCAGCCCAATTCTCTTCCGGTTACCCTTGGACCGGAGGAAGTCTGCCCAGCCGGTTTGGCCGATTTCCTTATCGAGAGCGATGGCGGCTTTGATCTCGGAGTATTCGAGTTGCACAAACTCGTCGTTGTGATCACCCTCGGCGTGATACTTCACCAGGACCTCCAGGGCCTCTTCGTGTCGTCCCTTGTTCATGAGCCAACGGGGACTCTCGGGCATCCACCAGATTCCAGCCACAATGACTACCGTGCAGATTCCTTGTAGTAAGCTGGGCAATCTCCAGGACCAATCGCTCTACGGAATGAACAGTCAGTACGTCGACTCTCCGTGCAGTCATGATAGACACGTACCGCAATCTCCAAGGTGCCTAGCGTCACCCAGCTAGCAATGAATGCTCCAGAGTGATACGAGGCTCCGCTGAGGGTCACCAAGACAGCGCGATCTTGTGGATGGGCGATCTCGGCAATGAGCAAGGGGGCACTTCCTAGCACGATGCAGTCACCGAATCCCAGGATCAGTCGCGCAGCAACGAACATGCCAAAGTTCCGAGCACCGGACTGAAGACCGACTGCCAACAACATGATGATGCAACCGATGAACAAGCCCACCTTACGGCCAGCCCAGTCAATCAGATAGGGCACGATGAAAAGACCGATGAGCGAGCCGAGACTCATCGACGCGTTGAACAGACCGAGGATGGAACCACGAGGGTGGTCAAAGTATTCTTGCCAGTACGATAGGGTCTGAAGACCATTCATCATGGAACCGTCGAATCCGTTGGCCGTATTGGTAAGGATCAGAATAACGATGTAGATGTACAGCGTACGCATGTTGCTCCGCTTCCACCAGGGTACACGCTGGAACTCGCGACCAGCAAAGAAGAAGTGTCCCTTGGGTGGCTTCACCGGAAGCACCCGCTGGTCCTGCTTAGGAGGCCGAAATCGAAAGCCCATGGTGAATGTAGGCTCGTTGCAGAAGAGAGACAGTCAGGAGGAAGGATAAGAGAGAATGCACTGGGGATCGTGACGAGACCATTGAGAGCAGGAATAAGTGCCTCTTGTATACCTTTCACACCAGGTACCTCATCGTCCTCGTCCAGAGCAAATGGCTATCACGTTGCCCGGCTATACTCTTCAATTCAGCCGGAAGCGACCCCGCAATCGATCTTGTCTTCCCCGGACTGGGGATGTCCAAATCACAAGATAGCGCCTCTAGTTAATTAGACGAGGACCGGCTAGGCTTCCTTGGCACAGACCCCGGCTCCCCAGATATCAAACGACGACACGAGGCGCAAGACTAATCCTCTTAGCTAAAGTCATCTCAGCCACTGGACAAGACATCCAAGGCGCTCCACCGGGAATTTCCTGCCTCGAGACTGAACGACTGAGACACGGCAGGTGAACCCCTCCCTCACAGCCGATGCCCAAAGCTCGCAGATTCCCTAAGAAAGCCAATATCGCTAGTGCACCAGTCCAGAGTCGAATGACAAGCAACATAGCCAATGGAGGCGTTTTACCACAGCCTGAATTCATATCCTCCACTGGTATGAGCCGGGAATGTGCCTATTATCCAGAGCTTTCGAAAGAGTCTCAACAGTGTACAGAAAGACATCCACGGCATTAGCCAAAGAAAAAGTCTAATTTTAGAGGTAGAAAGCATACGGAGATCTGATTCTCAAACTAGCTAGCTATACTATTCGATGTTCAAATCTCGAAACTCGGCAGGCATATCGTCTGTCTGGGCCACCGCGTATACCCCAATGACCGGCCCAGTAAAGTCAGGACCCGTCAGTTCCAGCGTGTCAACGACAGATACACACTTCCAAATCGCCATATTGCCCTTCTCGAGAGAATAAAGTAACCGGTACTCTTGCTCGGTGTACTCCATTCGGAAGGATACCCGTTCAGGAAGGCTACCAAGTTCATGTTGTTCGCGTTGGACAACCTCCTTTGCTTTATTGACCAGTTCCACGACAATAGCCAGGGTATCCGCATCAAAGAAGATTCGCAGGTACCGATGCTCATCCTTGTAGCAAACCAATCCAGCTTGGGCCCGGGCAGGGGTCCACTTGGTATCAATACCCTGCACAGTCACACTACTCGAACCATCCAAAAGACGTTGTCGTTTGCCGACAAAGCTGGGACTGAGCTGAGGGTCGGAAAGGTCGACTGGCGAGGCTTTCATTGTGATGGATCCAGCAGCGTCATCTATGTGGTAGTTTTCCTGCACCACATCTCGAATGCGAACATAGTCCAACCCGGGCATGACGGCGAGCTTTGAGCTCTCTGCATCGGACATGCCATTTGGAGTCGATTTGACTTGGTCGAGGACTGGCCAGTCGCCGTCCCAGTTGCCACGCGTCAGGAATGTCTCCCGGCCCATGATGAAACGCCCCCGTTGATCCCTGCGCACACCCAGGCATACACACCACCATTGTCCCTCCCCATCCCGAAAGAGGTCTGCGTGTCCCGTGTACTGGATGTACTCGTCGGTGTCGCGCGCGGTGAGGATCGGATTCTGCGGACATTCTTCGTACGGGCCCCAGATGTCCCTGGATCGTGCCATGGTCACAATATGCCCTCCATGGGTCCCACCTTCGGCGATGAGGACGTAGTACCACCCGTTCCGCTTGTACAGATGCGGTCCCTCGGGGTAGATGCCACCAGTGCCACGCCAAATCGTCCTCTCGTCCGAGAGCTTGGCGCCTGTCTGGAGATCGACCTCGAAGAGATTGATGGTCGTGTACGGTCCGGGAGCCGCCGAGCCATGGATGTAGGTTCGTCCATCGTCGTCGAACAGGATGCTCGGGTCGATGCCTTTGAACTCAAAATAGACGGGGTCGCTCCACTCATCGGACCAGATATCGCGGGTGGAGATGATAAAGTTGACGCCGTTGTCTCCCTGGGGGGTCCGGATCACGTTGGTGCATACAATGTAGAAGGTTCCGTTATGGTGACGGATTGTAGGTGCATATAATCCGCCTGTTGCGACCAGCACGTCGCCTGTATCTTTCTGCGGGTGTAGCTGTGTATCGGACACTTTCAGGCTCAATTGGGTTGGACGATTGATGGCATTTCCTTCAACTAACTCAGTCTCCGGCCACGAGTAGATGTCTAGAAGAGGTAGAGAAGGAATACTAACCGATCTGTTTCCAAGACAACAGATCCTGCGACGCGAAGATAGGCAGTCCAGGGAAAAGGTGGAAGCTGGAGTTGACCAGAAAGAACCAATCGTCTACTTTGACAATAGACGGGTCTGGGGCGAAGCCAGGAATAATAGGATTGATCGAAGCAGGCATGATAACTTGAAACAGGAACTATATTGACTCCGATTGCTGAATTGACTTCTACAGGGTTGCCAATGTCCACGAAGATATATATCTATCCGTCTCCGGCGGCACACACATCCCCCGAGGGGTCCGGATAAAGTCCCTCAGTTCGACAACATAAGACATCGAATCTGCCGGAGGATCGTTGCAGGCTATTTCGGTCTATTTTTACCCTGGAGGTAAGAATATTATGTCATAGACCAGGAGAGATCACTAATGAAACCATAAAATTACTATTTCCCTGCCAGAATACATGTCCTCCCACTCTATCTGCCTATCTCCAACGCAGTATGTATAATCAATCATGTACAAGAATGGGTCCAAGATACTCTCCCCACAGCATTTCAGAGGTGTCAATGGCAGTTTAAAAAAGTCCCTTGAGGATCTCCGGGAACAGAAGCTCGTCGTACTCCCACAAGGTGGTCTGGAAATTTACCGAAAAGGCGCCACCGGTCCACCAGGTCGAGCGCCCGCCTTGCAGAGCGTACAACTTCTGGTAGAAACCGTCCTGAAGCTCGGCAACGGATACTCGGGCGTGCATGGGGCCGTGAGTAGCAAAATCCACAAAGTTCAGCTGCTGTCCCGATTCGGACTCCAACAAGCGTCCGGCCTGGAGCAGTGTGTCGAAGTTCTTCTGGACCAACCGCTTGGCGCCGGCGCTGTCAAGCTCGTTGTCACCGACAATGGTGAGTCGGAACAGATGATCTCCACCAAGGTAGTCAATGCGACACGTAAAAGAGGCGTCGGGCAAGGCCAAATAGTTGCTCGGGGCGGCCGATTCAGGGAGATTGTAGTAGGAGTGGTTGGCGGCAAAGGCCGCGTTGTTGACTATGCCGGCGTATTCGTTGGTGTAGGTGAATTTGGACAGGACAGTACGCTCGTTCCGGTTCAGATCAAAGGGGGCCATGTTGGCCGCGGTTGGTTCAATGGCCAGAAGGAGTCGGCGCGCCGTGATGAGAGTGATCTGGCCCGTCTGGCTGTTCTGGACGGTGAGGAAGACCCCGAACTTGGTACGTTTGCTGTCGATCACCGTGCTCGAGTACAGGACATCCTTTCCGAGATGTTTGCCGATCGCATCATACAAATCCTGATTGCGGCCCGAAGCAGGGACAAAGGATGCCTGTTTACCCAGCATTGAGCGAGCCATGGAGGCCCCGAACGCTTGCAGCACAAACAGGGTCGTTTCTTTACTCATGTTTCCGAGTCCGAAGCCGGTGGTCTGATAGATGAGAGGTACGGCTTTCTCGATACCATGCTTGGTAGCAAAGTCACCAAAGGGGATCAGGAGATCTTCGGGAATAGCTCCTGGCGGGGGGAAGTTGTAGTACCCAGGCTGCATGAGATGCTCCCATGGCTCCACGACCTCGAGGAACTTGGCCAAGGCCGTGAGTTGATCAGCAAATGGGGGCGGCGTAAAGTCGACCACATTGCCATTTTGGAAATTGATGTACTCGGTCGTGAGCCTTTTACTCGAGAGCTTTCCCATAGGGATGTTAAAGCGCTCAAAGAACCCCGTGGCATTACCGGTATCGATGAAGCTCTTGACGCCATAGTCATAGGGGATGCCAGTCTTGGGATCAACATAGGTATTCACCATCCCTCCCTAGGTAGCGGTCAGTAAATCGAGCATAGAAAAGCTGAAATATATATATGATGGGTAGCGTACTAGCATGCTCTGTTGCTCAATTAGGGCAATACTCTTGTGAAAATCATCGCGCAGCCGGACAGCAGCGTATGCACCAGAAGCACCACCACCCACAATCACAACGTCTTTGAAAAGGATATTGATGGGACCTGCTACGGCCAGAGATGCCGCAGCTACTAGGCCGAGAAGGGGGGTCACTTGTGCAAACATCTTGGAATGGATTGGAAGGTGAAGCTACCATCTAACAAAAGAGCGAAGGAAAGCAAGTCCGTGTCTGCAGCTCTATATACTATACGAATATCAGGGGAAAAGGAGCATTGGCTGACCAAACTCAATTGCTTGCCAACCGGCAGTTCGAACCACAATGTCACCCGATCCATCAGGCCTAAAGAACTCCATTTGATCTCAGGTACTCCGTAGTAGTAGTCAGATACTGATCGATAATCATGCTACATGTCGCAAGCGATCGCCATGTGGGTCAGCGTCGCACTTATATCTCTTGCCGAGTCGAACAGGCCAGGACTGGACGAATGGAAGACGAATGATATTGGAGTGTCTTTGGAGAGAATCCTGATCTAGATGACGCTAATGTACATTAAGGAGAAAAGGAGAGGAAAACACTAAATCGTCAACTCGTAAAAGAACAGACCCCGTAGCTAGTCCTTAGGAGAATCGAGCTCTGGGCCTCTGGCATTTCCCAGCTGAGTCTTTAGCATATCGATGAGAAAGCCAGATACATGGGAGTCCTGGTGGGGACAACCGGGATGGGCTTTTTTTTCGGCGTCATAGTCATCTCATGCGAGCTTCTACCAGCTGTCAATCCGTTGCAGTTCCGGATCATCGAGGCTCCATCAAGGATCGGACCGAGTAGACGTCTGTCTTCCTTTTGTGGAGAGATTTGTGTAACAACACTTGGTCCATGCTGGGAAAGGGGACAAGATGGGAAAATCTAGGGACATCGTCCGTCGATGCCACTCATCTGAAATTCCAACTCCATCGGTGTCTAAGACACAATTGTGTCCATCAAGTCTCATCTCGCTTGGTTGATTAGTCGGACCGTCCAGGACTAGCCAAGGGACACAGTGAGACAGAATCCCTGTCGGATCACGGCTTGAGACTGGACGAAAATGCGTGGATGTAATCTCTCTCAGACACGTTCTGGTTAACTACTGCAGCCGGCAGGTCTAGTGCCTGTTAGCTTCATCCTGTGACTTGAGATGCCACCGAGACGGGGGATAACTATGGAAGACACAATGGGCTTGTTCTCATTTCATTCCTCCCCATCTCGTAGTCCCTAACTCCTCACTAGTCAGTCTAGTCAATCTGGTAGATTCCAGCTAGTCTAGGCTACCGCACTGGTCGCGATGTATCTGTGATTTCTGGATTCTTGATAGATAGCGCGCACAGGTAAGACGCAATTAGCAAGGATTTCTCGGCTTCACTAACCATTAGACTAGTGCGTAGTGCCTCCACTACATCAGCCAGGAGTCCTGGGCAGGGCACGGGATCGTACATACGGAAGGAGAGATCGTATTGTGTATTTGCTCGCTGACATTGATAATATGGAGTGAGAATGAGTAAAAAAGTAAAAAGATCTGAAATCGTGGCCGTATCGACAAACCCAATTGAAGTGCTCGCAGATCAAGAATCGCCTTCCAAGTCCGATGGGCCGCTTGATATACTCTGTACGTAGTGTCATCAACCATTACACAGTATGCCGGTAGACTAAAAGATAGATCTTATCTTCTGTTACTGAATGCCCTCCAGCTGCAGGGTTCATGTCATCCCTGCACGATACTCCATTGCTGACACTAATTTGGATTAGATCAGGAAATATTTCACCAGTTTCCCACGCTGTTAGTGTTGTCGACCTAGCCAAAAACCCATGTCATCTTTGATCCTGGTTCATCTGCTCCTTTTCTTTTTGTCATTGCCAAAGTGACGGGATGTGACCCTGACCTCAGCATGTAAGTACCCTTGAGTCCCCAACGTGATTCTTCCCGAATACAATCATGGACGTGGACCCTGCCTACGCGAAGGAGTCGCACCTAGGCATCATTCTGGGTGTCCAGACAGCCCTGACAGTCACTGCGGTCACGGTCGTCGCCTTACGGCTCTATGTTCGCATCAAGATCACCAAAACCCCCGGAAGCGATGACTGGACAATGGCGGCCGGCGCAGTAAGTTGATCTCGTCCTTCTTTCTCCCCGTGCGACTGGAATTGACCCAGAGACCCAAAGGTATGTGCCATCGTCGGGTGGGCCCTAATCATCGACCAGGGCCACTACGGCCTCGGTCGTCATGCTGCGGTGATCAGCCAAGAGAACCGCATCAGACTTGTTCAAGGCAAATTCTGGCAGATCATCTTCTGCTCTGCTGCCGGTATCGCGCTGGTCAAGGTGTCTCTGGCTCTGAGTCTGATGCGGTTCAGTCTGACCCGCTGGTATACCTGGAGTTTGTGGGCGAGCATTGGTAGGCTTGTCTGTTGGGAGGGACAGAGGTGATTATCGTACTGATTGATTGTGTACTGCGACAGTGTTTGTCTCGGCTTACAGCTTCCTGGCCGCCATGACCTTTTTCCTGCACTGCCGGCCCATGAAGGCACATTGGGATACGCGGATCAAAGGGGCCCAGTGTTATTCCCTTCATCTCTTCGTGATCTTCGGCCTCATCAACACGGGTATGCGCCCTCTTCCAACTCCCTCCCATCGCCTCGTCACTGACTGGGGTTTGGACATAGCCTTCAATATCTTCACTGATGTTTTGTTCGCCACGTTGCCTATTCCAATCGTGTGGAGGTTGAAGATGAAGCGCAGGGTGCGGATATATCTGACTGGCATCCTGAGTCTCGGTTATATGTCCGTTTCACCCTTCTGACCTGGCAGAATACATACATATATATATATGTATATATATTTCGAGACTAACCAAAGAATAGAGCGGTCGGCATGGGTATCCTCAAGACGATCTGGCAACTGGCATATGCGAAGAATCCCGATCGTTATTTGTAGGCCGACCCATCCCTTGCTGTCGTGGTCATAGAAGCTAACATTGCTACCAGCAATGATTCCATTTCCTTCTGGGGACTGTGCGTCTACTCCCATCCTCAACTTTTTTTTCCCCATCTGACTGACATCCGTGTGCGATAGAGCTCAGTTCAATACGGCCATCCTCGCCGCCTCCATTCCCTCCCTGAAGCCACTGTTCAATCGCTTGCTGCACCTTTCCGACTCGCGATCCCGCGACCAGTACGACAGTCGCCCCCGTGGCCAGAACTCGGGAATCCAATCGACGAACGGAGGGAGGAGTCCGATGTGGTCGCAACATCGAGGAGATCAATACGCGCTTCAGGAGCTGGAGAGCAATGACTCGAGCAAAAAATCCGACCCGATCGAGTTGACCACCGTCACACATCCCAAAACGGCCGGCACGTCCAGTAGGGGTGGCGACCGGCACGAGGGACATTCCGCCGAAGATGAGCAGGCCATTCTCACGGAATGGCCCCCCGCTGCTCGAGGTCGTGGTGGCATTTGGAAGACTACCGAGGTTATTGTCCGATAGCTGGTCCCACAGGTTGGCGGTCCGTTTGATCATTTACTGTACATAGATACCCTAACGTGCACCTTGGCTGTGCCCAATCGCCGATTTCTTTGATCAGATCATAGAGCCCTATCCGCAGTGACGGGGTATCTGCCCGCATCGTGTGTCTAAAAGAGCCTGAACTCTCAAGAGGGTGTGTATTTACACATTTGGCATCGCAGCTTAGTCAGGATTACTGTTGACAGCCAACGGACGACTCAGGTGTCAGTGCTCAAAGGGGCTAGACTACTAGTGGATGGGACAGTAGCAGCGATAATCACATGCCAACGAGTTTGGATCAGCCGAAACGGACTGAGTCTGACGGATTGGATTGAAATATGAATATGGTATGAGCGTGAGGCTGGGAGCTCTTCCTCTGAGCTCTTGATCACTGCATTCTGCTGCTAACAAGTATGCATTAGATCTGCATTGTTGTGTGATGTGTTATGCAGAGAGAGCATTCACGTGACGTGTTGGTTTTTTGACCGTTTCGACACTGAATTCTCGAGCACATGCTATTGGCTGTGGTCATTCAAAAGACCCACTCCATTCAATGGATCACCAGCCGAGGCTAACCCTCTGGACCAATCACAAAGCAAAGAATATCCCCTCAAACGGCCCATGGATCTGCAGGAGTGGGGGGGGAGAGAGACACTGTCCAATCATAAGCATCAATTGCACTCCGACCGCCGTTGAAGAAACCCCGAGATTTCTACTCTCGGCCGGAGTCTGAACCTCAGGCAGGAACCTAGGGAATAGGACCTAGTACTAATAATAATGATGCCTCAGACTTCAACAACACACACTACACGCTAAATTATATCCCGAAAAAAAAAAAAAAAAAAAAAAAAAAGTCAAGTCATGGAGATTGGATTCTCTCTCTTCCCATCTCCCATCGACCATCCACACACACCATGTCGTACCGGATCTTGATTGCAGGAGGCGGCATCGCCGGACTCACCGCCAGCATTGCTCTCGCCAAGGAGCTGGCGGAGGAACCAGAGGTACAGATCGCCGTATTCGAAAGTCGGACCGAAGACGCAATCGGAGACGGAGGCGCGATTAGTCTCACTCCTATTGCTCAGTATCATCTGGATGAACTCGGGGTGCTGGCAGAGCTCAACCGGATGGGAGACGATGGCGGGGTGGAGGTGGACGAAATCAACATCCTGTCGCTCCGTTCCGGACGATCGCTAGGTCCCCTACGATTTGCCGATGATACCGGCCGCGGGTACGGGCGATATAAGAGTCGTCGAGTCCTGCGTCATGCGCTGTTCCGTGCCATGCTCGCGGTCGCGCGCAAGTACGCATGCATCTCGGTGGTCTGCGACAAGAAACTGGTCACTGCCACGAAGACCGCAGACGCCGTGACTCTGCGCTTCGAGGACGGCACCACTGCGACGGGAGACTTGTTGTTAGGATGCGATGGGGTGCACTCGGTCGTCCGCACGCAGCTGGTCGATCCCGGGAATCACTCCGAATACACCGGCATCTCCTTCATCCAGAGCCTGGCCCCGACGGATCGTGTAACGCGACCGCCCCATTTCGACCAAACCGCCATCCACCTTACCCGGCAAGGATCACTGCTTGCCAGTCACTGCAATGCCAGTCGGCAAACCACGTTTGTAGCGGCGATCATGCGCGTGAATGAGTTTATCGTCGAGCGCTACCGCGCGATGGCCTCGCCCGACTCAACTTCCGCGGCGCATAAATCAGCGCGAATGGCGTTGCGCTATCAGGTGCGCAGCAAGTTCGGAGTTTCCGCCTTTCCCTGGGTCCGCGATTGGATCGACCAGACGCACGACTGGGTTCTGTACCCTATCTATCAGGTCCAGCAGCGGCGGAAGTGGTACATCGACCGGGTGCTGCTGCTGGGGGATGCCGCACATGCGGTGAGTCTACTCTTCTCGGCCGGAGATATCAAACTGATCGATCGCAGATGCCGCCCCGGGAGGAGTCGGCCGCCTATGCCATCGAGGATGCGATGCTTTTTGCGCGTATCCTAGCCGAAGATCGGGATCGCGCCCTTTCCGAGGTCTTTCTCGACTATGAAGACGCGCGACGGAGTCTGGTTGACAAGGCATTTGATACCACACGAAAACTCTGGCAGAGCGATTTGGACAAGGGGTTCTTTCCGGGCCATTTTCGCGACTGCATGTCGTCCATCCAGCTGGCGCCGGGATCCCCACGCGACATTCCCAGTGATCGTGATTGTGATCCATCGCGAAAACGTATTTTTCCCCCACCGACACACGAGAGCATGTCGGATCTATCGGTGTATTCGCTGACCAGCGAACTGGAGGGAATGATCCAAGCGGAGGAGGTGGGTATAACGAAGCGATAGATGAGACCCTTTTTTTTTTATTCTTTTCGATCGGATTATGGCGTTTAGGGTGGGAAAGGAGAACATACACAGCTCTAGCTTCGATCATTTGTCTTTTTTTTTTTTTTTTACAGATATGGTCAAAGAAACAACTATTCATTTTTGCCCAGATTGTTCACACTCTCAATCACAACAGGATTGTCCCCAGAGTGATTCCCAGCACCACCATCCAGCCTGCCTGCTCCAGTCGAGGAGCGGCAGATTCTCCGGGGTCTTTGACTTCGTTGGCGTACGGGTCGGGATATTTACTGACTTCGTCCTTGCTGATGTTGACCACTTGCCATCTGCCCGAGATGATGTATTTGTGCTGCCAAACCGGCGCACAGAACTCGACTCCCGTCCCATTCTCGAGAGCCCCTGTGCAGTTCGACAGGGCCCCGGTGTAGCAGAACATGAGCGCCGTCAGGTTGAGGTACCCCGACTGGCCCGGTTGGAGAATACGAGTCTGGTCGATGGATACGATGACGGAGTCGTTGAAGGCCGGTGCAAGGTAACTGGCCTTGTCCACGGCCGCCTCGACCATGGATGGCCAATAGCCATTGTGAAGACCGGTGACGTTTTTCAGGGCCGGGAACAGCTCATCTCCGCTCGCGGTCAGGGCGCAGGTCATGTTCGAGTTCTTATCATTCTGTTGAGGACATGTTTTGGCGCCACTCACGCGCATCGGCGGGTACTCGCGCAGATAGGGAGCTTTGTGGTCCCAGTCGAAGATGGTGCAGTTTCCCCCTGTCGTGTCACTGGTCTGGGCCAGAGAGGGGATACTGACGGCTAGGAGGAGAACAGAATTGAAAAGAATAGAAGGAACCATATTGGCGATATGCTTTTGCTTGGGGCCAATGTCAATGACGCCGACAGGGCAGCACAATCCATCACCTTTATATAGCGGGCAACAGTACCATGACATTGCCTCGCCAGCCTGGTTGGGGCCAAAGAAAAAGCTCTCTATTACATCATCCAAACAGCCAACACAATGAAAGAGTGAAACCAACAACCAACATGTTGAGGCACCGCCGACATCTCACTGGTCAGCCTCGCTCTCCAGCACAGCCTTAGCCTGTCGCGCTGCTCGGCGCCGTCAAGCTTGGCGATTGGACTGGCTCTGAGGGGGCCAAAATAAAGCTATGTGGAGACTCAGTATAAAATGGCCATGGTTTCCTGGACGATCATGGCGCTGTGACCATCTCCCTTTTCCCAGGGTTGTTAAATTAATCAAGTCCCTGTCTGCAACGGCAAGGCATTCTCCTGGCAAGCATGTTTATGATCCCTGTCGTCGTATGTCTTCCTGACCGCACTCGGGGAATAAAACCCGGCCTGGCTTCTGAGGCTGCCACGGTCTATCGCTGTGACTCCCCACTGCCCTTCAACCCTATTAACCGCACTTGCAACTGGTCCGAGACTGTAAGTTGTACGCAGTAAGAACTTTCAAGGTATGTCCATAGCTCTTAGGGTTGACGGAATCATCCTACCCACATGTGGGTTAAGCATCTCAGAATTCAGCGGATGACCGACTCTACAGTCAAAGAACGGGCCATAGAAGCGTACACATGGCTTCAAATCTATAGGTAGAATGAGCAGTATCGGGGACTTGGTTTCCGTCGATGTACATATATCAACCCAGTGCATATATTCCCATCGGCTCCCCTGGCCTATCGGCTCTACCGCAATCCCCTCCTTTAAACACAAGCCACATTGGCACTTTGAAGGGTAACATCCGCGCTGATACAGATTGGCTCAGCACCCACGGGAACAGTGTTGACGAGCCCAGTCTCGCAGTTGGGGTCGGCAAACACCTTGAGGACGGGGGTTTTGGAGGCATCGTCACACGCGCCCGAAGTGGCGGAGGCTCCATAGCTCTTTTCGGGGAAGTTTTCAAAGTTGACACAGTAGCCCGCCACCAGGGTCGAAGTCCCGTAGAAAGTGGTGCAGTCTGGTCCTCCATAGGTGGTGAAGGCCACCGAGAGTTTCGCGGAGACCGACTGGACGAGGGCCAGACCGATAACGGCCTGAGAGTGTCAGCATGTTCCCGGAGACGATCGGACTAGAACAATAGTTACCTTTGTAGCGTTGGAAAACATCTTGAGTAGAATTGGCTTCTGGATTGGAGAATGTTGCGTTGGATGATGAATATCACAATGGTCTGGGGTGGATGGAGATCTATATATAGGTGCAGTCAACCAGAGACTCTCCGTGGATATAGCCGCCGCCGGGTTCAAACAGTAGACTCCGTGCAGAACATCGGAGTTTTCCGTGAAGACGGCTGCCTCCAGTGAAGTCAGATCAATTCTGTGAGGTCCTTGCAGGTAACCAATGGCTGGATTTTTGTGCTGCGGAAACGTCCGCACCTGCAGTGCAATAGATGACAGGAGCGCCTCGCTTGGAGTAAGCTGACATCCTGCAGAACACCCCCTACCCGACGATATGCCTCATTGATAATAGGGAAATTCAATTGAATCATTGATGGAATATTATGTAGCTTACTGGCGGAGTAGAGGAGGTGAATGCGTTGTGTTTACAGTTTTCAGTCTACATTAGGAAAGGCTACTTCAGCCATAGCCTAAAACCTGCCCTACGATGTTAAATTGCTCAGCGATTACGGATAGATTGGAATGCTTCATTCGTATGATCATATCATCATATGATTCCCTTGTGTCCATGGATGCTAACTACCAGTGGGGATATTACGGAGTATCGCAGCCATCAAGCCTGTTCAACATGGACACCCGGTCTCTTCTCGTCAACATCATCGTCAATCTGCTTGTGCACTGCAGCTGCCACTTCATTTGCTTTTTCCTTGCCCTCGAACACTGATTCGGTTAGCCATGTCTCACAGACGGGACGAGGATACGTACTGAAGGACAACTCCTCGAGGGTTCGTCCGGATGTCTCGGGGAAGAAGAAGTAGATAAAGACGACTTCAAAGGCCAACCAACAGATATACACCAGCAGCCATTTCCAGGTGATATTCTTCAAGCCCACCGGATTAACGTACGTGGCGAAGAATGCAGCTCCGCGACCGAAGAATTGGAACCACGAGAGACCGCGGGACCGACCAAAGTATGGGAAGATTTCGACCAGGTAAGCTGGCAAGTCAGCGCATTTCAACATTCAATCTGCTAGGAACAGACAACTTACTATAGGTCAGGGCATTGTAGCCCAGGTTGTATGCAGGGGAATAGCAAAACATGAAGAAGATTGTTAGGATAGCGGCCGCCCTGGCGTGCGTCGACAGGAATCTCTCCATCGCGATGGTCCAGGCAATGTACACGCAAAGCAGCGAGCAAGCACACGTCAGATACATGGTCCGTCGTTTGAAGCGAGGCGCAGTCAGAGCCAGTGCAGTGCCGCAGACGAGACCCCAGCAGGCGATGCCGATGTTGATCTTCGACTTGACCACTCCGTCGGTGACGCCAACCATGTTCAGAAGGTCACTCAGATAGTATCTACCTTGATGGTTAATATGTTGGATCACAGCCCAATTCGTGGAGGTACATACGAGATCAAAGTATTGCCCGACCATTGGGTAAACAAGCCCAGGAAGGCGGAGATGAATAAACGACGTCGCATGCCGGCCGTTCGAAACATATCCCACCAGCTCTGCTTGGACTCCTCCAGTTCGAGCTTGATGGTGCGTTCAATCTGGGCAAGTTCTGCACGGACAATGACTGAGGTGCGATCCCCCTCAGCATGGTACTTGGTGAGCACGTTGAAGGCTTCTTCGTGGCGGTCTTTACTGATGAGATAACGAGGGCTCTCAGGCAAGAAGCTGGCTCTCGGTTAGCTGCGATGGATGACCAGGGCTCCAAGGGACAGTACAAGACAAAGATAATCTGGATCATGGCCGGAGCGATCTGTAACAGAGACGGGATCCTCCACGCCCAGTCGGTTTGGATGGTAACCGTCCCCAGGCCCACGGCGGCAGCAATGATTTGGCCGATGAAGTACGATGAGTTGAACAACGAGGTCAGGATAGGGCGTTCCTTTGGATAACCCAACTCTCCCAGCAGAGAAGAGCCAGCCACGATACAAAAGGGGATACCAAACCCAAGGATGATCCGCGCAACGACATACATTCCGACTTAAACAATCAGCCTGGCTCTTGAGTCGGGTGCAAAACCTCACCTCCGTTGGCAAATCCTTGCAGCAAGGCACCGAGCAAGCTCACGTAGGAGCCAAACAGAATAGTCCATCGACGGCCGACCCGTTGATTGATCCAGGGCACAAAGGGGAGGGAGCAGATGGCTCCGAGAGAGTATGCTGCCCCGAGGAAGCCTTTAAGATTTGCTTCAATCTCATACTTAGGCTTTCCATCGACCATCTCCCCCGTTGGATGGCCAAAATCTACAACGATCAGCAAGCAACTTAATCAATTCAGGGATGCACACATTTATTCCATGAATAGACGATCTGCACGGTATTGATGATCTGAGAATCGAATCCAGACGTGATCTCAATACCCATACACGCCGGGAAGAGGACAAAGTACAATGTCCTCAGATTAGGCTTCCTGTACCAGGGAGTGTGGTCATTGGCCAGCAGATTGCCCAGGATGGGCTCCGAGACATCCTCCTCGCGTTGTTTACCGACTGCAACCATTTTGCGGTGTAGGATGATCGGCTTGATGGTGGATCAGGGACGAGCAGACAGGATCCCCTGCTTTATGTAGCCTATGTGACATGGGAGCACGATACTAAGCCAAGGCAAATGCCCAAGTAGACAGCAGTTGTGTCTGAGACCCTGAACAAGAGATGAAACTCTACCGGGGACTCTCTTGGATAGAAACAGCATGCTAGACCCCCACGCTGTCACACGGAAGGTCTCGTAATAAGTTTGGTAAGAATCCCCCGCCGATCGTGTCTGATCCTGGACATATTTGAAGCCAAAGAAAGCACCATTGGCATGCCTGCCAAGAGCGGTCCAGGAGTGTTGCGGGGTTTGGGGGTGAATCCAGGGATTTGATTGAAGCTCTACGCTTCAGGTAGAGCAATAGGCGAGGGATCATCACACGCTCCACTGTTACCCCAGATTGAACAAGGTAAAAGTCCAGGGAGAAGGGTCTTACAGGTGAGCACTAGCAGTTTGAAAAATCCCCACTGGTCCAGATTCTAGGATAAATGGCTCTTTAACCGGTGCCAAGTGTATTGGATAAGCCAAGCCCTAGGTCTTTGACCTTCAAGACCAAGGCATTCTATCTAGACTCCTGTCCAAAATGTGGTCTCGTCCACCGTGAATTCCCCCCGAGCTACAATGTCCTGACTCGACGTACCAATCAGGACCTGATACACGCCCGCCTCGCTCTTCCACATGTCTTCAATCCCATCCCAGAAACTCGTGGCATACTTGTCAACGCTAATGACGACTGTCTTCTCCTCTCCCGACTGCAGAAAGACTTTGCTGAACCCTTGCAGTTCCTTGACAGGGCGTGGGGTGGCCGATGTGGGAGCTGCAACGTAGAGCTGCAGGATCTGAGCCCCGGCCACTGGGCCAGTATTCTTGATTCGAACGGTGGCGCTGAGGGGGGTTTCAACAGTAAACGCAGTGGGAGAAACCGTCACCTTGGGAGATACTTCAAACAACGTATACGACAGTCCATGTCTACGCCGATGAGCATGCATTGCGTGAGTCACGGGGGATATACATACCCAAACGGAAACAACGTCACCTGTCCAATCTTCTCATAGAATCGATATCCAACATAGATATCCTCTCCATAGAGCATCCTCCCACCAACGCTCAGACTGTTGAGATACGCAGGATTATGTCTCACATCAGCCGGCCAGGAAAGCGGTAGCTTGGCGCAAGGGTTCACATCACCAAACAAAACATCCGCAATGCCATGGCCAGTTTCATTGCCCCCATACCATGCCTGAATTATCGCTCGAGCACGATCCGACCATGGCATCATGACTGGTGTCCCGGACTGGTTGACAATGATCGTTTTGTCCCCTGCGACATCAAGAACGGCAGAGATTAACGCATCAATTCTAGGCGGAAGGTCCATATCCGGACGATCGAATCCCTCCGACTCCCAGTCCCGATTGAGACCTGTACACAAGATTGTATAGTCCGCCTCGGACGCTGCCTTCACGGCGTCCCGAACCATCTGCTCGGGATCCATGTGCAAAAATGCGCCTAGGTGTGCAGCACCACCACCAAAGTGCACCACCCCGATGGCTTTGATGGGACTGGTATTGGCAGAACCGAACTCGATCCGAATCTTATATGTCCGTCCAGCAGTAAGCTCCTTTGCCCCAACTTCTTGTATGGTCCCTTTTCCAAAGAAGGCTGTTCCACGGGTCTGTTGGGTGGTGTTATCGATCACCATCTCGTCGTCGATGTATAGAGTGGCCGTACCAAATACAGTTAGACCGAAGTCCCAGAGTCCCGACACATCAGGTGTGAACTCCCCATCTAGAGTAGCCCAGAAGAGTGTTCGATTAAGCCCTGGTGTGTTGTAGTCCATCAACTGGAAGGCGGTGTTGTTGACAGGCTCGGTCGACAGCAAGGTCCGTTCCTTGTCCGCCGGTTCATTGTAGAAGCGGATCACGGCGTTGCTGAGCATCCGATCGATGACGGGTAGCATTTTATGGGCATATGCGCCCGTCTCGTAGATGATTTCTGTGTCTGGGAGGACTTCGATAATTGCATCGTACAGAGAGACAGCGTAATATGGTTGCAGCGAGGCGCTCCCACCACCAGAAATAGCCGGGGTCTTCACATGGGAGCCGATAAGAGCAATCTTCTTGATCTTCTTTGGCAAAGGAAGCAGCGTGTCTTCGTTTTTCAAGAGAACGATACTGTTTCCACAGATCTCCCGGTTCAGGGCCCGGTCTTCTGGATAGTCACGACCGCTTTCCACAGCGGACGCCGGAGCCTGGCTTGCCCTTGCCGCAAACTCGAGCACTTTGCGCGCTCGCTGATCAATTGTCGACTGCTTGACCAGACGTGCCTGCACCGCAGACTCGATGTACTTCCCGCGGTAGCGAGAAGGGCCGGGCATCTCCAGGTCCAGCCCGGCGTTGAGAGAGTCGATGGTGGTGTAGGTGCCTAACCAATCGCTCATGATCAGGGGATCCCACTTCCACTCCTTGCGAATGATATCGTACATGGCCGGGTTCTCGACGACATGCTTGCCGTTGATCTTATTGTACGAGGTCATCAATGCTCCCGAATGGGCATCCCGAGCCACAATCTGGAATGGACGGAGGTAGATTTCCCGCAGCGCCCGCGGGGTGACCATCACATCAACTGCGCGACGCTCATGCTCCTGGTCATTTCCGACATAATGCTTAACAGCGGAAATGACCCCGGTGCTTTCGCAGCCCAGGATGATGGATTTCGCCATCGTGCCCGACAGATGCGGATCCTCGGCAAAGGACTCGAATCCGCGACCTCCCAGGGGCGAGCGCTGCATGTTGATGGTCGGACCCAGCCAGCAATGCGCTCCTTTGGCTAGACATTCCTGGCCAAGTAAGACCCCGGCTTTGTGCAGCAAGTCCCGATCCCAGGTGGCGCCCAGGGCGGTGCCGCAGGGCAGACAAGCGGCCGGGACGCCGGCGAAGAATTTGGTTCCACGCACTCCATTGGGGCCATCGGTGGTTCGAATCGGAGGCACATTGTGTTCGGGGATCGAGTACGTATGCCAGAAATCCGTTCCTATCAGACTTAGTCGGTATGGTTGGCGAGTCTGGTGGGTGGAAAAATACTACCTGATAGAAGAGCGATCTTGTCGTCCTCGCTGATGCTATTCAGAACATGGTCTACGTCGAACTTTGCCGTCATTTTGCCGGTGGTACTGTGATGGGTCATTCGATCATAACCACCATGAGAGGATACGAGCTACATCCTTCACCTGGAGAGTCGTAGATGTACCCTTGGTCAACCGTTGATCGTCACGGCTTTCGCCCCGAATTCCCGATGGAGCGCGGGGTAGATAAAATCCTCACTAAAATGACAATGTCTTGCACTACTAGCAGACTGGAGACAGTCCAGCCAGGAGTAAGACATTTCTGTCGTTGGCTTTTGATCACTAATATGCCCGTGGACCCCCACGCCATAGGGCTAGTCTCCGCCACAGGGCTAATTCATCTGGATACAAGAGCATGGAACAAGGAGGTGATGGCCATGAGGATTCTGCGATGAGCTCGCCTATACTTGAGAATGCTCCAAGTCTATACTCCATAGCTACAAGTCGCCAGCACGAGTCAGCATGACCACCATCTTCCGCTGGATCGACCATTCAGATGTGAGAACCCGGGATCAGGACGATGGCTAGGTGCTTGGATCCTCGACAGGTCACCCATCGGCGCTTAATGAAGATCTTGACACGAATTGCCACCTTTATTGCTGGACCAACAAAACAAAGATTGTAATCAAGGCTACCTCATACTCCAGTATATATACGCAGAGAATGCGTTCCGCCAGTCAAAAACTGTGGTTTAGCGACTTCATCCATTGGAAAGTTATGGCCCTCCAGATGGACCTGGACCCTTATAACAGAACCAGACGCATTATGCTGTCATTCTCATCCATGTTCAGTGCTTCTTTCTCTTCTTCCTTCGACTCCACTATGCTGAAGACGATAGCCGGGAGTATTTGACGAAACCCGATGTCGTCCACGGGGGCAGTAGCAGCAGCAGCAGCAGCAGCAGTAACAGCAACTGCGACAGCAACATCTGCGAGTGATAATGAGTCGTCCACCACTCTGGCCATTGCTCCCTCGATTGTGACCACGACAGTCCCCATGGTCAGCGTCTTCACTCCTCCCGCCTCCTGTTCGTCACGATGGACCTATGAAGCTTCGACTTATAACGGGATTACCAGCGGGGTTCTGATACAAAATGCTTTCTTCGTCGACACCGAATGCTTTCCTCCTGGCTTCCAACAGAATGGACGTGTTCTTGTCAACCAGGTCTTCAGCCCAGGCGTATGTCCGGAACACTATAGCACTCAGCAATTCCTCGTGCGAGACTCCGTCACCACAGCTACCTGTTGCCCGAGGTGTGTGTTGACAACCTATTTTACGTTCCCCTCTGCGACCATCTACCTGAACTAAATCTTTGCAAGTGACTTCTCGTTCAACGGGGACCCGGTATACGGTGGATGCATTAGCACCTTCACTGGCGCCACTCGCGTCGCAGCACGAGCGGGTGGGTTCGGCAGCAAGGACTACATCACCAGCACCAGCATTTCAGGAACATATACAATGTGGGGGATGCCTCTGGTCGTCCAAATCGAGTCAACCGATCGAGCTCTATATGCAACCGCCCTCCCACCATCCGCTGCAGCCTCTTCCACACTCGCGACGACCACCTCCTCCTCGTCTTTGTCGTCGCACTCCAGCGCCTCCCCCATTCAGCCTCCTATCCAGACTTCCGTTTCCTCCGCCTCCAGTGGACTCTCGGCTGGTGCCCAAGCGGGTGTCGCTGCTGGTGCGGCTGTGGGCGCCCTGCTGATCCTGGGACTGTATATCCTATGGCGACGAGGGCGGAGGAAACCCAAGGCTGAGAAAGAGTCTTTGCAACCTAGTGAGTTACAGGGAATCCCAGTCTCGGAGGTTGCTGGTACTCCACAGAAAACCATGCGGCATTCATCCTTTCAGATGTGTGAGCTGCCAACATAATGAATAATGTCATGTATATATATGCTGGGATGGTCGTCTTTTTTCATGCGCTCTTGGGATAGTGTTTTTTATTTTCTTTTTCTCTGTTTGCTTAACAGAACTTCAAGGCGCCAGAGGGTTAATATTTCGCAATTCTTGACCGGGCTGAATCACAAGAGCATGAGTTTTAGATTTCTGGTCTCTACGGAGTATTTCTCTATTTAGTACAACATGTAATGAGATAGGATCAGGCGTGGTTTTTTCCAGGCGCATCCCACAATCCACATCAGGATCGACCATGTGGGTTTGCTCTGGGCTTCCTGGAGAATGCACCAATAATAAACACAGCAGAAACAGCCAGTCTGTGGTGCAGCTGAAGAGTGAGCAGCCAAAACGCCCAGGAAGTCCGCTTCAGCTGGAGATGGCGTCGATAGCTGCAAATAGTCTCGGGAGTATGGACGAATACTATCAACGGGGTAGTTATGGAAAATTCATCAACCCCAGCAATTCAGCAATTCAATTTGGCTCTCATGATGATCGACAGGAGTTCTCGACGGCCCGACGCAAGGAGTCGATTCAATTCACTCCCCTTTCACCTCCTATAAACAGGTATACAACCCCCATCGCGTCAGCATTCTTGAGCGAAGCCTTTCTTTCCCAATTGCAATCACCACCATGAAGAATCTGGGATAAGGTTTCTACCCATGCCTTTGCGAGGCGTCCAGGATGAATGAACAGCTCTGGTTAAGCACAGATCCCCCCGAGGCGGTTGCTGGCTGGCTGCATGTACCATCGCCCTGTGATACTATTGTATTGCCAACTGCGACATGCAGGATCCACCGTTCAGCTGCGGCAGCCAAATGACTTGTTCGATCCTCTGGCAGACGTTGATAAATAGCGGCCATCCTCGCGCCCAGGAGCTCCATCTTTTGTGACAACTATCCTCAACCTCGCCCATCCCCATCATGCTCCTCTCGCGCGCCCTCCTGGTGCTGAGCACCCTGCTTCCTGCCACCGTCCTGTCGCAGATGCATGTAAGTATCCTAGAGTCACACGATGCTCTCTCTCTCTCAATCTAACATTGTGACAGGAACCCGTCTTTCCCTCCAGGTGTCAACCCGATCCCTGTGAAGGCATCACCTTCCGAAACGACTCATTCATCTGTGGAGACTCACGTCTGGGGCCCGTTGTCCCGCCCAAAAAGTTCCCTCTTCGCAATGAGCTACGCACCTATGCGCCTTTTGGCTCGCTTTGCCCCGCCGAGTTCCTCGATCGATGGGCGACGGATGTCGCGCCCAATGGTACATACACCTATCCCCCTTCCAGTGGTTTTGTGGTGGACGCGGATAACGAACCCATCATCGGCAATGTCACCCTCCCCGTCGGCATGAAGGTTGATCGCTTTGGATCGGAGTATGGCTCATTCCTGGCGCCGCTCGGGGCCCCGTACATCCAGCGGGCCTTGCCCCCGAGTAACCTCAACACGTACGACGGGAACTACCCGTACAACTACCATGTGTACCAAGTGACCAAGGAGTTCCTCGTCGGTCTGGGTCCGATCGCCCCTTGGTTTGAGCAGCCGGGCATGGGGACGCAGTTTGTGACGTACACTAATGTGATGGGGTTGATCAATGGAGGGTTTCTGAGACGGCTGGATGAGAGCGAGTATGACGAGAAGGTGGAATATTCCAATTCGTATACCCCGGGGCCCAATCAGGATTGATTGAGATTGTTGGGACGTTTCAAAATGAAAGTACATACATACTTGGGCTATCTCTAATCCAACTAAAGACATATCTTCTTAGTGCAGCTTGGCCCTGGTTCCAGGCAGACATCGAGCATGTACACTTGGTCGACTGAGATGCTCACTTTGGTGTACTAATACATCACTGGATGCATTCGATCAATCAAATAGCAATTGGGATGCCCAAATGGCATAATGCGAGGCCGCGGAGCATCATAACATTGATTTATCTTTGCGCATCATCACATCCGCCGCCAGGATGGTGCAATCACGCATCTAGCTCACCTCATAGCGAAGCGCGCATCTACATCCAAAAATCTACACCCAAAGAGATGCGATAACGGATTCAGAAACTCGGCATCATGCGATGGTGTCATATTCTGAATCATGGCGATGCTGTCAACCCCGCAAAACACACATAGTTTATACCCAGTATCGGTGATTACGAGTTAAGCACATCATATGGCGAATTCAGTATATCTAAGATATCGACGCGAAAGGACACGGGTATTCGGCATCAATGGGGTACATATAAATATTCTACTCTTGACCCCCCGAGACACATATCCACGCCACCATCACTGACTCACTCACCGACCACAACAAAGCAAGACACTATGGCTCCAACCCTCGAAGAATCCTCCCATGTGGTCCCTATCACGATTCCGTCCAAGGCCGCTCAGGGACCATCGACCCTCCAGCGGGAGCCCCTCAAGTTGTCTGGGGTCCTCGATCAGTTCGAATCTTTCGACGTGACCCCGGTCATCGGAAAGGAGTTTCCCACAGTCAACCTCAAAGAATGGCTTCAAGCTCCTAACTCGGACGAGTTGTTGAGGGACCTGGCCATCACCAGTATGCATATGCACTCCCTCCTCGTAGAAATGTTTCCATGCTGATCAAACTGGTAGTTTCCCAACGGGGTGTGGTGTTCTTCCGGAAGCAAGACGACCTGGACAACGATTCCCAGAAAGAACTTATCCAGCGTCTGGGCCAGTTGGCCGGCAAGCCCGCAACATCCGGCTTGCACATCCACCCCGTCACCAACGCGGGTCGTGAGCATGGCGGCAAGGACGATGAGATCAGTGTCATCAGTTCCGAACAGCGCAAGAAGCTGTACAAAGGCCGGTATGTCAGTGGACAAAGTCTCAAAGGCGGCTGGCACAGCGATATCACCTTTGAGCCTGTTCCTAGCGATTATGCCGTGCTCCGTCTAACCAAGCTGCCCAAGACTGGAGGAGGTAGGCTGATCCTCACGTATTTCATCGTCATGAGGTGTACTAATTGTGACAGACACCCTGTGGGCCAGTGGATACGAAGTCTTCGACCGCATCTCCGAACCATATCAACGGTTCCTGGAATCCCTGGCAGCCACATACGCCCAGCCCGGATTCAACCAGAGCGCCAAGGACAACAACTTCGAGCTCTATAGCGGGCCGCGTGGTGCCCCAGAGAATGTCGGGACTGAGCTCCGGGCGGAGCATCCTGTCATCCGTACCAATCCTGTGACCGGATGGAAGAGCGTGTTTGCCGTTGGGGCTCATGTCGAGAAGATCAATGGAGTCGCGGAGGAGGAGAGTAAACACCTCCTGAACTGGTTCGTGACGTTGATCGTCGAGAACCATGACCTGCAAGTCCGGCACAAATGGAACAATCCAAATGATCTGGGTAAGGCTCCCTCTCTTCTCGCTCGTTATTCCTGCTGATCCATCGTATAGCTATCTGGGATAACCGCAGTGTATACCACACTGCGACAAATGACTATGATCCGTTTGGAGAAGAAAGAGAAGGACAGAGGGCTGTGAGTCTGGGAGAGCGACCCTACCTCGATCCCAACAGCAAATCCCGGCGACAGGCTTTGGGGCAGGCTTAGGCGTTGGGGGGGAGAACCTACCTTAGAGATAGCGAAGGTTTCTCATTCAGTTGCAAAGCGTTCCTTGTTGAATCCTCTTCCGGTACCTATTCGGTTCATCGATGCGCTGTAATTGATTCTCATATCTGACACTTTACCAGTCTATGGTCTGGTTGGTCACTTTATTGCAGGCATATTGGCTATGTGGGTGTGTAGACCATTTGAAAATGGTGAGGTCTTCGTCTGCTGTCCTCAAAACTCGATAAATGGCCAAGTGCCTTAGTGCCTTAGTGCCTTAGTGCCTTGGTTTCTGAGGAAGACCCTATACCAACCACGTGACGCGGGTGGTCTTCGCTGCCAACCACCGAAACAAGTGAAACAACAGCATCAACGTCAACTCCATAGTCTGTGCTTGGATCACCATTCAATAATGTTTATATTTCTCGATTACTGTATCCTCATTCATTGGTCTATTCCCTGAACCTCGTTTTTCTCGAAAGTACACCAGCACCATCGCAAGCATCTCCATGCACTGCGGGGTTGTCCATGCATGGCATTAACAAGTCAACGACTTGAACACAAAATGGCGCAGATCGTCAGCGACCCGACAAGTGACAATACTAAATCAGGAGCCAAGATGCCAACCGGACAGCTCGATGATTCGATCCACTCAAGTCGACCGAGGCGTTGATCCTGTTGCTGCCGTTACGCACTACGTTAGGGGCTTAGCTATTATCGTCCAAGTGACTTTCTCAGCCTCGTCGGCCTGCACCAAAATAAAATCCCTGCGTTGCTCCGGTCGGCCTCATCGACAGAGCGCTGTGCGCTTCGCTTTGAGAATGTGTTCACAGTATGGACCTCCATTTTGAGAATCTGCCAGATGCCGACCATCCAGACTTCTCCAATCTCATTCACCGTAAGTCTATGGCGTGTTGCCCAAGCGTGCTGAGTGTTTACCAACAACCACAGCCTCACGGAACCCTATCACACGGCAGCTGTCATACAGTGCTGCACGGATCTCTCCGAATGACTTGTCGTCGCGTCGACATGCTCCATACGTGTCGTTCGGCGACAATGGTGTCACCGCCAGTGGAGGCGCGTACGGCGCACTCATGCGACTCTGCCGCTACATTGACCGGCCCGACCTTCGCTCGAAAATGATCGGACTTGAATTCAACGATGAGGCGGAGGCATGGTATGTCTACTGGCGGGCAGCACAATTTCTGCAAGACGCGCCACTGCCGAAGAGCGGGTTTGGGCTGCGAATTCTGACTCCTCTCCCACAAGAGTCGCCGAAGCTGGATTTCCTTGGTGATCGATGGCCGGTGATCACCTATCGCACAGGCGGTTTTCGAGTGACAGTGACGTTGTCGTGCCAGAACCATATTGTGGTGCAGCATACCAGTATACGGAATGAATCATCCTCCCTGGGCCAGTTGGAGTTGCTTCTCGACCCGAACTTCAGAATTCAGGATTTGGATTATATGGAGAAAAGGGAAAACCTACCGGCGCGCTATAGGAAAGGGCCACACGGCTATGGAATCATAGCAATCGAGGACAATCCGGATTTGAAGCCCGATGCGGAGCGTATCTGCGTCCTAGTTGGACTCCTCAGGGATGGTATCGTCCAAAGACTGGACTTTGAGTATGCTGCCGAAAATTCAGAGGATGCAATGGACGGGGCCCATGTGCGACCAATCAACTTCAGTGAGCAACTAAAGGAAAATACTTCCCTTGAGCTTACTGCAGTATTCAAGTTGCAAACCACCACGCTTATGGCCGATTGGAAAAACTTCATCCTGACCAGCTCCGAGCTGGATTTCGATTTCGACCAGGATCACACCCTCGAGACTGCCAAGTCACCATTTTTGGCAGACGAGGACTTGAGCTGGCATTTTCGTCGAAATCTGCAGCACATTCTATCGGTGTGTAGCGTCCCAATCAAGACTCCGACTATTGTGGAGAGCCCTGCATCCCCTGCTTCCGCGAGTGGTGCCCACGGCCCTATGATCACGCTGAACACACCCGACGATCAAGATTATATCCTCCATGGCAGCGTTGAAGCCGAGGTTGACGCTAAGGATATGGGCGCCGTAGCCCTGACTTGCGGAGATTTTGGTGACCACCTGGTCAGCGTATCAGGGACTTAGTAAGCGTCCAAATCATTCGGGCGATCTGTGGGAGCCGATGACTTATTCAAATTACAGTTTTGCATTTTCTTTCATGTTAAGGATGTACGATCGCCTGCCTCGTGCACCCGCCACGCGGCAGCGCATCCACGCAACGTGCAGGGGCCACCTCAAGTGGCTGTCCTTGCTTGATCCCAGTCGGGCATCCGTCTCGAATTTCTGGGTAGACGGCACCGTCACTGGCCACTCCGGCGCGACAGATCTGCCACCAAACAGCCCTGCCAACATGCCGAGCCATATCATGAAAGCGACAGAATACCTGAAGATTTTCGATCGAAGGACAGAGTTGATCTTCGTCTGTGGCTGGTTGGGGCCCTTCATCGTGGAGTGGTTTCAGCAGCTCAGCAAAACAAAGAACCGCCTGACACCTACATGGCAACACCTGGACAGCTCCGAGATTCCTTTCTATCGCCTAAGTGATCACGTGTGGATTTGGAGAGCCCTACAGGAGATTGAGGATTTGATCGAAAAAGTGGAAAAGGCGCAGAAAATGATGCCCAACCTGACACTGACGACATTCCTGCGGGTGAAAGAACATTTGCCCAGTAAAGGGACACGAAGGCTACATACCGGAGCGACACTGAACTGCACTGCTGAAGAGATCAGAAAGCAGACTCTGCGACGCTTCACCTTGGATAATGATATACTGAGGGAGAGAATGCTCAGTGTCACCCGTAGCGCCCGTGAAACTCGCTTTTTGTTACACTCTCGAGACACCATCCTGTATTACGGGCTCGAATGGGGTTTTTTCAAAGGGGAGGAAGAAATGTGGCAACAGCTTATTGAGGCGCAAACCCGACATGACGAGCTCGCCAACGATGAGACTCAATGGGACAATCCTCTCCGATACGGATTGGCGATGGAAATGGCCGTTCATGAGCACAAGCTTGACCGATATTTTGAGCCCCAGGATATGCTTGAGCATGCTAAGCGCGTTATTCTGGACTCTTCATCCGAGAATGGTCTTTTCCCCGGTCAGATTGATGGCTTCAGCAAGGACCCAGCGCTCTTCGACAGAGAAATATTTCGCGATTTCTACTTCCATGTGGGTTTTGAACTTCCTTATATCCTGTTCCGAGTCGCCCTTCGAGCAGACTCCGCAACGTGGGATGCCGAAACGGCGCCGTATGAGACACCAGCTTGGACCAAACCGGAGAACAACCCAGCTTCAGGGGGGTTCGCCCAACACCAACGTACAGGCACTCAGGCGCCCCGGCCCACCGGGCTAAGAAGAAGAATACCTGAGATGCTTCCAATGGATACCACCAACAGTGTTCTGGATGGATGGGCGAATATTGCACCAGATGGGCGGTTTTATCAGGCCCAGAGAAGTCTCAAGCGGCAAAATCCGTACGGCAGATTAGTTGACTTAAGTAACATTGTCGAGGTAACTGAAGAATGGCTGTACAAGTATCCAGACTTTGTCGATTTTGAGCCCCCGAAGGATGAGAAAGAATTGAAGGAGATCATGGATGCTTCACCTCCAAACATACAAGAGGGAATGTTTGATCCAAATGAGCTCCGCTGGGATGACTCGAGGATCGGTGGGCGTTATAGCATCTTGGTTGATGTCAGAAAGGGGCGAAAACAACGCAAGTGGTCCCAAGAGGAGAAGTCTATCCGCGAGAGTTACGATTCGTCTCTATATCTGTGGCATCATCTTCTGCTTGGACGAAACGCGCAGGATAGTAAGAAGCGGCTCATTTACCTCAGATCTGCGGATCATGTCCGGGCCATGATGTGTTATATTGCCTCCCCCGATTCGGATCGCTCCCATGTTGCCCATTTCTTCGACCGGCATGCCAAGATCGACGTGCACTTTTACGATGATACCGCCGTAGCCGTCAATAGTTGGGTGACTGAAGTTCATTTCCGCTTCTACCAGGCAGTGCAGGGTGAGGTGGCAGCGTCCCCGTCGTCGATCAGACATCTTAAATCACAGACTTGCCGTGTACTGGGACGCGAGGCGCGCATTGTCGACGCCGTCATCGGATTTCGTATTGTTGGTGATTTCTTTGACCGATACTGGACTTGCCATGTGATAGATCACTTCGCCGACTCCGACGAGCAGTCGATTACGAAGGAGCAGTTCGACTCTGGTACTCATTGGCAGCAACGGAAAGTTTTGGAACTTGTCCTCTTCGACCGCATTCTACACACTGTGTGCACCAGCATCGATGGCATTCTGAGAGCTGTGGAAATGGGCCCGACGGATAAATCCGATGCGGGCGACATGTATTTTTCAAAGGACAGTTTTGAAGATCGGCGTCCTGAGGACTTACGGGAATGTTTTCAGGTGCTGATGATTCTCAAAAACAATCTTGCTAGCCTCCACGGCCTGATTGATCAATGGATGCATCGAGAGAGCCTCCAGGGTCGGGAGAGGCCTCGATGGACCCGGAACGATGAGCAGAAATACCGGAAGGCCATCAAACAAAATCTAACCTCCCTGGAGGCTCATGTCCGTGATTTGAATGCGAAGGATGCGCGGATCGAGTTCCTGATCACGTTAGTGAACAACGCACAGGAAGCCATTCGGTCGAACAAGTCGCTCAAGGAGGCGGAGAATATCACTCTGTTCACCTACGTCACGGTGTTTTTCCTACCCGTCGGGCTGGCCGTCAGTGTCTTCAGCATGGATCAACCCCCCGAGCGCGATGTGCTGGTCTCGATGGTGATCACGGCTATCATAGCGTTGGTCGTCACTGTGGCTGTGCTGTGGTGTGTACTCAGCCATCTGGTTCCTGTGTATGTGGGGCGTGCCTGGCAGCTAGTTCAAGGCGGACGGCCATGGCATCTGGGTGGGAACAATGCTTCGCTCGTAGATTTGGACAAACACAGCACCCGTGGAACAACTAGGTCCAAATGGTCGCAGTCCTCGTTTTATCCGCGTTCAAGATACACAGCCTCCCGGGAGGCGATTGATGATCTCGAACGAGGGGATGTGGGAGGCTCACTCCGGACAAATCGCTCAAAAAGCGAGAACGGGGTCGCAGTTGAGATTGATGGCGATTCTCATTCTCAGGTGGACAAGCGATGAAGGGAACTGCTGCTGCTGCTGCTGCTGATAATGATGATAATGATGATTGATGAATGTTTGGTTGCTGCCTGGACTGTACTGTAGATCACGTGAACCATGGAAATACATGACAAATTGACAATACCCTGCTCCTTCCTATTTAAGATCCTGCATGGCGAACATCCTTGTCGCTCGCTTATCGATCGGCCCCTCAGCCTCCCCGCGCTATAGGCGCCGTCAACAGAAGGCGCGCTCATCGCCCACTTTTTCGTCTTCATCTTCATTGACATCTTCAGAATTCCAATTGCGATTATCATCATCATCTTGTCCTTCATCTCCTTAGATCCTCATCAAAAATGTCCAGGCTCTCTGACAACCGCCTCCTCTGCTTCGATGTCTATGGCACCCTTGTCGACTGGGAATCCGGTCTAGAAGCCGCCTTGAAACCCCTCCTGGAAAAGGGCAATGCCCATGTATCGCGGGCTGAGATTCTCAAGATGTTTGAGGAGCTGGAGCACGAACAGCAGACCCTGACGCCAGACATGCCGTACTATCAAGTTCTCGCCTCAGTCCACCCTAAGATCGCTCAGCGTCTTTCTCTGCCACCGCCGACGGAGGAGGAGAGCGTGAAGTTCGGCGAGAGTGTGGGCACGTGGCCTGCCTTCCCCGATACCGTCGAGGCTCTGAAGCGGTTGTCCAAGCACTTCAAACTGGTTGTGTTGTCCAACGTGGATCGCGAGTCGTTTGCAAAGACCAATGCCGGCAGTCTGGAGGGGATCCATTTCGACCGCATCATCACCGCGCAGGATATCGGCTCCTACAAACCCGACCTGCGCAATTTCGAGTATATGTTGAAGACGGTGCAATCGGAGCTGGGTGTGGAGAAAGAGCAAGTGCTCTCAACGGCCCAGAGTCAGTTCCATGACCATCGGCCAGCCTCGAAAGTCGGCATCAAATCTGTCTGGATTCAGAGACAAGGGTCGATCATTGGCAACGTCAGCGATCCCATCTACAACTGGAGATTTGATACTCTGGGTGATATGGCAACTGCTGTGGAGGGTGGTCAGTAGGCCAATTTTTCGTGATCTGCTTCTGGGTATCACAGGAATATATATATTATATTGTTGTGAAGATGAGTAGAAGGCCACGACTTGGACAATGGAGAGTTTTTGTCAATCTAGGCTGTTGTTAGCGTTACAGGAAAATATATTACATCTTCTTCTCGTGTGCTCTAGCGTAGATCAGAGAAAGATACATATATGTAAAATGTCCATCCTTGTCCACTTAGTCTGCATTTCGGCACTTCGTTTACCACTTCACGTACTAATATGCTTCCTTACATTATTCTAATGCAAACTGACCAAGACACAGACATAACTCGAGCTGGAGTATCTATATGATATAAGCAAAGTTCATTGCCAGTGTGCAACTACTAGTATACATCCGGCGGCCACAGTTCGGACGAATCTCGGGCCAAGTACACCATAATAGACTGACAACGTTGATTCTTTGGCTCCAACTGCTGCACTGATTCCGGCTAAAGAGTGCTACATTTATCCTGACCTCACTTCTAGAATTTCTAGACTCCACTCTATACCACGGTAGGGTGGTGACTTTCGGCATTCCCCGGGTTCGAGTCGGCTGGGGAGTGGGTACCCAAGACCTTAATGCCTCCCGGATGATCGGGGATGAATTCATTCGCTCTCTAACCAATTCTCTATGGAAACATCGTATCAAGTATTCCGTGACATAGAGTTCTGCTGAATACGCTGTATTCGCTGCTGGAGGATTTGATAGATCACGGGGTAATGGACGTCAATTGACGGAAACTGACATGCTGACAAGATATGAATTGCCTCTAATATTGCTGCCGATTCCATAGAGTATATCTCAACGGCTCTAAAATAAACCCTCTTCCATTTTCCCGTCTTCCGCTCGTACATCTAACTACAGGTTGGCAGTCTTGGGAACGGCGCCATCATGGTGGTCCACCTGTTCCACCTTCTCGGCCATCTTCTCCTCACTTGATTCGTGGTCCTCACCTAGGAGAGCCAACAACCCAATCTCACGTTCAATACGCCGCTTGAGCGCTTCATCTTCGGCCGCCACGCCTCCCGAGCCGAACAATTCGTCCATTTCCTCCAGAGTGCGACCCTTGGTCTCTGGAACGAAGAACCAGACGTATAGGACACCAATGGTGGTGACAGCGCCGAAGAAGATGAAGGTACCGTAGTCAGACGCTGAGATGAAGGGGGAAGTAGACAGACCGACGGCAAAATTGTTCAGCTGGATAAGTTAGTTGATTTCGCCGAAGCCTCAGTGATATCAAAGAAAGCTCACCCAGTTGCTGCTTCCACCAATACTAACACCCTTGGCACGCATGCTCAGGGGGAAGACCTCGGACACGACAATCCATGCCACAGGACCTGTCTTGTTAGTCAATGGACTCCATGCGACGTGGAGGATACGCACCCCAAGCATAAGCGAAGTTGATAATGAAGATCCAGACAAACACCACGGCAACCCAGCCCGCTGCCTTATGGTTCTCAAAATCCCCCGAGTACGAGCCGATGATTCCCGCGACGATGAAGTGGCAGACAGCCATGCCGATACCACCGGCAATAAGAATTTTCTTACGACCGATATTGTCGACCCAGATAACGGCGGGGATGGTGAAAACAAACTCGAAGATACCAGCGACACCAGTTGCAAGGAGAGAGGTGGTGTTGCCGCCAAGCTGCAGCCCTTTGAAGATTTGAGGCCTGAATTTGGTCAGTTGACCGATAGTCAATAAACTCGCGAATGGCTTACGCATAATAATTGATTCTGGAGTGTGTTAGTATTATGTCTGTTTGAACCCAACGGAAGACTTACGCATTGATACCGTTCCACTGCTGGAAGACCATGATCATGCACTGCTTGGATTAGTAACGTGAATGCTAGGAGCTGAGCATACTTACAGCCACAGTCGTCCGCTTGAACAAGGACTTGTCAGTGACGAGAGACAAATAATCGTTCACGCCAATCATGAAGCGGCTCTTGAACGAGCCATCTTGGTAATTTGGATACTTCCTGCGGGCAACCTCATCCTCAAACACGCGTAGAGCCTTGATCTCGAGATATTCAATGCGAACGGAGATGTCGTCGACGCTAGCATCCCGCAGACGAGCCAGAGTCTGAAGGCATTCCTCGTCTCGTCCCTTGTTCATCAGATGTCGCGGGGACTGGGGCATAAAGAGAATCATCCCGGCCGCCAGAGCAAGAGCCGGAATCACCTGAATGCAGACGGGGATCTCCCAAGCAGCAATCGACTGTCCAACACCGGTTCCTCCAATATAATTGGTTCCATAACCGATCTAGAATATTAGAATGGCACATTACTCTGGGGAAATCATCGACATACCCAAAAGCTGACCATGATGCCAAATGTAATCGAGAGTTGCTGCACAGCAACAAGAGAACCGCGAATTTCCGGTGGTGCCTGAATCCTGTCAGCATCCGACGTGGGTTCGTGGGGCTTCTCACCTACCAGTTCCGCATTATACAAAGGCACAATCATACTCAGATTACCCACACCCAAACCGGTGACGAACCGACCCGCATAGACATATCCGGGATCCTTGGTGCATGCCTGGACAATAACACCAACACAAAATACAACCACAGCGATGACCACAGTGACCCGCCGCCCGGTGGCATCAGCTAGGTAGCCATTGATCAGAGTTCCAAGCCAGGCACCGAGTTCGAGAATGGCCGTCAACATTCCTTGTTTGACTCCCGTATTCTGGGCGTATCCCTGGGTCTGGAAAGTGTGAGTGATGTCCATGAAACATAGCTGAGGGCGTATATACCGCTTCGATGAATGAGTGCATCGTGAGGATCTGAGCGAACATTCCCTGGTTGTCTGATACAAGTCAGTATGGTAAGTGTTTATTTCAAAGTTAAGAGTACCTACATCCATAGACCAGTCCACCTAACGAAGCAAACAATGCAATACCAAAAGTCTTCTTGCTGCTGAGCAGACCACGCCAGCCAACTTTACCACTAGTCAGCTCGGCTCGCTTGGCCGAGATGCCTTGGGATGCCATGCCACCAGCCATGTTGACTGAGCAGAGACGAATAATCCACGAGCGAGTATGCAGAACGGATCAAGAATGACGGTCGGGAAAAGGACCACAGTCAGAGGAGGGGACTCGGGCAAGGCCTCCGACTTATATAAGAAAACCACTTCCAATCGGAATCTTCGGCATTTAGAAAGCAGGCATGGAAGTGAAAATGCTTGCTTGCCCCAAGTAAAATCTAGTCACAACTCACGACAGCCGATGTGCATTAACCCCCCTCGCCGTGCGTCTCTGTTGATGCAATACGGCATCCGGAACATGATCCACAGGGATTTACCCTCAACCAATAGAGGCGGATATAGCTGATGGGGCCGAATCCACGCTTTTCCCCAGGGGCATTTATCCCCGTGGGGGGGTCAGAGTGGCGGCCTGGAGGGTGGTCCTCTGGTTATCTGGGTCGGAACCACTCAGTTGATCCTGGCGTCTTGGATTTAAAATCCACGCAACAAGAAAAAAAAGAGGAAAGAAAAAAAAAAGCCTCATGACCTCGTATCTTCACTTCAAATAGACCACTTGAAACATCTTCATTCTTCTGAAGGCCGCTAAGCTTCGTGGTGGCGAAGACAAGGCGCCATGGCGCTGCTGGCTCCCTGGGGTTTATTGCGAAGGAACTAACAGACAAGACGGAGAAAGTCTACCAATCGCTTAGTGCAACGAGCGTGCGAATCATGCGGGATAACCAAGAGCGACGCTCTACTACCTGGTTCGGTTCAGATCAGATCCGGGGATGAATCCACGACGGAGCCAAAAAGACTCCCTTTAGCCGGAATTCAGCCAGAATTCTGCTCACATCAGCGGGTTTTCTTGAGAACGTATCGGTCAATAGTCGGAAACTGGTTATCAGCAGCCATGACGTTTGTTGCGTGATTTATTTGTGATTGTGAGAGCGAGTCAGGTTTCTAGAAGAAGAAAGCATGAGTCGGACATCAATATGTTGCCGATGAAATATGATAGGATCACGTGGCGTGGAGTTGCCAACAACATCTTCCAGCTGCGAATAACTTCGGCTGTCTCTCACTACCTTTGATAAGGCCCCCCGGGGCAAAATAGATGTCACTCCCGTCGGTTTGCTCCTGTGATACTTCCGTGAGAACTGAAGCCACTCTTTTCGATGACTGGAAGCTCAAGCTATTCGTTCCGTTTTAACTATAAATAAGTAATAAACTGCACAAGATGACGGAAAAGGCTTAGGTATCCTGGGCTAGTGATAGCGTCAGTGCCTCGTTGATGTCACTTCTCTAGGGACTATCAGACGGGAGTATCTAAGGGGCTTTCCAACCCTTGATGAGCAATTGCTTAGGCCTACTGCGAGTCAGTTAGGAGCCCCCGAAACCCGAAAACCAGCAGGGACATATATGTCTTGAACACCCAAATAGTGAAGTGGACAGTGTGATATGTTGGCATTAGTGGCAGCTTTATGTCCATGGAAGATAGCGATCAACAGAAGATGTCGGAGATTTTTCACTCATATTCACCATCACCAAAGCACACCCAATGACACCAACTATCTATTTTTGCACAACCCATCGCCAAATTCTGCTTCTGAAAGACTCGCTTCATAGCATAATTATCCTTGCTTTGTCAATTTGTGTTGCAATGGGCCGTTTATTGGCAGCCAGTGATGGCCCGGCACCCTCCATCGGGCATCCAGCAATCAATGATCCTCAGTTGTCTCAACAAATTCATCCTCATCGTCATCAAGAAAATGTTCATCTTCGTCGCTGTCCTCGTTGAATGGACCAACACCATCCGCGCCAGAAATATTCATGTTAACCACCGTGGATGCCGATGGGGAGTGATCCGCTGTGGCAGCTGAGAAAAAGGGGTGGTCGCGCCTCAACGGGCGCCCCTGGCAGATATAACCCATAGGTGTGTGAGCATAGTCCTGTCCTTTGCGCGTGACTGAGAACCACTCCTCCAGGAAGGCGAACGGTTGGGATGCGAATCCCTTCACACATGGAAAAGCATAGGAGGAGGCCCGTTCGCTGAAATGTTCCTCTTGGGTATCAAGATACTGCCCGATGTCTTTACATTCACTGAACTCAAAGTAGAGACGACCGGCGAGGAGTCCTATTTCGATCTTCACTTGCGTTGGAATAATCCCGTCAAACTTGGGTATCGTGTAGTAGTCGAGATGATTAAAGTGCAACATTTGCTTGGTAATCGGAGCTGCGTAGACGATAAGGTGGACGTTTGGTGGGTTGATCTTGGAGATGATGGGAATCAATGCTTCGGCTTCCTCCGGAATGACGATCACTGCCTTCTGTGCTCTTGGGCTCCATAAAATCCAGTGCACTGGCCGCTGTGCGTAAGAGAAAGGTAAGCGATGACCCCAACATATCAGCACGAGAAGACGATAAAACTCACCAAAAAGTCGTCGCGCCACTGATGCGTGGCCCTTTGAGTGGCCTTGGTAAATTCAGTACTAACCATAACAGACCAAGAACGACCGGAGCAGATTTGATACTTTTGCCCGAGATGCGTACGTTGGAGGGCCTGAAAAAGAGGTTCGCACCAATCACTATCCTCTAGAGCCCCGGTTTTGGCAAATCGGGCCAAACCAGGACTCAGTCCCGGGAACTTGCGAGGAATGGGACATATAGGTCGATGCAACTGGCGTATCTCTTCCACTTCAACGGCCAATTCTCTTTCCTGCTCAACTTCCTCGAACGCAGAGGTAGTGCTAATTTTCACTTGCAAGTCTTGCCTAAGGCCGCGGAGTTGATGCCAAAACCCTCGAAGTTTCCCACTTCCCTGAAAGTCATCTATTGAAAGAGTTGTGACGCTTCTCGGGTCATATAACTGCTCAAGAGTATGCTGCTCGGGAAGTAGAACCGCCTGAAGATAAGAGACCCTATCCGTTTCGTTCGATGGATAATTGGGATACGCCGCTGCGGCTTGTCTTCGTCGACAAAAGTCGAATCCCTGTGCCAGATACAGGGGCTGAAGCTGTTCATTCAGTGTGCAAGTCTGTTCTAGAAGCCACTCGACAACATCGCCTGAGTCCACTTCTACTATTGGGCCCTTGCCACGACGATCCAGAATGCTCTGATGAACTTCCGGAGCGCCGAAGAATACCACCGACTGAGTGGACTTCAATTGTCGTAGTCTCATGGCCGCTGTTTTAGGAAACGTCAGTTGGACTACCTGCAGTCCGTGTTCCAGAAATGACTTACCTTGCACAGTGTGGTCTTTTGTCTGACCCAAACTCAAAGTTAGAGCGCCTTGAGTGGACATGGGAAATTTGAGATCGACACCCCGAGTATGTGCCTCATCAAGATACACCAGGCACCCTTCGAGATTGGCCGCGAACGGGGTTGCTAACAAGGGCACCTCTTTGCCATTCCGATAAAGCACCCACGCTTTGTTATCTGCCCTGAAGTAGACCGCTACAGGTGCCTCGTAATCAACTTCCAGCCAGAGGCGTACCAAGTCTCGATTGTCCAGCTCAAGAATATGTGCGCCGGCATCAATCAACAGCTTGATGTTCATTTTCCTCAATTGGAAAAGTAGTTCACGTTCTGACAGTCGTTTCCCTCCAGAGGTTGCCGCCAGGACATACCCACGATTCCTAGGCTGCAGTAAGTATGTGAGGACGTCTGCATTCGTATGGACAAGGCCATGAAGATCTCCCTGTGTGATTGTGAGTGGTAGTAGTCGCCGATTGTCGTTGGTACCACTGAATCCTGTTGTCAACGTCCTAGTGGTGGTGATGGCTGTGGTCTCGCCCATGTCCAGGTTGTTCGCTGCATGAAGTGCCGGAATATCCCACCCCGAGGCTTGCAGCTTCTGTTCAAACTGACGAGCGTGTGCAGGAAACACGGATCGATTAAGATAATAGTTGATCAAGATCCGCTGGAATCGGAGATGCTGCCAGATCTGGCGAACTTGCATCTCATTGTCAATGTTGATGAGATTCCAATGCCGAAGACTATCCGGCAGAGATGTCGAATGCTGAATCCATCGATCATACTCCGATGAGGGATCGTCTGACTGAAGTATGCAGCGTAGACAGTGGTGGACTTGTGATATAGTCACCCCATCGTAGTAGAATGCGAGGCAAGTCAAAACAATGGCAACATCAGGATGTCCCCATTCAGCCTGCTCGGATGGCACACCCTTAGCATGGAAAGGAACTGCAATCGGGTCGCGCTCGGGATGGAGCCCGTACTGAACATTCCACCGCTTTTTCAAGCAAAGAACTAAGATTCCGTGCACCAGCAGACCACGAAGGAGGTAGAGAATCTGCACCTCGGAAGGGGCGATTTCAAACGATGCGCAGGCCCGTTGAACCAAAGGTTCGGGCACTTTATCCTCCGTGAGAAATATGCGAATAGCCTCCTTATCACCTCCCCCTCGTATGACCAAATGGGGGCTCCTTCCTTCACAGATATCATCGACCAAACGGGTGTGCAATGCCCTTTCCGCGTCCGGTCTAAGGAAGCAGAAAAATGGGAATCCACCTAAGGGTCGCTTTGTGACTTCAACGCTGTGAGAGAAGTCATTCTGAATATCACGTAAGTGCTCTTCAGCCATGTCCAGAAGGTATTGAGCTACCTTCCATCGATGCGGATGTCCATCAACAGCGAGCTGCGAACCACTAGGATAGATCAACTGAGTTTTCACAGCAAGTGTGAAATCACACTCATCAATGACATCTCGTGCCGTTTCATCCAGCCATGACTGAGTAGAAGTCATTGTTAATGCGGTTTCTAATCGGCCATCACAGACTGCCTGAAGGCCGCTTAGTCGGAAAGCAAGAACGTGATCAGGTTGTGCTATAATGATTCCTCGTTTGGCGCGCATGTCCTCGTGCAGCCAACGGTAAGCACTCAGTGTTGTATCCTCATTGGAGGTCTTGCGGGAGAATGGGATGTGGCATATTTCTCTCCCAACAAGGCCCCCCAAACGCGACTGCAAGATTTGGGCGGTTTGAGACAAGAGTGCTCGGGGGATAATTAACCGTGCCAGACTCTGCCGATCTGCTATAACGCAGGCTACCATAGGCATAATGACGGACGTTTTCCCTAGCATTCAGGTTAGCAAAATAGAGCGTATCGTGTAGCCTGGTGATGGTAATTATCCGAACCTTGACCCATGTTCATTTGAAGGACAGAATTGGCTCCTGAAGCTGGCGAGATAGTCGCACGCGCAACATCCACTTGGCCGTTCCTGATCAGAAAATTCCCATCAATCTCTAGAAGCAACCAATCAGGATAGTCCTGGGCTCGCCAGTTATCATGTCCAGGGTTTTGAAGTTCCTCGTGCAGAAGACGGGAGTCTCTCTTCCTGATTGCGTCGTACATGCGCAGTAGCTGTTGGAGCCGAGTGATGGTCAATGCATAGCGAAATAGCGCCTCTTTCATTGCGGATTTGAACGTATTGGCCTCTGCCTCCCTTAACCTTTCCAGCAGAGTAACGGGACTCATGCAAGGCCATAAAGCACCTAAATCAAGCCACCTATATCGGGCATCGTTTTGTATCAAACATCGCTGGATCTGTCCAAACTGCATCTGCAGTTGTTTTTTAATCCTGAAAATGGCACCCCAGATGGCCTGGACAGGGGGTATCTTTGAAGCGAACCCAGCAGATGTCTGACGCGCCCGAAGTCCCTCTAGGCTTGTCATCAGGTCTTCGGCATATTGTCGGCGGAGTACATTCTCTGAGGATTTAAATTTGTGGAGAATTTCCTCGAGCTCTTGGATCTCCGAATCTTGTGTTGACTCTTGCACCCGCTCAACATCATTCTCTTGCACAATAGTTGCAGGAAAAAGCGAGTTTTGGTGGAAAGACATCACATCTATAGACGCATGATGAGGCCCACCGCTGGCGCTTAAAAGGGAACGGAGCGATGGAAGTGTGCGACAGTTGCGAGTTGGCAACACTGTTTTCACAGGATATTTGTGACCGGAGCTTCTTGGATTTGCTGCTACCCAGTGGTTTTTCAACACAGTCTGCACCTCATCCAAGTGCCGGAAAAATTGCCACTTTTCAAAAAGATGGAGCCACTCCTGCGCTATATGATTGATCGCAGCGTCGCCCTTGACAAGTGCACCCTCGAATTCAGGCGGTTGCGGTCTAGGACAAGGCCATTGTTCTATGAACATACCGGACAGAGCGCGGCAGTCGCGTTCGTAGAGCTCACTTTCCGTCTGTCTCGTGTATGTTGGGTTAAATTCGTGCACGTTTAGCTGTCTGTCCGATGCATCGTATGCAGCCATCATCAACTGAACGAGCCTTTCCACACTTGGTTTCTGGTATGCAAGGTCATTGTAGAGAGAGACATCAGGAAGTTTCAGGTGTCTTAAGTCATCGAGTATGAAAAAAGAGACAGCAGAACAAAAAAGTCCCATATCCACATTTGGGCCAAAAGCGATCAATCCAAGCTGGAAAAGAAGATGATCTTTGCCTTCATCATTGTTACGGTTGCATAGATTCACAAGGGGTCCCCATTCTGTCACAACATCAGTCTGAAGCAGATCTGTCAAAAGAGGATTCGCAAGAGTTTGTCCGTATCCCCAAACATTTCCAGCCTGACTCAAGGTGGCTTGAAGATTCAACGTCGTGCAGATTAATTGAGGCTTGGTGTTAATAAGCGTTATAATCTGACGAACGCGATCTATCCCCGCATAGCTCTGATCGGTTGTAGCGCGACTATAAGGTCGATCGTCCATATGACGAAGTGGTTTAGGAGACACGGCAGGTCTTTCAAAATTGGACCGACGAGCATGGGCACGGAGTCGCAGGTGGGGTTCATCCTTCCAATTCAATTTCGAGAGTTCAAGATTGGAGTTCGAGAAACGAGCGAGCTCTCCAAGCCTTGCCAGAATGCTTTCAATTAAGGCACGCAGTCCATCATGCTGAATGGACATAGTCAGATCCTTGTCCCAAAAGACCTGCTGCTGGCATTGTAGATGCTTTGGATAATAGAATCGTTGGGGCGATAAACGGGCAATGGCCATCAACGGCTCGAGTTGAGCTGGTCTTAGCTCTGTCCACGGCTGAATAGAGCTCGAGGTAAGATACGACATCGCTTCCTCGCATCCGGTGCGCTGAGTAAGAGGGTCTGGGATAGGACAGGATGTCATCGCATGAAGCTGCGCCCTCAGAAAAAGCAAAAGTGGCTCAGGCTCGCAGCCTACTCGTCCCAACACGTCGTCGATAGAAAAGAGGGCGTACTGCCCGTCCCCCACGATTTGTAGAACGACATGAGGATCACGACGGTGGTATGTTAATGGCCCAACTGGGACAATGATACTTCGCCGCTGTTTGTTGCCAGCATCGTGAAGGACGAGCATGCTTTGCAGTCCATACCACGTACCAGCATCCTGTTCAAGTGAGATGACACGGCGTAGTTCCCTCGATTGCAAGAGACCATGTCTGTTGACCGCGAAGGACAGACCCATCCTTTTTATTTCGACAGTCAAAGTTCTTCTGGCAGGTTGAAAGACAGTTAAGTACTGTCGATTCTCGAAATGTGCAAAGATAGTAGCGATTTGTCGAAACGTTGCACTACGAGGGTCGACAAGACGAGAATCTCGACGCCAACCTGCTTGATTCCTCACATCGATCATCCAATTTCCGCGCCTATTAATGGCCCAGATGTGTGCTTTGGGACGCACGTCTAGCCGGTTAGTTTGTAGGTCCAGCCAATGGACACAGTCGTCCACCAGAGGCAAAGGTAAGTCGCAGTCACTGTCGGAAGTAAAAACGTCTCGCTCAATGAACTCAAGGAACGCTCGCGCCACACGAGCTCGGATAATTACCCTGGTACCCCTCATCCCGAAATGGAATTCATGACTATTCCTTTGTCTAGCAAGCATATATGTCATGCCAGGCAAATAGGAAGGATATACCAGTAACGATTGACGGCCGAAGAGTGTACGCACAGCGGTCGACTCTAGAAAGACTCGAGGAAGCCTGCCCAGTGGTTTGTTATTCACTAGAACCAGTCCGTGTTGGATATGATAGTGAATTGTTTGGCCTATTGTGTACTCTGTCGGGGGTATCTCTGACACTACCCACTGATTCTGTTCTTTGCCGCAGGTTTTCCATGTCCCGTATGTTCTGATTTCCCCAGTCATAGAAGGCCAGATGGAGTCGATGGCACCTTCAATGCCGCAAGGAAAGGCTATGATAGCTGCAAGAACCTTATTGCGCAAGGCATATGTCATTTTGATATCGCAAATCAGCATATCACGCACATAGGCTGGCTGCGTATCCAGGCCCGAGAGTTGATTTTCTTGAACGCAGACTGATGCTTCGATGTAGCAGCGAAGTGCCTCTGCATGGAAGCTCCCTGGCTCATTGGCGATGGCACGAAACGTGCGTTTACAGATAAGACCACTAAGCAACGCGTATCTTGTCAAATCCGTGGTCTGTTCATCGTCAGCTGCATTGTGCAGCTCGTCCCGAATGTCTCGAACCCATTTGTGTGTGATATCTCTGATCTTTTCTAGTAGTTCCATGCTCCGCATTGAAGCCTGCGTACAACCAAGGGACCATACCTGTCCAACCATCGTCAAAAGCATGTCCATGTAGTATGGCTCACGCCAGTTGCAACGAATTCCGCGAAGATGGCGATCAATCTGGTCGAGTAGCCTGTGACAGAATCCTTGGTTACCTAGCGGTATATGGGGGATACGAATCTCAGCGGCAGATGCAGCTGGGCCTGCTTGAAGGCATCGATGGTTGAACACATGCATCGTCTGCTCACGGCTGAAGTTGACATTGGCGGACCCGAGCTCTCGCAATATACATAGCCAGCGAGTGTGCTTTCCATACAGAAGCGCTTGGTATCCTGCTAACTCGTGCATCCCAAGGTCAGGTGGACAATTTGTTTGGCTGAGGACTGCAGAATACGAGGATGGGCCATCTGAATCAGCAGCGTAGACTCCGCTGTCCTCAATCTTGAGCAAACGTAAAACAGAGTTATGAAGGCCGAAATGATGGGCCAAACTAATTGGAAAGCTTATCTCACTGGTCCACACCGCTTGTTTTTCGTCATAGTACTGAAGCGTGAGGCCAAACGGTAAGATGGCTTGTGAAGGTGTAATGGGTGGACGTACGCCCTTATAATGGGCGACCAAGAACGACTTCGTAGTCGAAGCGAGACCAAAAGTCTTGGGCTTATGCTTCCAATACCTATTCAAGGGTCTGTACGCCGAAAGAAGGATTTTTGGTGGCCCACAGGACCCAGATGCTCCAGGTGGGATCCCGAGAGCTGCCACAATGGCCCAGGTCGATTGTCGATAGGCTGCAAGAGAGCTGGGAATAATCAATTCGAACAAGACTGCTTGACGTTGAATTGACTTCTGTTGAGGCTGATCAGAAGGCAGGAAATCTTCGTGGACTTCAATATTAAGACCTCGTCGTTTTTTTCGGATTAAACAGACGGGACAATTCTTCCTTTTCTTCCCGCTCCTTTTGCGCGTGCAGGAACAGAGCATGTATGAAATTTCGCGAGTCAGGTGTTCGTATTTATCATTTACTGCATTCATCTGCTGCAACTTGGCTTGTCGGGAGGCCTCACACGCTTGGTCGATCTCCATAGAGAGCTGCGTGATAGCAGCAATATTGGCTGGCTCTTGTAAATATCTGATCGCCAAACAGTTCTTCTGCGGGTCCGAAAAAATGGTGAGTTTTGAGTAGACACAGTTAGCGCACCTATCGGCCAGATACTTTTGGACTCTCTGCAACCTGCGCATATCCTTCGACGAGGAAAGTAGTAGAACATCTAATATTTCCGGCGTGAACCCGGGGTGGTAGTCCTTCAGAATCGGGTTTTGGGCAGTGGCAGCCGTGTCCATCGCTATCCATGTTTCAAAGGTCTGGAGAGTCATGAGACTACGTAGCTCAATGCTGGGCTCGTATGCTCTTATGGCATGCTCAAGGTAGTCCTCAATAGATCTGGCAAGATGAGCAACATCACTGCTGGCCTTTGCTGCATCACACAACTGCTTCTCGCGCGTTGAAAGCGCAATCAATGGACGAGATGATTCTTCAAGACGCTGCAGCGTACCTTCAACAATTGGATCTTTGCCGGGGGTCCCAAGCCTTCTTGCCTTGCTGGCTTTATCTTCCCGTTTGCTTTTGTTGATATCACTCCGATACGAGGCGAGCGCCTTTTGCAGGTGTTTGAGGCTGTTGGTCAAAGTAAGATGCATGTCTAGGTCATTGGCACGAGCCGGCAACCTCTTCAACGATGGATGTACAGATTCCTTAAAAGAATTCCAAGTCTTGTCAATCTGTCCTGAGGCGATATGTATAGTTGTTTCAAAATATGGACCAAGTGCCTCAAAAAGTTGTTGCAAAGTCTCAGAAAGGCCAATTGGCGCATTGCGGCGGTTATCTTCCAGCTTCGCAAGTCGGCGACAAAGCTTGGCCCTCACAAGGGCAGTCATTTCCAAACTTAATGTGGCCCCGCAGTGCCGAAGAAGATTGGCATGTACAATGCATAGCAAGAATTTGTAGTAAATTCTCCCTTTGCTTGCTCCAAAGTACGAAGACAACAACCTGCTGACACCAACACGTAGTACGAGCCAAAAAGGGCTGCGGCGCCAGGGTTTCTCTGCGTCGTTCCAGCAGACTTCATCGCGAATTCTTTTTTGTAGGCCCAACTGTGACGTGGAAGCACCAATCTCTTCTATCAATGTCATCATCATGTGGAGTATGAGAGTCGGGTCGACAGTATCTCGTGTTTCTACCACCGAGACGCCCGCCTTCTGTGCCTTGGCGGCAAACATGGCAATAGGCTCAGTGGATGCCTGGTGAAGGAACGACGCCAGGGAGTCTTGAAAGGTCAACTGGAATTTGGAACGCGGTATCGCGGCAGCAGTGGTGGGAAACGTGCAGAAGAGGGCATTTGAGGAGGCGAGTACGTCGTTGGCCTTTGGAGAGGCTTCAAAGGCCTCGAAGATAATCTGTTCACCGTCATCACTAGAGATCCCCTTATGTTAGCTGAATCTGCAACCCATATTTCTTCCTTAGATTAAGTCTCTCTGCTAGGCCTCAGTTGCTTCCATTCCCTTTACAGCCAACGCCGTCTCGATCTCTATCTCGTGGGGAGCAGGAAAAGTTCCTTACTTCAACTCATGCTTCAAGAGAAGACCAGCATTTTGTTCTGCAATGTGTAGAATGACAGGGGTTTTTTCAATATCTCGGAACGACTCAAGAAGCGCATCTCGATCCAACTGGCCATCGATATGGACCCTCTGGCAGGTCTCGAGACCCCTTCTCAGGGTTTGCCATGAGGGATCCCCCGTATTGTGCGTGAGCTGGCTCAGGGTGTCGCTGGCATCAAGCAGCCGTTGCATGAGGTCCTCCTCGATCGCAGCGACATTGCTGTCAGAGCTTCCTGGCAGCATGGGAGGCAAGACAACATGGTTGAAAACGCGCTGGAGTAGCCTTGCATCCATCGTGTTGAGCAAGAAGGTGAGGAACTAGACATAAAAGTCATAAGAATGCAGGAAGAAAGATAAGAAATGGAGATTGCGAAGGAATCTTTCTAGACAGAAAACAAACAGAGCCCTTAAAGATGTTTATGGATAAGCTGCAGTGCAGCTGCGCTGTGTTGCTGCAGTTTTGTTTTGTTTTGGGGGGGGGGGGAATGTGAGGCTTTCTGCCGCCCTTTTTGCGGCACAGTGAACACAAGTGAGCACAACACATCAGCTTTTTCAACATTTAAAGATAACTTACCATTCCTTTCTCCCATTCAACACACTTCACCCAGTGAGCGCCTAGGGATGGTACATCTCTTGATTATTAATGACGACAAGTCCGATTAGGCAGCGAGGCAGCCCCCTGCCCATCAATCAATGCTGTCGCCATCCCCATTTTGCTCCCTATTGTACAATCAAATCAACCCTCTGTTAATCGTATTCCGTAACGAACTCTGTGAGTACAATCCGGACTTGATTTCTACGCATTCAGCAGCGATGCATGACAAGGTACTGGTACATCGGGGTTTCATAGGAATGGCAAATGGCCCTGAGAAACAAATGAATGGAGGTCCATGTTACTATGCGTTGTTCACTGGGAGGTTGCGAGTCATGTATCCCCGCCATTCTGGAAGACTACGTCTCCACCGGGTCCTGCGAGCCGCCTGGAGGTCTTCGATGGCGCTTGCATATCTAATCAAAGTCGACTCAGCAAATGCAGTCTGCAGGATTGCGAGGCCGTATGGCATTCCTGATTTTTCGTTGATTCCGGCTGGGATGGTGATCACCGGATATCCTGCCTGTGCAGCGATTTGGATGCTCTGCGCAACATCTGGCGGTACCAACAGACCGTCCAGGGTTCGATTCCCATGCTTCAAGGCGGCATCGATCCCCTCCTCGCGTGTGGTGCGTCCGCAAAACTCCAATGCTTGCCAATATGTTTCTTCCATGACGCCCTTGGTTGCCAAGGACGCTTCGAATCCATCTTGTCCAGACCCAAATGCTGGATGAATACCAGGATAGCCACCCTCGGTGCCGAAGTTCGCTTTGTTATACTCGATCAAGTCCTCGAGAGAACGCATGTTGGTATTTTTCAATTCTGATAAATAGGATTTGATGTTATTATAGAAGTCAACCTTCACATAGGTATACTCAGATTCATTGGGATGGCCGCGCCGGGTTCCGTAGTCCCAATCCCATCCATCCGGCGACACAATTTGCCGATAATGAGGCAACTCGGTGCCATTGATGATTGTAGCACCGGCTGCTCGGATCAGCTCAACTAGTTCCAGTAGTTGAGATATCTGGCTGGGATCACCGAACCGCCAGAAAGATTCCCAGGGTAGACCGAAGACTCCTCCTTTCAGGGCCGATCGATCGGTTACAAACTGTGCGTAGCCGCCTACAGGCGTGCGTCCTCTCTGAGCGGAGGTGTAATTGTCCCGAGCATCGATACCATAGATAGCGTCCAGTGCATAGGTTGCATCGCGGACTGTTTTCCCAAACACGCCGACTGTATCCTGGTGCAGTGACTCCGGGATCACTCCATCGCGTGAAGTGAGGCCCACCGTCGGTTTAATTCCCACGATCGCGTTCCGCTGTGCCGGGTTGATGACTACTCATCAGATTAGCATGCTTTCGAGTATGTATCACTTGTTCGTGCAGATTATTGATCAGAACATACCACTTCCATCCGTCTCGGTGCCAAGAGCAAAAGGCACAAGATTGGCCCCGACAGCTACCCCAGAGCCAGAACTGCTGCCTCCCGGGTTGACGGTGAGATTGTAGGCACTCCGGCACTGGCCTCCGCGAGCAGAATATCCTTCGGAATAATTGTTCGACCGCATGTCGGCCCATTCGCTCAGAGCGGCCTTTCCCAGCAACAAAGCTCCAGCTTTGCGCAGTTGACGCACAACAAACGCGTCGCGTGGCACCACGGAGCCGAGAAGAGCCCAGCTGCCCGCGGTCGTCTCCATCCGATCTTTGGTCGCGATGTTATCTTTTACTATGAACGGAATACCATGTAGCGGACCGCGGGTTTTTCCACGTGCACGTTCAGCATCCAGCGCCTCTGCAATAGCGAACGCGTCGGGGTTGTGCTGGAGGATCGCACTGGCATAGGTTAGAAGCCATGTTTGTTCTCAACGCAGTTTCCAAAGTTGGGGGTTGATACGTACTTGAGATAGCCATCCACCTGGAATATCCGATCCAGATAACAGCCAAGCAATTGAACACTGGTTAATCTCCCCGCGGACAGGTGTCTTTGTAGGTCGTCGATGCTCGCCTCCTCCAGTTGAATTCCCCCGCATGGGCGCATGGGGAACAGAGAGGACCCATTAGAGCCAAGAAGGGGGATATCATACTTTGAAACATGGGAATATGTTTGTAGATCTAGCAGATGGTCGTCTGTCGCCACCACACTATGCGATGACGCTGCCCCAAGAAGGAGAGGCAACAAGAACAGGAGAAGAAGATTCAACATTGCGGGCGGTCCGAGTGTTTTCTTTGGCTTGGTCCCAACCTATGGACTGTCAACCGTTCAGCGCAATTCTCCTTATAGCATGGTAGCTATTCCCATTGAATTACAGATAGAAAACAAACAACAATTGCATGTCAGGGTCAAATCCATGTTAGATCAGATTGTCAGTTCACCACGTGAGATGAGATCGCGTTGTTTCTCTGCCCCACTTAATAATAATGAATCCTTCCAGCATCAACGTCCAAATAGGCTATCGTTGATACAGAATGTGGTGGGCATCACTACCTCCCCCACTCTTCGTAGATGAAGTTACTATTGTTTGGAAGTCCGAAGGTCTTGGTGTTTTATACTATCCACTTGAAACTATTCCTTGTTCCTACCATGTCCGCATTCCATCCAGGACCGTTGTGCCACAGTAGTACCAGTTATATATATCTCGATATCTCTTGAGAGGAGCGACACTCTTGTAGAAATCTATAGGGAAACGTTCTCTAGGAAGAAGAATGGCCATTCATATCTTCTTTTCTTTTGCCTTGATCGCTGAAGTCGAGTCGAGAGCCCTTCCAGCAAGTTTCCCATGTTTACTCTATGGCATCGTAGAGGATGTTTGCGTTGTTAGATACCAACCAGTACCTATAGTCTCCAGAGACGGAATTATCCATAGTATACGCGATTGATGTCACCCGGCGGACGTTGTACAGTGCAGGCCTGATCTGCACAACGCACTATGAAGTATACTACTTCATTGCAAAGGTCTACGGCCTCCATCTGGACGGCGAGTTCCTTTTATCATGCAGTAAGCTTGGACTGCTGGCGCAAGTGACAGAGAGCATTGTCCATACTTCATGTCACTTGCTTGCTAGCCAGGGTAGTTTTACATCAATGCTCTCGCGCCTTCTGGCTCTTAATAGTCAACATTTTCATATTCTAGATTGCCAACAGCATAGAGGCAATGCTTCTACCCGGGGAAACAGTCTTCCTAGGCAAAACTGAAGCCGAGGGACAAGAACTAATAATGAAGGATCGCTAGAACCACAACTTCAGAAAGTGTATCTATAACCGAACCTACGCCTCTCTGGTTCAGCCTATGGTTTGTAAGCTTGTTGGAAGTGTTTTCATATTTAATTCTGTCTTTTCGTAAGGGGTCGTCTGTGTCTTTAGATTGAGCCCATATTTGAAGGCTGTCAACATCGATACAGATCAGTTGCCGTTATCGATGGCCTAAACAACATGTTGCTTGACTTTCTGCGTGTTTATCTTTCCTATTCACGACTATTGATCTTGACAGTTAGATCTCAGATCCCACTCTTGCTCAGGAGTCCTTGCAATATCTTTCTCTGTCCAGCGGCTCTGTGTAGCAAACTGATACAAGAGCGGATGGCTCTAGCTAATAGATACAAATCCAAAAGATAGTCCCTACAATTTCGTCGAAAGTGATAAATCCATCCGGTTTTCCAGCAGTAAGACATTTAAGATGAGACTGTGCATATCCTTGATCGCTATTTTAGCAGCCATTTCGCAGACTACTACCGCGCTCATCGCCTTTCCAGGCGCTGGAGGCTTTGGTATGGCTTTCAACTGCGTTTAACACGTATGCAACCAACGCTAAATCCCTGCCCTTTGATCACCATATGCTGGCTGGGTTGATTGCGCCGCGGGGACTGCTATCCATTGATAAGAACAGATACCAATGGCTAGGACTGTGGTCGTCGCTCGGCTGTATGGGTCCTGCGCGGCTGATCTGGCAGGCAATGGGGGTGGCCGATCATATGGGATATTCACTGTCTATAGACAATCCGCACTGTTCGTTCCCGGATCAGCAGAAGGAGGACTTGCTTGCATTCATCAATCAGTTCCTGCTCGGGAAGGAGGTCAATACCACGATCCAGAAGAATTACCCGTGTATTTCGTTCAACGACGAGCCATGGGTGAACTGGCAGGTTCCCACTCTGACTCGATGATTTGATGACATTAGTCTCTAAGCCTGTGTGGTTTTTATCATTTACTGTGTTGTGCCTAGGATCTGATATCTTGGCAGTTAATTAAAGATTATATTGAGACGGCCTTCTAGCTACTCTCATTCAAATAATACCATCCAACAGCTACTGGATAAACGCAACCTGATTCAACGCTTGAAGCAAATCGTCCACTGGATCGCAGGGTATCTCGACTGTCCGCCAAGCAATATATCCATCTGGTCGAACCAGTGATGCCCCGGTGTTAGACAATCCCATCAGCTCGGTAAGGTTCTGAGAACCGTTGAGCTGGACGTCTTGACCAATATGAAGATGCTTCAGCTTGACAGGTGACCGCTCATTCAATTTCCTCACGGCATCCCCCCATTCCACCGATGCTGAAACCACCGTCCATCCATGCATTCCTGTAACATCGGCTATAGAAACCGTCTTGCCCGCTTTCGTCACCCAAAAATGCGGAAGATGAGTCCCTGGCTGTCCCTTCCACTCATCAGGTTTCTTTGCAGGTGAGAGTCCATCCTCAGCACCTATAACTCCTCTGGATCGATACAGCTCACCAAACTCCATTGCATCATCATCGAGCCGCTCCCCAGCATCCTTGCCCTCCAGATGCATCTTGTAATCCGCTCGGACAAAGATCTGATCATGTCTAAGCAATGCAACCGGCCGCCGTTCCGCATCGTAGGTGTCCAACAGCTCCGGCATCGACTCTTCCTTCAGTACGGCAGCGATTTTCCAGGCAAGGTTATGCGCGTCGTGAATACCAGTGTTCGCACCATATCCGCCTCGATTCGGGGGTAGTGCATGCGCTGCATCGCCGGCAAGGAAAATCCTGCCAACCTGGAACCTCTCCGCCACGAGCGCTGTCATCTCCCAGCGGCCAGTGGTGATGATTTCCACAGGGATATCAGACTTCCCAACTGCCCGTCGAATATCCGCAATCTGGGTCTTGGAGTCGCGCTCCAAATCGTCGTAGAACATCAGCACCCAACGCCCGTCATTGTAGGTCGTCAGGAACGCCTTGAAGTCTCCCTGCTCAATGTTGAACTGGTGCACGCCCTTCAGGTAGTCTTCGAGGGGTGCGCGGAATAAAACACTGCGCATGATTTGCATGTGTCCACGGCCCGTCCTTGCGATCTGAAGCTGCTCCCGGATCCCGCTGCGGTTGCCATCGGCAGCAATGAGATATAGACCGCGCAACTGATGTGACGTGCCCTGTGCGTCGAGAACGGTCACCAGAACTTCCGAATCATTTTGCTCGACCTTAGTGACGGTATGTTGTCGCCGAATATCAACGCCGCGGCTGAGAGCTGCTTTCTCGAGGATCGACTCGAGCTTGTCCTGGGGTATGGCGGCGCCGCGGAAGGGCGAATACTGCCCCTTTTCCCCAGAAGTCGGCTTACTTTCATTCTCTGCTGTCTGCTGGTCATGGCTAGGTTTTTCGGTCGTGTCCTGCCACGATGTACGCTCGAACCACTTGCCCGTTAGGCTTTCAACCCGAGCGCGCAGAAGAGTAAAGTCTGAGGGGACCTCGGGGATCTGGTCTGAGATACCCAGGGCGTGAAAGATCTCCAATGTGCGTGCAGTAAAGCCGATGGCGCGGGGATGCTCTGAAATCTTTGCGTGCTTTTCGAAGACAATGGTCGGGACATTGTGTGCAGCAAGGCAAAGGGCGGCGGAGAGACCGACAAGGTTACCACCGACGATGAGAACGGGTTGGCGAGACATTTTCAAGCGCTTAAGAATGACGATATTCGGGTTTATGGACAATAGATCAATGATGAATGAGGATGTTTTTTGTATGCAATCCCGCGTGGCTTTATACTTGAGGCACCCGAGATTCGGGCCCGAGATTTCGTTGGGAAGGAAGCATTCGGGCCCGAGATACCACCCGAGCTCGGGGATTCACATAATAGATTGAGAGCAGCAGGTATTAAGCCTCGGCCAGTGGTGAAAACTCTTGCTGTTGTTTTGGATCTGTCGCAAACATGTTCTCCATGCTCAACTCGCATTCTTTGAAGCTCTTACTTTGAGAAAAAGCTTTAGGTGATGGGGGATACTCCCGGTCATGTGGGACTCTTGGTAGAAAAGGGTTTACAGATAGAGAATGGAAGTTGTTTACGACCTTCTCGTCCGATCTTTCATGGATGAAGAACAGAGCAGTAAGCGCGGGGAATACTTGAGAGTGTACGGAGTATATGAGATGATAATAGAGACCATCCACGCGAAGGTAGTGAACGAAACCACGCCCTTAGATAGGTCACATCCAGCGGAATGTCCAGCGCGTAGCCTGTTCTGCCAATCAAGTGTTGGAGCGGCCCGGTGATATCTACCAAGCTAAACTCACTGTGCCTATTATTCTCAGTCCAACAGCACTCGTTGTTCAACATCTTCCTGATTTCCACAGAAGGCACTATGAGAAGCCGAGCATGGGATCTTTCATTCTCTCTCGGTCGACATTATCGTTTTCGTCCTACCCATCATCTATTTAGCAGACAAACAAATCTTTCTCGGGCTTACAGCGGAGTAATGTCCTTGCCGTTACTATACATGCAAAAGAATGATGGGACGGGTGAGATGCTTTGCTAGAGAGCTCTGTGATATTAGACATGCTGATCACTGTGGTGTTCCACAGTCGTTGAAGCCAAAGAAGAGGAGTTCTACCGATATACCACTAAGCGATGGCTGTATGCCTCAGCGAACCAAAAACTGCTTGTTTATTGTTGACTGACTCTGTAGCAGATCAAACGACTCTCAGGAGGCTGCAGAAAGATATCGAAAATTTAATTTAGAAGGTCTTCTTGCTGTTGCTGTTCGATCCAGTGGCACAGGCGCGAATAGATGTAATGCACCCCAATTCCTCTCACTATGACTTGTCTGATACAGTCTCGAGGCACCCATGTGATGAAGTATCGGGAGGGACAGTACAACAAAACTTTTCTCCTAACGCTTGACAACGGATCTGAGGTGGTGGCCAAGCTGCCCAATCCCAATGCTGGACCAAATGTCCTCACTACCGCCAGTGAAGTTGCAACCATGGACTATGTGAGTTCTTCATCTGTGAATCTGGAGAAACGCAAGGCTCATCAACCCGCGAAAGGTACGGAATGTCATAGATATATCTGTTCCGCGGGTGCTGGGTTGGAGTTGTCGCCCGTCAAACCCAGTTGGGTGTGAGTACGTTATCATGGAAAAGGCGAGGGGGAGTGCTCTGGGCGATGCTTGGTACAGCCTTCCCAGTGCTTCTAAACACAAATTTATCAAGCAGGTGGTGGACATAGAAGCCAAATTAGCATCGGTATCCTTCCCAGAACATGGATGCATATATTATGCACGAGATCTGCCTATAACCTGTCACCCGAATCCAACCCCGCTCCATGGAGATGAATTGAGAAAATTCCGCATTGGCCCAGTTGTCAACCCTATCTTCTGGTCTGACGGGCGGGCCGAGATGGAACTTTCGCGAGGCCCCTGTGGGTTTCTTTCATCCCCGATCTCCCTGTGTTCTTGCTGACCCAGTCGGTTGTTACAGGGCATGGGCTCTCGGAGTATGCGACGAGTATAGGTGACAACGAGAAGGCGTGGGCGTTGCGGCATGCACGGCCACGTATGAACTATTACCGAAGCAACACTGATCCGGAGATGCCAAACGAGTACTTGGAGCTCATCGAGAAATATCTACAAGTTGTTCCAAATTTGACCCAGTGCGAGCCTGATTCTGCGGGCCTTTTGCAACCGACATTGTGGCACATTGACCTCCATCTCAACAACATCTACGTCGATCTCAACACAGAAACTATTACTGAAATCATCGACTGGCAAAACACAACAGTCGCTCCTTTGCTGTTGCAAGCCAGAGTACCTCGGATGATACAACACATTAGCGCACTTCCACTCGGCTGGGTGATGCCTGAGAAACCAGAGAATTACGAGACTCTGCCCGAGAGGGACCGTGTGAGAGCGGACAAGCTCTACGAGAGCGCCCTATGCCATAAGTATTACGAGGTCCTCACTGCTAAGAGAAACCCCCAGCACTATGCTGCCATAACGCACAATGAGAGCTGGAAATCACCGGTCATCCAGCCTATTCAATCTATCACCGGGGCGTGGTCTTCAAGGGAAGTATTCCGGCTTCGATCATCCTTGATGGCGGTCGAAGAACATTGGCCGGAGCTCCCAACTACAGCCCCGTGCCCGGTCACCTTCACCGAGGAAGAAAAGCAGTTACAGAACGAAGAGTTGGAAAACCGTGACTACATCGAGCAATTGATGGCAGAGTTCCAGGATGCGGGTATCCTGCCCATCGATGGGATTGTCGATCCCGAGGATTACGACATTGTGCAGAAGACGAACCGCGCACAAAAGGAAAGATTCATGTCATTAGCGGAGAACGAGGAGCAGAAAGGGTGGATGGATAAGATCTGGCCCTACCAGGATCGGCCGGAAGAAGCCTGATATTGGTGATGCTCAGGATACCGCCCATCGATCATACCAACGAAGCCTTAAGGTTGACGAACCTTTAGGGATCTTCTCCCCGAGCCAGGGGTGAGGAATAGGGCTAGCAACAATCAACTTGAGGGATTGGTCATTGATCATAAGACATCCTTCAAATCGACCATAGCCATGACCTTTACTAGCGCGGAGATACTCAAGCAAAATATTAGCAAACTTATCCCATCCCAGAACTTCTTGTCAGAGAACAGACCATCCTTACACAATTCCTTCACCAGTCATTCTGCAATTGAAACAGGCTCCAGGTCCTCTGGTTCTTTATGACGACTTTCCGCATGGAGATCGTGAATTGAATAGTTCATAATTTGAGCCAGCTTCTCCATGGCCATAGTTCGTCCAACTCAGTGGTGTCGACCGTTCAATAGATAATATAGCCCCATGGGAACTTCGAATCCAGTGAGGGAAATAGAAACCGTGTTGTTCAATGTTTCTTTTTTTTTTTTCTGTTTGAACCATGGTGCTTTTGTCCAATTCTTTGGATAATCGTCGGTAAATTCTGGGAGCGACCATCACTGGGGCACGGATGGGTGATGATAGAACAAGTCGTCGTCAATTTCGTCGACTAGTTCATTTATCGTAGCTGGGTCTACAGATGGCGCGGAAGAAGAGAGGATAGACATTATGTTTGGGAAAATGAAAGACCATAAAATACCTGAAGCGAAGCAGGAGAAAGAGACATAGACTATCTAGAGTCTTGAAAGGCGACTGTTGATATGGCTCCGAAATAACTAGCGTGGCTCCAGTCTAGTGTGGAGGTGAGCGACTCTTGGAGACAAATCTGATAAAATCAAGCACTATGATCCTTTTTCCCTCTTATTTCTTAATGCCGGTATTGCACCCTGCGGTGTAGAAATTCCCAGATCCAACAGAGCTCCTGGGGTTATATTATCACCCATCCCCATCCAGTCCACCAGCCTCCCTGCTCACCACGACTTAGCACAAAACGAACGCACATTGCAACATCTCCAGTCCAGTCGTGGGAATTAGTTTATACTGCCATCAACTGATAACTCGTTGTTCTGCCCTCTTTCTCAAACTGCCGAAGCCCGGCTTAACAACCAGCACAGTTATAACTACCCAGATTCGTACCCGTAGGAACATCGATGCGGCACGAGCGCAACTCGAACCTAATGTGACAGCCTGCCTTCTTGGTATTATGACTGAACGCCAAACCACCAAACGAGCGAATCAGGGTGGTAGAATCAGCATCGATGGTCTCGGACGCGCTGGGTCCATTCAAGGCATAGCCGGAGCCATATCGGGTGGTCCAGTACGACCACAGGTTGCCTTTGACCAGGATATATTCATTCTTGCAGCCGAAAAACATGGAGCAGTGGCCGTCTGCGCGCTTGTCGAGGTCTCCGCCCCCCTGGGCCAATCCAATGGACACGTTGAAGGATGAATCCGGGCCGAGAGGTTTGCGGATAATGTGCTCCTCGTGGATGACATCGGGGGTTGTCAGGTCGAGGGCGGTCATAACGCCGTCGATCTCGATGAAGCCGTGCGTGCCATTGGGGGCATATTGATGATTCTCGTCAAAGTAAACTACGGTGTCCTGTGGGCTGCGGACATCCTGGGGCAGGGCGATGGCGAGGGTCGCCAGACCAGCAATGACGGGCAGGGTGAATTTCATCTTATCGAGTGAGTTCTGTTTTCTCTTTCAAGTTAGATGTCCTATTGCTGGTATGTGGTGGTAACTTGAGATCTCACCCTCCGCGAGATTGTAGATTTGCGTGTACTGTACTAAGGTGCAGCTCCAAGTCCGGTGAGGCTATGCAGTCGCGCTTTGAATTCTGAGATTGTGAGGACATGGATCTGTTTAGATATTTATACCCTCTCCCCCTCGCTCTCTCAAGAATCTGAATACGAAAATCCCTACGTAGAAGCAATGACCAATTTCCCAAGAAGGCAATAGCCCACCCCGTTGAAGAGCGTCTAGTAACGTTAGTCCAGACCCTTTCGCCCATAAAAACGAAGAACCCCCAATCTTTCCAAGCCCGCTAGCCGCCGCATTCGCCTCTGAAGTCTGAAGTATATCAGCGGGAAGTCTTTAAGGTTATACGAGCCCGCCTCTAGTCTTTAAGCAGACATGAGTGCGGACGCTGGTGCGGACTCAGCTGGTGTTGCGGCTTAGCAGGGCTTGGCTTACAGCTGATCAAGGTTAGACAAAGGTTAACAATCAGCTCCTATCGATTGAATCTCACAGTATTTATCTACCGCAGTAGATTGCTCCTGATAGGGTGGGGCTGCAGCATTCATTGCCCGTTGGTTCACCAAGGAGGAAGTACTGTATACCAACTTCCGCCTCCTCCCCATTGGTATCATGGAGATAGTCAACCACCCTTTCATAACACCATGGTAAACTATTAGGGGGGTGGGTCATGCATTTGAGGAGTTGTGTTTCGCCGTCTCTGCTGACAGTTGATCTGGTTCAGAACTGGCCTAGAAACTTCAGCAAATAGTTGCTGCACTAAAGCTCTGACACCGTAATGTGCAGATTGGCCGCAGAAAGAACAGCAGGGTCAAGGAAGAATAGGGAAGAGGCTGGGGTAGCCAAGGTAAGAACAAGGCAGACAAAAAGTCCCGATTTATGCTCGAGCTGTGCACCATCACCAGAGGGACCTTTCCCTCTACCATCTTCCTTCTCGATGGTGTAAGATATAGTCTCAGCAATTGCAAGAATGAGCTTTATCCATACGCTGCGGTGGCTTCTGGATCATGTTATTCTAGAATACGAGAGAGATGTCCCCTTCATCAGTTGAAAAGGCACTTTATCTATAGCCCAGGTGAGGCATAAACGCCCGAGAAAAGAATCTGACTTTGAAATCCGTACCTGCAGCTGGGCGTCTAGGAAGCATAGATTCTGGAACAGCTTGGTCATCCTAGGAAACCCTGTTGAGGGATTTACTGCTTCTATCTCAACTGAAGTAAGTCACCGTGCCGAGTTTCTCACTATCTGAGTAGGAGGTCGTCATGGAATTAAACCATGGGGATGGGTTCTCAAGCCAGTCCAGAGCTTCATGCCATTACCATTACCACTGCCTCTGGCTCCTCTCTTGCTTGAGATTCTCAACAAGCATTCTGTCCGGTTTCGTGCTATTTCTGATTATGCCTATTGTCCTCACTTTCTTTAGCTCGATTCCCAAAGACCCTCCTTGGTCGTCAGCTTGGCCGCGAAGGCAATGAGACCGCCAAATACCCCCATAGGGCCGCTGAACATGCAGCAGGCAACATAACTCTCATGTCGAGTGGGGATAGCGCCATTGAAAGGGGGGGGCGGGGGGCAACGAGTGCTCCGATTCCCGAAATTGCCAACCCCATTCCCAAATAGGTTCCGATATCTTGCGGGTTGTTAGGGCAGCTGGAGAAGGTCGCTGAGGTGCCTGAGACAATCGTGCCCGAGCAGAATCCGAAGAAAATGGCGTAGAAGATCAGCGCGGCGTTGCTGGTGGCGCTGGTCATACAGAAGACCAAAATGCCGGTGGCCACCCCGCCCATGGCAAACATGTTCAAGCGGCCATACTTATCGGCCAGTACCCCTGGCACATTTCGGCCGATTTTAGAGGCGGCATTCAGAAGGGCGAGCAGGCATCCAGCCAGCGTTGCGTCCAATCCTCTCACACCAGCATGGCCTAGGGTCTACGTCTGCTTCAGAGATATCGACTCGGAGAAAGGACAACGCCTGGCGGCCGAGCTGCCAAGGTAGGGTTTGCCTCGACCCTCTGGCTGAGCAAAGTGCATCGCTGACGGAAAACCTTGTGTCTCAAGATGGACGAAATTTGTTGCCTGTGACGCGGGTAGCTGGGATGACCAAGTTCGACTCTTTAAAGAAGCGGTCTCTCTCTCCCCGAGCGGCCGGATCGCCTACGTGGTGGCCAACGCGGGGACGCCCGGATGAAGTCTTCGAGCAGCCACACCCAGATCAGGAGCCTTCCCGACCGGATTTGACCATCATTGACATTAACATCAAGGGCCTATTGTACACGGCCAAGTTGGCCGCCCACCATTTTATCCGCCAAAACGATTTGACGCCCACCTCATCGGCTCGGGTGCTGCATTCCTAGACTGCCCCCGAGGGCCGCAGTACAGTGCGAGCAAATGATGATTACCCAGGTAATGCGCTGCTTGGAGAGATCCAAGAACAACAGATGCTGAGTGCCCCTATTTCGGCGGGTTTGTTCATTTGAAGTAGCACGTGTGTCCATTTTAATGGCCCATTACGCTTGTTTGATGACTTGAATCCACATGTGGAGGTGATGTCTTGAGGCGCTAGTTGCCAATCCTGTGTGCGACTGGCCTAGTTTGGCGTAAGCAGGGCGTCGTTAGCGCCGGAAAATATAATCCCATCGGGCCATCAGAGACCGAGGCCGCTGAGGAATATTCGCTGACTCCAGAGTCTATACTCCGTAGTATAGATACTCTATTCCTGGCCCTGCTAGAGAGTTTACTCCGTACTTTAACCGCAGAACTCTATTTAATTCTTGGTATATTACCCAAATCAGGCTAGAGATGTCAGCACCCTGCATTAGCTGAACTCCAACGTCGCTAATAAGCAGCAGCAACCTGCGTTGGAAGTTAATGAGCATATGTGGTTGTGAGCTCGCTGGGCGCTCGTCCCCCTCAATAGTTCTTCTTTCAATCATTAGATAATGATTGTCAGGATGTAGCATGTGAGCCTTTATCTGAGGATATGGACAGCCACTGTAGGAACGGTTACAGCAGGATATCTCGGAATTCTCAAGCTGTTTTGTCAGGCCTCTGGCCACCGTCCATAGAAGAGTGTCTTTGCCATATTTTGATCATCACGGAACAGGTTGAGTTTCAAACGAGGGTCACCGAATGAGACGGACATATTTTGAAAGACCACTGTTTTTAGATGAAGAAAAGATCGAAACTATGTCTTTTTTAAAGATAGAATAAGTAGGTCCTCTAGTCTATCAGAGACTGTGTATGCTGCAGTTGAAACTCTCATAAGGAAGGTCATAACTTTTAGAAAGAGGGAGAGAGAGAGTATCTTCCTAACACAAATGCCTATAGACTTGAAGAGATCGTAAAAAAAGAGATATTGGAAGTTGTATTCCACGAATATCAGGCGCTGTATGTTGGGGTTGGATAGAAAGGGAATGGGATGAGGCAAAAATCACGTGGATACCAAGTAGATACTTGCACACTTGCACATGACATAGATGCCTCAGGCTGTCTACTTAAGCCTTCTACTCGGGGACCGCGATCGAGAGTCAGAATCGTGTTCCAGAATGGAATTACAAACATGAAAATTTCTTGGGTCCAACTTCTAATCAAGTATCATTCTAGGTGTACCTAGTGGCGAAGTAGATATCTTGCTGTGCAAAGATTGAGACGCCGTTTGGGAGTGTATTTCCAAGCAGATGCAGCCGGATCGTCCACCACTGACATTGGATGTACTATTCCCACCATCTCCTGATCAACAAATTGACTAGAAACTCTCACCATAGCCTCAAATGAATCATAGCATGTTTGTATGATGATCGCATCAGAAATGACTGGAGTGGCTTTCCTTTACGTCACCATTGCCGCGGCCACTTCCGGCTGCATTTGTCAACAAGTCTAGACACGCCGTATATGATAATCCACTGCCTACGATGACATCCGAAGGAACTTGATCCAGCAAAGTTCAGCGGATACATAAAATGAATCGAGGTTTACGATTGCTCCAGCGCCAGTTTGGTCCGTCTTGCTCAGTAACTCATTCCAATCGGTCATTCATCACACCCAGTATCTTTTTTCGACAATATCTCCAAAGGGGCTTCCATCAAAGTACCGCCAAGATGTCCAACTTCGACAAGTTCAATGGCAATACGAAGAACAGCCCACCCAAAAATGAGATGGTTTATCTACCGGGCGTGATGTCGCCCGATCGCAAGTTCGGCGTGTTCCGCAAGGTCCTCCATACCGGATTGTACTCCCAATTCGTCGCGATGGAGGTACCAGTGGATGGGGAAATCGGTGACGAGGTTGGTCGACTCTTGCACCATTTGATCAGACCGCATGACTCATGCTAAGCCGTCGTCTAGATTCATACCGTCGATCAAACTCTCATCTTCACCCATGGCAAGGGAAAGGCTATCGTCGCTGGGAAGGAGCAGGAGATCAAGGAGGGCGACGTGGTCATCGTTCCTGCCGGTACCCAGCACCAGTTCCTCAATATCGGTAACGTTCCCTTGGAAGTGGTGACAATCTATGCCCCCGCCGAGCATGCCCCACACAGCGTGCACCAGACCAAAGCCGAGGGCGATGAACAAGAAGACAAAGGCGAGGACGAGGCACCGGATTGGAGTCGGAGAAGCAAGGCAGAGAACGAGAGGCTAGGGCTTGTAAAGTTGCCATGAAGGATTTGTACATGTAGACCTTAGATTTATGTCGTGCACACTTTTAATATTTAATATCTGTCCATGACTCTTAAGAGCTGCCACTCACTTAGGGCAATCTTGGGGCAAATGTCACCAGCACATTGCATGACATTGTAGAAGAAGTGTTATCTGGTGTCTCTTCGCAGGAAAGCTGCAGCTGCAACATATCAGCTCAAGACCTCACAATATAGATAATAGGCAGTTACATCAAACTTTGAAATTACCAAAGCAATGATCATTTTCAGGGACCGCCAGGCAGCCCTCGTTTGTGAATCATTTCTGAAGCAAATACGAAGTGGGATTAACCCTTCTTCCATCCGTTTCCGCTCTGTTGTATCAGCAAGAAGCCACCGCTCAGGACGAAACAGTGCGGAGTCTTCTCCATAGGTCGTGCTGTTGTGACGGATAGTATCCGCATGATATTGAATGACAGTCCCTTGCGGAAGGTCATATTCTCCAACCATGACACCCCCGGGTGGAACCTGGTGTTGGTAGTCAAATATCATCACATGGCGCAACGTCTCTTTCATCACGGCTTCGACATATGGTAGGGCATAGGACTTGGTCTGATGTAGTACTTCAGAAAAAGACGCCATGCTGAATATGGTATCTATCTCACGCTTAATTCGAGACAGTGTTGCAGGATGTGTGGAAAGGAAATAAAATACTGAAGCGAATGTGGCCTCCATACACTCGACTCCAATTGCAACAAGTGACACATTTCCTGACCTTTGATACTCGCCAGCTACCGGCTGATATGCATTTGGTCTTTTGACAGACTCGGGGACGAATCCGCAGATCGGTAAACAGCCATTTCGTTTGTGCTTCAGCATGGCGATTGGGCATTTGAGCAAGAGACTATTGAGAAAGGATGATACGTAGGAACTCTCTGTAGGTATGAATGGGTCCGTAGCGAAAGGTACCTGGCTGGCTCGTGGCTGGATGATATCATTCGAGCACATATGCTGGACGATGTCTGCTGCGAACAACTTAAAAACTGCCAAGTTAATGGTTCGTTGTTTGCGAACAGCTCTCAGAAATGTGCTTGTCAACTGCTCAATGCGTTGTTCATGCGGCGATGCATACTGTTGAGGATCGACAGATGACTCTGTTGCTGTGCCTATGTCATTGCCGAAGGACGTCTCAGCATTGTCAGCAAAGCAGTATGTATCGGGAAGGGCTATAACATACATTCACCGTCCCTCGATCCGAAAGATCAATCCAAGCGACGAGAGAAGGATCAGAGACGCTGACCGTATTCGGCCCGACACGAACCACCTGACCATATTTTCGGTGAAGAGACTCGAGACGACGCCCGTATTCAGGCGCACTTTGAAGAAACTCTCTCCAGAGGTTGGATATTCCTGCAAGCAATGGTCCCCGGACTGTATTCAGTGAGACATAGTTCCGTAGTAGTACGCCGCCAAGTACCAGGACAGCGGACAACAGTATCCCAAAGGCAGCCATTTGCCCAGAACCTCCTTCGACACAAACCGTAGGACATAGTTGTGAGTTTGATTCACTTCTGAGGAACTTCAAAGTTCAGTTATCAGAGATAGATACCCCCTGGGTGTCTCAAATGAGCAAACAACGGCCGTCACCCCTGTTTCTTAACCGCGAGAACCCGATTCGAGAAAAAGAACCGGGGAATGGCCTGAGGTATTTTCCCCGGACGAGGGCGAGACCCACTGACCCAGAGTGACAGCCGACAGTGACTGTGGTGTACCGTGTACAGAGTATGAAAAGGGGGCGTAACTACTATTCCAGATTAGCCTGTTCCCATCCTTGGCTCAAGAACGCAGCTGCTCATCATTCGTTATCTTATCGAATAATCAAGACTTTCCGATTTCGCAAATGTGTATCCGGTGGCTGATGCCTCAGGCTGACACGCACCAATTGAATTAGTCGCGGTCGATGGTTTGTCGGGCCGACGACTTATCAGAGCCTCGAATACAAACATATCTGCACAATGCGGGGAAGCTAAAGAAAAGACCAAGAGAGGGATTGAAGACGATAAACTCTTATTTCGAGACGCTCATTGCAGCCTTGTTGTGGCTGGGCACGAGGGACACTCTGATATAACTGTTAGGAGATCTTCCAACTTCCACTTTATATGTCCCATGAGAAGGTCTCCATTCATTCTTGGCCTATCGAGTCATAAGAGGATCTTTACTTAAAATTAAAATGTAAGAAGAGTAGCAACCGGTTTAAGTATCTGCGCTGACCAAAGACAAAGAGCCCTTCATACACCTATTATCCAGGAGCTGGAAGATCAAAATTATGAGCACAGCTTGAGAGCGTCTCAACATTGCTAGATGGCACACAGCAGAGCTCAGAGTGTTCAGCCGGATCGTTCAGCTACTCGGTCGAATCACAGACGATCGAATATAGCGTGAGTGCCATATGGCATCCTGAATAGGATACACTGACATTTATCAAAAGATGTACTCGATGCCGCACAAGGAAAACTAGATGTGGTGGTATACCACCGTATCCCTGTATCGCTTGTGAAGATGCTGGCCAAATATGTGTTTATTCGGAAGCAGAGAAACGGGTCTCGGTGTCTGAAAAGTGAGGTTGTGGGGGATAGGAAAACTACTACCAGACGCGTGATGCTAACTCATTTTCTGCAGCTATCTCCATCAACTTAGGCTGCAAGCCCGCGGAGCACGACAAGGTTTGTCTTTAGGTGGTTTGTCTCTTCATATGAAGGTGTGTCTGGACTGACTGGAGCTGCTCACGGTTGTGTTAACAGCCGGAAACCTTCCATCTTCGTCATCTCCTTCCACCCCCAGCCAAAACACGCCCTCTAGCAACACCAGCCATGGCGCTCCAGTTGAACGGGATGACTGGTGGTATGAAGGCACAAACAATCTGTTCTTGAATCGATCAGGAGAGCATCGTATGTCCGTTCCGTGGGTGTCACCCATCGCAACAGCTGATGAGATCCCCAGATTATGTCGGCCCGTCAGCTGTGATCTCTCTTGCTCGACGATTAAATCCAACATCAAGCAACCTGGGATGGGATGTGCGCCCTCTGTACGATGATCCTTCATCTCTTCGTCGGTCCGTCAATCGAGCTCTGCCTCAGCTGCCACCGTTCGAATTTGCCAAACGACTCTTTTGGGTACAGTACACGTACATTGGAACCATTTTTTCTTTAATCCAGCCCGAAGATTACGAAAGGCGGCTCGACATGGTGTATCACCATTCTCCGGATTTCTCGAATCGAGAATCATGTCTTATCTATTGCCAGGTCCTCCTTGTCATTGCGTTTGGGCTGATGTATTCAGTTAATCAATGGTCGGGAGACGAGGGTCCGCCTGGTTTCAAGTATTTCAAACATGCCCTTCGATTCCTCCCGGACATTCATGAAGAAGGCTCCATATTCTTCGTGGAAGTCCTATGCTACGTTGCTTATTATATGCAGAATTTGAACCGTCGTGACGCTGCTTTCCTCTACGTACGCTTTCTCTCCTATTCTTTAATCCTTAATCCGAAGTGAGCTGCTGACATCACACACTAAGATTGGCCTTGCACTCCGCATGGCTATTTCCCTCGGTCTGCATCAGGAGGTGTCAGATCCCGATATGAGTGATGCAGCTCGTTATCGGCGACGACGGGCATGGTGGTCTGTTTATAGTCTTGACAGGTACTATCTCAGATTCCTATGTTTGGATAATTGGCACTGATAGCTGGCAGGCTTCTGTCTGTCAAATCGGGAAATCCGATCACCATTCAAGATGAGGACATTGGAACCACATGGCCGATACCTGAAGTATGCCACTCGTCCCTGTAAGAGGAGCATTGTTAATCCGGAACAGGACTCATCTACACCGGTACCATGGCCCTCTGTAGTGCTCACATACTACACTCAGCTCTCACGGATCCTAGGGAGAATTGGGGAAGGTGATAATTTATATTTGTCGTGCTGTGTAAGGCGCATGCTGAACTATGACCAGAGATCTACCGCAAGAAGCCTCGATCTGGATCCAACTTGTTGGAATCTGTACAAAGTATCACGAATGAATTGTCAGACTGGCTGCGGCGAGTACCAGATCGTCTGCGCATCAACTTTACCACATTAGACGCGCATATCGACCGCGAATCAGTCTCTACTTTCCTTCACTTTTATTCGTGTGTGAACATGACCGCCAGGCCTTTGGTTTTCTATGTGATCCAAAGACGCCTAGACGTCGAGAATCGTGGATCTGCAGCAACCGACTGGAAAGAAGGCTTGTCACCAAACACGGTTGCCCTTATCGACAATTGCATTACTGCAGCGCGGGCTACGACGATCATTATGGATGCTGCAGCAAAGCATAATCTGACTGGTACGGGCCTGTACCCCATTTTTCCTAACCTTCCTCATTTAGCTCGGTACTGAAGATCTATAGCAACGTATGGCTACTTGGACGGCGAATACATTTTCTCGGCGGCCCTTTTGCTGATCATGGTCAATGCGACTTTTCCGCACAACGACACCAGCATAAGAGCCATGGATATGGCTTTGAATCTTCTCCGCAGCATGGCGGACCGAGGCAACACGTATCTCGGTTCCCGCCATTCCCTTTTACTCGAGCTTCAGGCTTCCATCAACCCCAAACCAGCGGAAGTGGGTGTTATTGTCAATGATCCCATCTCGCCAAACAGCACGGACCAACGCGGTCCGCCTATGTCAACCAACACAACAGAGGATACTACGGCGATAGCACCTTCTGAGTGGCCATTGCAGGAGGATCTGCCATCCCTCGGCGACATCACATTTAACCTCGATATCAGTGATGATTCGGGGTTGTGGGAAGAGATTCTTGGTAAAATTGATATAGATATGGATAAAGATTGGATTGAGAATACCTTGAGGAGATAATTTATTTTCGTCTATTTACTTGCTGCCTGATGTACATACCGTAGCAGGTTGCCCATGTTCTCGTCTCCAGTCTGTCAGGTCATTGTTGCTGATCTTGCACATATTAAAATCCGATTTCATGTTCAAGGAGCAGGGGCAATACTTGCTTTATCCAATAGGGAGTATCCATATTATTGTCCCAAATTGAAGTCCGGTGATATCTATCTACTCTACCTTATATCGGCTTAGACAACTGGTTAACAGATATATGTCTGCAACCATTCTAAACCATGATTCGTATCTAGGCCGGTCATACTCATTCCTCCCAGCCATACTGTGCAGGGGGTCATATGATCCATGAAAGCGAAAGCATGCCCCATTCTTGAACAGCATCCCATTGAAATATCTGTATCTTTCTATCTATACAGAGTATAGGTACTTCATCCTCAGCTCGTATTCCCAACACCATCGGGCCGACGCTCCCGACGCTCCGACCGTCGGGCCGACACGTGACCCTGTACGCCTTGCACCAGCAACCCATGGTGGAGGAAATCGACCCTGATGGACTGGGTCCAGCAGTCGAAGAACCAGTCGGAAGCAGTCTTGGGTTCTTGTGATGTCGTTATCAGCACAAATGATCCATTTCGGGCCATGTAAAGCTGGAGAGGGAGCAACGTTAGTGTTTGATGATTGTTCACCCCAAGAGTGGGATCTTTAAAATCCGGGGAATGCCCCTCGTTGCATCATCGTAGAGTCTCTCCTCCATCCTCTCAGCTCAGAGGTCTTTCAATCATCACATACAACACCAAGATGACAGAAGAATCACAGAAGATCACGATTTCCATCGATCGTGGTGGCACATTCACTGATGTCCATGCTATCGTGCCTGGTCGCCCAGATATTATCCTCAAGCTTCTCTCCGTCGATCCCGGTCATTATGAAGATGCTCCTACGGAAGGCGTCCGTCAGATCCTCGAGCTCGTTACAGGCAAGCCTCATCCTCGAGGTCAGCCACTCGAGCTGGGTCCGATTGGCTCGCTGCGCATGGGAACCACAGTTGCGACAAATGCCTTGCTTGAACGGAAAGGCGCTCGGTCGGTGCTCTTCACGACAAAGGGATTCCGAGATCTTCTGAGAATAGGAGATCAGTCGCGGCCGAATATCTTCGATCTGACGGTGGCCCGACCGGGTGTTCTGCCGGAAAGTGTGGTTGAAGTTGATGAGCGAGTTGTTCCCTGCCACCCGTCCGCCGACAAGGACTGCTTCTCGAACGCCCGCATTGTCGAGGGTATCACTGGCGAGAAGTTTCGCGTGGTGAAGGAATTAGATCTTGATGCGATCCGGCCGGAACTGGAGCGGTTGAAGGAGCAGGGCTACCAGTCGCTGTCCGTTGCTTTGGTCCATTCGTTTGCGTATCCTGAGCACGAACGCTTGATCGGAGAGCTTGCTGAGAGCATGGGGTTCTCCGTCACATTATCCTCCAAATTACAACCCATGATCAAGATCGTACCCCGAGGCATGTCGGCCGCTGCTGATGCCTATCTGACACCAGTCATCAAGAAATACATCGACTCCATCTCCGCCAGCTTTGAAGGCGGGTTGGAAAAGCAGGGGAAATGTCGCTTCGAGTTCATGCAATCCGACGGCGGTCTGGTTGACTTCCGCCGGTTCAGCGGACTGAAAGCGATCTTGTCAGGTCCAGCTGCAGGTGTTGTCGGGTTTGCAGCGACCAGCTGGGATCCCACTGAGAAGATTCCCGTCATCGGCTTCGATATGGGCGGTACCTCAACGGATGTGTCGCGTTTCGACGGCCACCTTGAGCATGTGTTCGGATCCAAGGTTGCCGGTATTTTGATCCAATCGCCACAGCTCGACATCAACACGGTGGCAGCCGGCGGAGGCTCCATTCTCACCTGGCGAAACGGTCTGTTTTACGTCGGACCCGAGTCCGCCTCCGCCCATCCTGGACCGGCTTGCTATCGCAAGGGTGGCCCTTTGACTGTCACAGACGCCAACTTATTCCTTGGTCGCTTATTGCCAGAATATTTCCCGCACATTTTCGGTCCAAATGAGGACCAGCCACTCGATCTGGAGGTTACTACCAAGCTGTTCAACGAGCTGACGGACAAGATCAACGCGGAGAGGAGAGAGAAGGGTCAATCGGAATATTCCCCGGAGGATATCGCCCTGGGATTTCTGAAAGTGGCCGATGAGTCCATGGCGCGCCCGATCCGCAACCTGACCGAGGCCCGTGGGTTTGAAACAGCTTCTCATCATCTGGCTTGCTTTGGAGGCGCCGGTGGCCAGCATGCATGCTCTGTTGCCGCATCCTTGGGTATCACCCGCATCATCATCCACAAGTACTCCTCCGTTTTGTCGGCGTATGGTTTGGCCCTGGCTGAGGTGGTCAAGGAGTCGCAGGAGCCGGTCTCCACCGATTTCCTGGCCTTTCAAAGCACTCTTAAGAAGCGTTTCGGTGACATGACCAAGGCCGCTACGGAGGAGATGATCACTCAAGGCTTCCGGGCTGACCAGGTCCAACACGAGATGTACCTCAACATGCGGTATGAGGGCTCAGATACCAGTCTGATGATCTTGAAGCCGGATGAAGACAATGGGTTCCTCGACCAGTTCAAGGAGCGTCATCGCAGAGAGTTCGGCTTCAACTCTGATAGACCGGTTCTCGTTGACGATATCCGTGTGCGTACCATTGCTTCTTCCAAGGTCCGCACGGAGAAGAGTCCTCTGGTTCAACTGAGGGGGGCTTCGCTCAAGGACGTCAGTGGACAGCCGGACAATACCACAAAGGCGTACTTCGACGGCTCTTCCAGCCGCATCGACACCCCTGTTTATCTTCTTGACAAGCTCGAAAGGAATAGCCGTGTCCACGGTCCGGCGGTGATCATCGACAAGACTCAGACTGTCGTCGTTTCTCCCAATGCTGTTGCTAGCATCCTGGAGACATGCATTGTCATTGACCTGAAGGACACTAAGACAGATACACCGGCCGCACATGACGAGCCGTCTCACATCGATCCTATTCGCCTGAGTATCTTTGGTCATCGCTTCATGTCGATCGCCGAGCAGATGGGCCGCACACTCCAGAAGACCTCGGTGTCAACCAACATCAAGGAACGATTAGACTTCTCCTGTGCTTTGTTCTCTCCGGACGGTGGCCTTGTGGCTAATGCGCCCCATGTGCCGGTTCACCTGGGCTCCATGCAATTCGCTGTTCGTTACCAGCACCAGAAATGGCTGGGCAATCTGAAGGATGGTGACGTCCTTGTCGCGAACCACCCCAGCTGCGGTGGAACTCATTTGCCAGACATTACGGTATTCTACACTAAATTTGTTGCCTAAATACATCATGCTAACATGTCTTAGGTCATTACGCCCGTGTTCGACCGTCCTGGTGGCACCGAGATCATGTTCTACGTAGCATCCCGCGGCCATCACGCCGACATTGGCGGCATTCTACCAGGATCGATGCCCCCCAAGTCCACCGAACTGTGGCAGGAGGGCGCAGCGATCGAGGGAGACAAGGTGGTCAGCAACGGCGTCTTTGACGAAAAACGCATGATCGAGCTGCTGGTCGACGGTCCTGCTCAGTACCCTGGCTCCTCGGGCGCCAGATGCATCAGCGACAACATCTCGGATCTGAAGGCGCAAATTGCCGCCAACGCCCGTGGTATCTCTCTGATCCAGGCTCTGTTCGCAGAGTACGGCGTGGCGACCGTCCAAAAGTACATGTATGCCATTCAGCACACCGCCGAGATGGCCGTTCGCGAGCTCCTCAAGCAGCTCCACAAGAAGTTCGAAGGCCAGCCACTCGAAGCCGTGGACTACATGGACGATGGCACCCCGATCAAACTCAAGATCACCATCAACGGCGAAGACGGTTCTGCGTTGTTCGACTTTGACGGCACCGGCCCGGAAGTGTATGGCGGCTGGAACGCACCGATTGCCATCACCCATTCAGCGATCATCTACTGCCTGCGGTGCATGGTCAACGCCGACGTACCGCTCAACCAGGGCTGTCTCGCGCCGATCGACATCCACGTGCCGTCGCCTAGCATCCTTTCGCCGACCAAGACGGCGGCCGTCGTCGGCGGCAACGTGGTGACCTCGCAGCGCATCACGGACGTCGTACTCAAAGCGTTCCGCGCGTGCGCCGCGTCGCAGGGATGCTGCAACAACCTCACGTTCGGCATGAACTCCCGCGTCGACCCGGAGACCGGGGTCACGATCCCGGGCTTCGGATACTACGAGACGATCGCGGGAGGCAGCGGCGCGGGGCCGACGTGGGACGGCGAGTCCGGCGTGCACGTGCACATGACCAACACGCGGATCACGGACCCAGAGATCCTGGAGAAGCGGTACCCGACGCTGCTGCGGCAGTTCACGCTCCGGCCCGGGTCGGGCGGTCGGGGCCTGCATCCCGGGGGTGACGGCGTGGTGCGCGAGATCGAGTTCCTAGCGCCGATGCAGTGCTCGATTCTCTCGGAGCGGCGCGTGTTCCGTCCGTATGGCCTGGAAGGGGGCGAGGATGCGCAGCCGGGGCTGAACCTATGGGTGACGACGAACGAGGAGACTGGGGAAGAGCGCCAGGTGAATATTGGCGGGAAGAATACTGTGTCGGTTAAGACCCACGATCGGTTTGTGATTATGACGGCTGGCGGTGGTGGTTGGGGGAGCTGCTTAGTTTGAGATTATGTTGGAGCTTTTTGTTTGTATGTACTTGCGACGGTTATGACTTTCATGAATGATAATAGATTCCCCGTTCATTTGACACAAAACTATAACAGGTAAACCCCCGTCAACAGGATTCCTGCAGTCGCAACCCGTTGGATCATGATCATCAAATATAGAGAGCGAGCATGAGAAGGACGATATCGCCGGGATCGGATCAACTCCACAAACCCCACAACCAAATCTCCGGCTTTTTAATCTCGAGGATAGGCGTAGTCAGCCTTGGCAGGATGTTGGAGCTATTCTTGCGAGGCATGTTCTCACTGACTCAAAAGACTCGGGCCAGGGGAATCCAGACAGGAAACTCGCATGGATCTAAACCAGCATGCTGCAAGGCGTTGAGCAGTCGTGCTCCGAGTGAGATAAGAATGATATTAGCAATGATAATAATACTATATCAAACATGTGAATCCATGCAAGTCCGATGGACCTGTGTAGCGATTTAAACCGGCGCGGATCCTTAACGAAGGATTGCCAATTTCCGTCTCGCTGCTCCGCCAACTGGCAAGGATGGGCTGGGCTGCCTCAGGCCTTTCTCAGGCACCTCACTCGATGAGTTACCCCAAAGGAATCTCATGAGAATCTGCGATCAGACCACAGATGGAGGGGAAGTGGTACAGAATACGGAGTACAGATACGGGGATCTACCTAGTATTCCCCGATTTCTGGGGAATGAGCTGATGCTGCTGTCTCCTGATCCTGATCCTGATCCTTCTCTGACCCGTCCAATCCTCTTAGACTATCGAGATTCTAGATTTTCTAGACTAATATCGATCTCATCCAGAGAACCAAGAAACCAAGAGGCAGATGACGCCTTCGCTCATTACATAAGCCGAATCACATGCCAGCAACAGAAAAAAAAAAAAAGAAAAGACAAGAAAAGAAAACTGGGGTAAAAAAAAAAAATGAACTGAACTGAACTGATTTATTCTGATAGAAGAAAGTGATTACTATTAACCTCCAGGCTCCAGCTACTACTACTACTACTACTACTACTACTACCAGGATGCCAGTGAATATTAATCTCATTCTCAGTAATATTAAGACTCGCTTCTCCCATTATGCTGCTGCTGTCTTTTCTCCCATCTCTTTCACCTCCTCACCACCACTCCCTCGGTGTGCTTTTTGATCCCTCTCATTTCACTACAGACGCCTAGACTAGAGCTTGTTGCTGCTGCTATTATTATTATTATTATTAGTATTATTATTATTATTATTATTTACCCCGCCTGCACAGCCCTTGGACACTTCGACACATGGCGCTGTTCCCCCCGGGGATTCCTCTGAGCAACTCGGTTTAAAGTCCTTCTTCCTCTCAGCCTGAGCTGGTCGAGTTGCCAATCCAAACAGTTTTCCCTCTCCCTCCTCCTCCTCCTCTGCACTCGATTCTGTCCTGTCCCCTTTCCCCCCCCCCTGGTCCGCTGTTGCCTATCGGTTTCTTCAACTTCCAGCGGTTCTCGACTATGGGGAAACTCCCCGCCGCCATCTTCATCGCCAGGTATATACGCCGGGAATTTGATTGAACAGCCATCATTGGAACATTTTTCACTAATTCATTTCATTTGCCTCTAGACACGGCGCTCGGCTGGATGCTGCCGACAAAAATTGGCATCTAACCTCCCCGACTCCCTATGATACTCCTCTCTCCTACGGCGGCTGGTTGCAGTCTCGCGCGCTCGGCGCCCGCATCGTCAGCTTACTGCAGTCGCTCGACGATACTCCCGCCGTCTCATCCACCGCTTCGCTGGACGAGCCGAGTCCCTCTTCGTCGCTTCCCAAACCCAAGAAAAAGCGCAGAGTCATCGTTCATACTTCACCCTACCTTCGTTGTGTACAAACATCCATCGCGGTCAGCTCGGGAATCAGCCAGCATTACCCTGACACAGAAGTCATTAACCCTGCGGTCGCCTCGAGTTCGAGTCATCAGGTCAATGGGTATTCCACGGGGTCACCTGTCGACCCGAGCAGGGAATCAGTCTCGACCTCGACCCCGGTCCCCGGCATTCCACCCACATACCCCCCCCTTGACCACCGATGTCTCTTGCGGGTGGACGCCTTTCTAGGGGAATGGTTAACTCCGGAATATTTCGAGCAGATCACACCACCCCCCAAGTCGGAAAGACTCATCGCTGCCGCCAAGGCTGAATTGTTACGGCGCGGGGACGATGTGGTCCCAGTGGCTGATACCGTCAATACGACCCCCACTGGCTACTTTCCGGGAGGCTGGAGTGGGTTCACCACCAGCATCACTCCCCCTCCCGTGGATGAATCGACAAATCAAGTTGCGCCGACCGCGGGTATCCCTGCCGCCACAGTCCAGAGGAACCGTGCAAACAGCTATGACAGTCTAAAATCGGCCGAGAACCCCTACGCCAGAAGGGTCTTGGGCAAAATCAACACAGACCTTCCCCCGATCCCCGATGGCGCGTACATGCCACCCACACCCAGCTACGCAATCTCGCCCTCCGGCCCCATCCCGATCGGGTATGTCACCCATGCGCGCAGTGCTTGCGTCAAAGTGGACTACCAGTGGGACAGCATGCGCGACCCGCAGAATTGGGGCCATGGCGGGGAGTACGGCGAGGAGTGGAGTGCCATGCACGAGCGGTTCCGCGCGGGGCTGGAGCGGATGCTCGGCTGGTATCGCGAGCCGGACCCAAACACCAGCACCGGTCGGCCTCGGCGTTTCTCCCATCAGCCGGGAGTCCATGGGGATGTTCGTCAGGACGCGGAAGAGGAGGATGACGTGGACACGATCGTGATCATCATCACCCATGGCGCTGGCTGCAATGCCCTGGTCGGCGCTCTGACGGGAGACCCGGTGCTGTTGGATTTCAAAACGGCATCCCTGACCATGGCTGTCCGCAAGGACAATGTAGACGAGCAGAGCGACGCCCGGGCCGTTTTCCTCTCCGGCGAGCCTTCGGTGCTGCGGACCTACAGCCTGCGGTTGGTTGCCTCCACCGATCATCTCCGACCACACGTCAAGCCAGTCCCCTCCACTTCGACGCGGTCTTCGCCTAGCAGCAGTAGCACGACGTCCGCCGCCGCTCCTTCTTATCGCAATCGGGTTGCCTCGCGAGCCTCTCTTTCTCAGGGACAATTCATGGTTGGTCCATCTCCCATATCGGGCTTGGGATCACGTTCATGGTCCCTTGTCCGCCCTTCAACTGCTCCACGAGGCTCCAGCGGTCTCTGGAGCTCCTCGTCTCTGATCGAGGAATCCGCCGATGATATCTTGCCCAACTTTGGCGATCGGAGATCCATCTCGACTGGTGCTGCCGTTACAGCGGCGAAGACCAATGGCGATGCGCATCCGCCCAAAGACTCCGGCGGATGGGCCAACCCCCTACCTCATAGAAGCCTGTCCCAGCGAGGTCTCTGGGGTAGCCCCCCGATCTCCAAGGAACGGGAAGCGGGCACCAAACGGCGATGGACGGTGACCGAACGCAGGGTTGATGTGTGATACTTTGGCTTGACTTTGATTTTGAATGGCTTGGGGATACCTTTCTGAATATTGATTTTCTTTTCGTGCTGTCTTCAGACCTGGCGAGGCGTTTGGGTAATCCAGCAGTGGCTGCACTTGACTCTTATTTTTATTTGGATAATGTTTACGTAGTATTTTGGGGGGGGGGGGGGCCACGTGTTCGATTACAACTCATCTCGGTCATCTTTCTCTCCATCTCCAACATCTGTACCACATTTCTGATGACCCTCACCACTTCTCCCTAGCTTTAATATCACACTCTGCTTCTCTTTATCATCTGATGCTTCCTCACCGTTTCCATTCTACGTCATTGTTTACGGTTGACTGGGGACTATCAACACTAAATTGATCCGCCGCGTGGATCCGGTGGATTTCATTGGCGGTGGCGGCTCCGGTCCCGCAGTGCCTTGCAGCCTGGGTGCCTAGGTGCCTAGGTGCCTGGATACCTCGGACAGCTGCCCATTGGCCTCATCCCTCTCCTTATCTCCCATCTCTCCCCTCCCTCTCCCTCATTCTTTCTCTTTCTCATCTTTCGTTAAATTAAGCGTCTAAACGCCTCCATCATCCCTTCTCTCATAATGTCACCGATCCAAACCGGTGGCTTCTCCGCCACTTATGCCTCAAGTCGGACAGGCGCGCCTGATCTACGCTTGATTCACTATAATGATGTCTACCACGTGGAGTATGGCTTACCCCTCTGTCCGTTCAGCAGCCGGCTATCTTATCCGTTTGCGCCTCTTGGACTGTGTATCTAACCTCAATCAATCCTCTAGATCAGGGTCCGCCGAACCTATCGGTGGTGTATCGCGTTTCCAGTCCGTCGTTAACTACTACCGCCACCACCCTCATTTCGCCAGCTTACCCGAGCTCCTGACCTTCTTTTCCGGCGATGCCTTCAATCCTAGTCTCGAGAGTACAGTCACCAAGGGGCGGCATATGGTATCATTCTTGAATAAAGCAGGGACAGATGCCGCTTGTGTCGGGGTATGTGGAGTCGTCTGGGAGCAGTCTTGGTTCCAGATCGTGGTGTAACGGTTGCTAATCTACGTTGTGTTGGACAGAATCACGATCTTGATTTCGGCGTCGCACAATTCCGACACTTGCGCGACCAGTGCAAGTTCCCATGGCTGCTGGCCAATGTTCTAGACCCCGCTCTGGGCCCAGATGTCCCCATCGCCAACTGCGGAAAGACCGTGATGTTGACCTCTTCGAACGGGCTCAAGGTTGGGGTTATCGGTCTAGGGGAGCGAGAATGGTGTGTTACGTTACTCTTTGTAGTCTATGGTGGCCTTGCTGGCAACTCCATACTGACAAGCTCTAGGCTCGGAACGATCAACTCCCTTCCTCCCAACTTAATCTACAAGTCCGCATCGAAGACCGCGTTGGAGTTGGCGCCGCAGCTGCGCCAGCAGGGGGCGGATATCGTCGTGGCCGTCACTCATCAGCGTGAACCGAACGACTATAAGTTGGCGAGGAACCTGCCTCCCGGAACGATTGATCTCATCCTCGGAGGACACGATCACTTCTACGGTCATGCCGTCATCAACAACACCCATATCTTGCGATCTGGAACCGACTTCAAGCAACTCAGCTACATCGAGGCGTGGCGAAAGACGGATGGCCCCGGGTGGGATTTCAGCATCGTGCGTCGTGACATCGTTCGATCGATACCCGAGGATCCTGCTACGGTGGCCCTGGTCGGCCGCTTGACATCGAGTCTCAAGGCGAAGCTGGAAAAGCCGGTCGGATACACGGTCCGCCCGCTCGATGGCCGATTCTCCACTGTGCGTCAGAGAGAGTCTAATCTCGGGAACTTTGTCTGCGACCTGATGCGCTTCTACTACGCTGCGGACTGCGCCATGATGGCCGGTGGAACCATCCGCGGTGATCAGATCTACCCACCTGGCATTCTGCGACTAAAAGACCTCCTGAATTGCTTCCCGTTCGAAGACCCCGTGGTCCTCCTGCGGATTAAGGGTCAGGCCCTCATGGATGCCTTGGAAAATGGCGTTAGCCAGCTGCCCGCCCTGGAGGGCCGGTTCCCTCAGGTATCCAGTATTTCCTTCAGTTTCAACCCGTCCGCACCACCCGGCTCGCGCATCAACTGGGCCAAGGTCGGCGGGCAGCCGATTGAGTTCGACCGCAGCTACGTCCTGGCGACAAGGGGCTACATGGCACGCGGAAAGGACGGTTTCACCTCGCTTCTAGTCAAATCCGCCGGTGGCGACGTGGAGGAGATCGTCGACGAGGAGAGCGGCGTGATGATCAGCACCATCCTCCGCCAGTACTTTCTGAGTCTGAAGATCGTGGGAAAATGGCAGCGCTGGAGCAAGAGTCTGTCCCGGCACTGGGCCCAGGTGCATCAGAACCTGCACTGCGACGACTGGCTAAAACCTCCATCCACGCTCCCCTCTCCCGTCTCTGAGAAGGTCCCCAGCCGGGCGCTTCCCTCGCGGCCGAACCTGAAACGCACGAACCGCTACTACTACGGCCGGTTCCCGGAGATCCCACAGAACGGCCAACGCAACGGCCGCGCAGACGGGGGAGAATCGTCGGAAATGGACTCCGATTCGGATCTGGACCCGGACATCCTGACCTCGCCGCAGCCCACAACCAACTACGTGACGCTGCCTGCCCGCTCGGCCGCCGAGGAAGAACGCCGCCTGCGGCTGGCGCGGCGCGCGGTTCGCAAATGGATGCAGGCGGCCGGGCTCCAGCCTGCGACGCTCACCACGGCCGATGACGCCCAGGGGTTCACGCCGACGTGGACGCCGGGAATCGCACCTCGCATTGAGGGGCGGATTATAGAAGAGGGCAGTGGCATGGCTGTGGACGGGATGTCGTAAGCCGTTGACAGTCCCTACTCCCTTCACTAATTCTGATTTCTTTTCGTTCTATTTTTTTTTTCGGGCTACCTTTGGATATATACGTACGTGCACAGCATTTTTGTGGTTCTTAGCCATTCCACCATTTCTAGACATGGCATTACTATCGGATCGACACGAGAGATCCGGGTACGACTTATGAGATATATGACCTTCATGGCGGGGCAGAGCCCTGTTCCATATCAGATTCATGGAATTTATTTGTGACTTCTAGTTTAGAAGGTATAATCTGGTCCGTGAGAGACACATTAACCTGCGAGAGCAGCTTGCTCGGCTATTTGGTTCTTCGCCTGTCGGCTTCGTCTTGAGTTCGTAGATAATCTCCTCCCCGCCATGCTTTGTAGACACCAAACAGGCCACTTACAGGCCAGACATCCCAGATAACTTCCGTGAGGGATCCCCATCCTCTATTCCCTTGATCCTCGTGCGCAGTCGGATCCACGCGAATGTTCTGATACAACCCGGCAGGTACGAAGCATGATACCTATCGCGGAGCCGGTCATTCTCGCTCCTGTTGTAGAGGGGCCAGAACTCATCCTCGGTGTAGTACGCATGCGCATACAGCCATTTCTTGCCTCCGAGAGCGTGCACCTTGCCCTTCAGCCGGCGGTTCTGCGCGATGAACTCGACCATGTTGCCATGGTGCGGGGACGGGGCCCAGAGGCTGAAAGTTCATGTGATAGACATCCTCCTTGGGATGGTCTGGCGACGGGTGGTGACGGTCTGGTCGACTGCGCGACATCAGACCCTTTTCTTTGAGTGGCGAAACTGACACAGTCAGCCAGATTGGGTATGCGCCGAAATTCTGTTTTTCGTCGAGCCAGTCTAGAAGTGCTGCGTCGCGCTGTGCGGTACTGCGACGTCTTGGATGATGCAGTGCTTTGAGTGTCGACTTTCATGCAGAGCATGGTACATGACCCGCGTGTTGTCTATCATGTTGTGGATATCGCAGGAAACTGTTCAGGCAGCAGTCCAGTTGCGAGTCCGAAGTAAATGCAGCTGTTCATCAAGCTCGACACTGCACCGTAGTTTGATCGCGCTATAGGAAGGCACTGGCTTCCTCCATATAACGCAATTATTGAACCCCAACAGGGCGTGCTCCGGATAAGTTCACGACTCTTCCTCCACCAGCAGCGCCAGCAGCGCCAGCAGCGGCAGGAAATGCGTTCGGCATCTGCGCTGGAGGTTGCACCCATCCAGGAACACTATCATCCTCACCTTCCCGCGCGGAAATGATTTGCCACACGTTAGGGAAACCAGTAGGCAAGGCACCACGAAGACGTGCTCCGGGGATTGCGAAACGGGGATTTCGGTGCGTAAGATAACCGCGCATGAGTCCTTGGGTCAAAAGTGAAGCAAGAATGGATTCAAGCTCCCGCATCATAGAAGAGGGCTTCTCGTGACTTTGATCGTATTCCATATCGGCACGATTTGCGTACGGATCCAGCTCGTAATGACTGTAATCCGCGATTATTTCTCCATCAACAAGGGAGCCCGTTGGGTTGTCTTGCCATTGCCCCATGGCGTCAAAGTAACCATCTGGGCCGAGGTAATCTCCATATTTGGATTGCAAAGCACCATTGAATTCCGGCAGATGGGCATCAATGCCACTGACGCCAGCAAAATCGGGATCTGGGAGCTTGCATACAATTTGCGAGCCGATGCGATTGCCTCCGGCCCTTGCATCGCGGGCCTTGCTAGGTTGGATGACACCAATACCACCAAGGGGTGGTTTGGCATGTTGCGATTGAAGCCAGCGCACCGCTGCTTCTAATTTGGTCAAATAGAGGAAAGGGGGCGGTCCGCGCTGGGCCTGCCCTTGAGGATCGCCATGAAATCCACCATGGATGAAAACCTTCCGTGCAAGTGACCGCCAGACCAAGATCTCACAGCGATTCCGCAAAGGAAGCAAGATACCTCGTCTCGCGTACCATTCAGTCGCTGGCGAGTCCACCGCAAGATGTTCTCGGAAGGCAATGTAATCTCCGCGGGCGATCAACTGGCAAATTGGGATAAATCGTTCGGTAAGACCTTCACATTCAGGTCTCTGCAGTAGCTGCATGGAAGGGAATCGGCCCATGATGATATTACATGGGATAAGATATGTAAGAATCATCCGTTTCTGGTTCAAGGCCTGGCGATGGCACTGAGCGTAGGCAGCCTGCAGGGCAATTTGGGCGGGATAGAAGAGGTTGTTTGAGAAGAGATAACGCCCGAGATAGTACAGGTAAGTGACTCGCTGGGAGGCCGGGAAGTGCTTCAAAGGTGGTGACTGGGCGCTGATACTGGCAAACATCTGTTCGGCGTTGCGCAGTTTACCGCACTAGATCATATGTTAGGGTAAATCTATCAAGCATCAAGACATATCGCCAAGGGCAAACATACCTGGAATAGTAGTTTCAGGCATAGATTGGCCATGAGATAGATTCCCACCCGCTTGCCCTCGGGTTTCCCGTGGATTCCTGGGGTACCGCTTCGATCTGTAAGGCATTTGATGAAAGCTTCACGAACAACGTTGGCGGATTGTTCGACCAAGGTCACTTTCTCAAAACTGTCTTCCTGGTTCGAACGGCCCTCTAATCTTAGCAGTTGTGCGATCAACTCGGGACGGCGGTCGAGGCCCATTGCAAGCTTTGCAAGGACCTTGGATAAATAAAGGACGGTTTGCAGCACTATCACGCCCATTTGGCTGTCTCCTAGAGCTAGCACGCATTGGCTGATTGGATTAAAAGACGCAGGAATTAGTGATCGAGTCAAATATCATATCGAAACGCTGGATTCGCGGATGAACATCGGAACTGGGGTACGGAAATTGCATGCGACGATGAAAGGCGAATCGGACTTACTTGAGAAGTCCCTTGAGGAGATTATACGTATCAAGCAGATTGTCGACATTGACATCGCGGAGGAAGCTAAAGTACAGCTTCATGAAGGTCGAAAAGGCCGCCCACGAACTGCCTCCTTTGGTACGCGGCACGAGACTTTCGCATCGCCGCAACAACTCCGACTCCTTTTGTGATCCATTGGGATAGTGTTGTCGCAACTCGTCCACCATTTGACGGTACACATCGGACAGTGGAGGTTCGATCTGCAGGAAATCTTGAAGCCTGGCGCCGTCGCGTTCTTTGACGATGTCTGCAATTCCCACCAGGAAGCGGCTCAAGACAGGTGTGTCCTGGCCGGCCATGATGGCAATTTGTGGAACGAAGAAAATTGGAGGAATGGGATCAAATCAACGGAGTGGTGGTGGTGGACGGATAGGACTGTTGTGAATCATGGGAGCTCTGAGTTCGCCCAAGGAGTGATAACAACCCAAATAGAAGAATCAGCGAGTACCACACATGATGCTAATGGAGCTTAGCGACTAGCGCAGTGAGCGAGGTGAGTGTCCGACCGAGGGAGGTGAGTAGTAACGCGCCGTCAGATGAAAGAAGCAGAAGAAGCTCCAAGCAAACTCCGGAGTCAACTCAACTAAACGGAGTTGAGCTTGTTGTGGGCGGAGGAGATGATGCCGACCGCCGACCATCAATCCGTCAACTCTTCAGTTTCACCATCAACATTTCACCACAACGCTCTCTTTTCCATTCTCCGTCTTAGGAAGGGAGAAGTGGCCCGAAGTTACGAGATTGAGCTGCTCCCAGTCAGTCGACAGTGACCGTGGCTTGTCATGGGTTCAATCTACACAGCTACAGCCACCCTCTCTCTCACAACAATATATAATCCGCAGCCTCCATTGCTGATCGAATAGAGTTCAACATGGCTGAAGAGAAGGCTACTGTGTATAGACTCGATATCGGACTAGTAGTCTCTCCATGGCATGCTCATCCCTATGCAAAGCAAAGCCCATTCTGTCCTGCGGTGATAGTGGGATACTGGGTAGGATCTCGCAACCCCTACTTCTCATACCCTCTATCACATGTTTGCAGGTTACACACTTTCACAGCATCCTGATTTTCTAGAGCCTAGAGAATGGACTCTCTGATCGTCCATGTTTGCCTCCGATCATGAAGAATCATGTCAAGCCAATAGCACCCCAACTCGGAGATTCACGGCAACCTCTAATTACCGCTAAGCACTATGACAGGATGCTAAGTCCTTAGGCTCCATGATCTAGATGCGCTAGCAAGCACCCCTTGTAGAGTACAGCATCGGGATGGGATGGAGAGCTGCATTGCCCCAGGTTGGACATGGAAGAGACGATGTCTATCCGAGCACTGGGTTTCTGTCTGACCTGATTCTGCCAGATAGGCAGCCGCTTTGATCGCTTTGCACAGGCAATTGGATTGGTACTGTCATCTATAGGATGAGAGTGGTCATATTAGGATGTCTGATTCAGGTCAACCGGAACTGACAAGGCTCTGTGTGATGTTGACCTAGTACAAACCATCTGCATTGAGTGTTCTTCTGACTGCAGTCATCCAGATCAATTCCAGCCCGGTAGGTAATGAAGACTTCATGATTGCGATATCGTGTGGTTAACAAAAAGGACACAAGTGATGATGGTGATGGGCGAAGGTGCCAAATCCACTTTCACATGAAGACGATTTTCCCACTCTGCACATACGTCATGGTTGGAACACCCACCCCATCAAGCAGTCCAAACCAGGGCAAAAGCACACATAACTACTAATGCTATCTATTTCTTCGCAGTTGAAAAAGAAGCCCATCTCCTGTTGTTCTGCTTTGATTGTGTCTCTTCCATCATTTCAAATCTCTACCTCACGCAAGTGCTGACCTTTGTTCTACTCCGCGATCTGGGAGACTGCAAGGAGCAATCACTGGCTATGGCTCAGTCTAAATCCCAGTCTACAATTGTAGACTTCCTCAAACATCCCTTCCTACAGGTCTTTGGCCTCTTTTATATGCTTTTCCAGGGCATCCTTACCTGGATTTTCTCTCCTGTCCCTCCTCCTCCCGCATCTACTGCCGATGGTCTTCCCAAGAAGAGGGTTGCGGTAATCGGTACTGGATTGACGGGTGTTTCCTCGGCCGCGCATTGCATTGGCCATGGCTTCGATGTACAGCTGTTTGAAGCGCGACCGAAAGATAGAGGTCTCGGAGGTATCTGGAGTGTATGTAACTTTCTGCCCAAGGCATGGTCCAATAGCTGACCCAATATCGTTTAGCGAGTCAATTCCACCTCATCGCTGCAAGTCCACAGCATCATGTACCGTTTCCATCCATCAGTGAAATATGCCACCGCCTATCCTTCGCAGAAAGAAATTCGTGAGCAGATCATCGATGTGTGGAAGCGCTACGGTCTGCAAAAACATACCGTTTTCGAAACCCCCGTCACGTCGGTCAAGCAGACAAAAGACGGCAAATGGATTATTAACAATGATGAGGAGAAGTATGGAAAATTCGACGGCGTGATCGCCTCTGTCGGTGTTTGCGGAGATCCAAAGATGCCACCTCTGCCCGATCAAGATCGGTTCAAGGGCAAAATCTTCCACTCGTCTGAACTTGATGGGAAGGATGTCGAAGGGAGAAAGGTCCTCATCATCGGTGGTGGGGCCAGTGCTATCGAGGCCCTGGAGTTTGCCGTCAAGTCAAAAGCGAGCGAGATTGACGTCCTATCACGGTCTGATAAATGGATTATTCCGCGCAATGTCTTTGTTCAGTCGCTGCTGGCCTGCAACATCTTTGGACAGGAAACGATGCTGTCATGGATCCCTGAGTGGTTCCTCCACAAACTCTTCTACCGCGATTTGCAGGACATTGCTCCCTCCGGTGGTCTCTATACCGAAACCCCCATGGCCAATTCCGAGCTCTTCGACCAGATCCGCAAAGGCAAGGCACGCTGGCTTCGCGGCGACATCGTCTCTGTAGAGGAAAACGGCATCCTCTTCAACCATCGTTCTAAGGGTGTGCCTAAGGATGGCCCTGGTCACGAATCGGTGGTCACAGGAGACGTGATCATCATGGCGACTGGCTTCAAGCGCCCATCGCTGTCTTTCCTGCCGGATGAATGCTTCCAAGACCCATATGGTCCTCCCAGCTGGTATCTCCAAGTCTTCCCTCCCAAGTATCCAAGTCTTTGCGCCAACAATAGTACATATGTCAACGCAATTGGAACCGTGGGCAACATGCACATCGGTATCTACACACTCTTCCTCATCATGTTCTTGGTTGATCCGTTGACTCGGCCAACGGAAGGTCGGATGAAGACCTGGATTGACTTCACGCGCCTTATGAAGCGGCTTTCCCCAACCGGCGCCTTTGATTTCTTTACTTATGCTGAGCTGATCTACTGGTACATCTTCGTGATCCTCGTCAACCCGTTCCGCTGGAAGTGGGCGCCTTTTGTGCTCTTCGGTATTGGCCGCACTCTTCCCTTGGAGGTGGTCAGACAGGAAGAGGCATTCCGAAACCAGTTGAGAAAGCAGCACTAGTTCTTTTGTGGCACGAATGGGATTTACAGGACAAATTGGGGTCATTTCAATAGCTGGTGCAGGAGCATGGTGTCTCGGGAAAATATTTCAAGACTTTGTTTATTGCTTCTAATATTTGCACGAATTACTTGGGCTCATGATAGATAGTGCATGTCAAATATGACTGGGGTTCCTTCTTAAACCACTGCATTCCCACAGTGATGTCGTCTATATATGCTGCATACCGAGAAACAGCCGAAATGCCCACTCCGTCCCTTACCACCTAGATATGCAGACTCGCAACGTAGATGATACACTAAGAATGGTTTGCCACCAAAAGCTATCATTTGGTTAACATGACGCTGAGTGCTATGGAATAACAAGCAAAATAGGTATCCTCCGCACAAGTGACACAGCATACGTCAATCAGGTCTTGGTTTTTGATCAAACAGGATTCCCCTTCATCAAGCTCGAATCTCCGGAATCTTTCTTTCTATATTGTATACCAGATTTCCCTTGCGCAGCACCTTGTACGGGATATACCGTCTCTCTTCCAGCCACAGAATCGGGTAGAAGACAGCAACGCCCACTATACAAAAGAGCGTTGCAAAGGACTGGAACGCCAGGACAATCAGATGCCCTACATGCGGAACAAGAAACTTGATCCATTCCGAGACCTGGTACAGATCCTCTTGCTTGGCGATGTAGTAGCGGGTATAGTCACCATTGACCATAGGTTTCTGGTCATCAATTTCTCCCGAGTCCGTGGTGAGGTTGATGACCGTCGTGAGCCTCACGGGCGAGACGTGGAATGGGACCAGCCATATGGAGAAGATCTGCGAGAGTGTGATGTAGAGGGTGAGGTGTTGTTCATCGTAAGCTATCGTTGTCAGCGAGGTGCGGATCATCGGTTCAACACAACCCAACTCACCTATTGAATGAATCTGGTGCTCGATTCGAGGCGACATGATCTTATACCATTGGAAGATCTTGATGATTGTCCAGCGGCTGCCATTGTAGCTGGGCACGCGGCAGAAGGGATGTACAAAGGCCGCCGACGGGGTGAAGTAGCGCTCGATCGTCTCTTGTTGGATTGACGGCGGTGACTCAACCAGGAGCTTGATGACTGACGAGATCTCTGAGACTGTTGTTTTATCCAGGTCAGAACTGTCTAATTCATGGTGGGGGAGGGAATGGGGGCAGTTGTATTTCCTGGCGAAGACACCGACCACGGGGCGTGTGATTGACTCGTACTAACCTGGGTTCTCCATGATTGTAGATTAGATACTCACTGATACAGAATCAGGATCATAAAGACAAAGAGAATTAAGGCCGCCCAACTCATTGATGAGCTTCCATTTCTGTTGTTGATAAACTCGGTCCTGAGCCAGGGGAGCCGATGATGTCATTGGGCAGAGGATGCATGTGACTGTGGAATAATAATAATGCAAAGTTGACCCTCAAAACAGTGCAGATAACTATTTACTCCGTATCCAGGGCTACTATTGTTTCATGATGGTTTGATCAGCCAATAAATTGCATCGACTATCATAGATAACTTTTTGGTATCGATGGAATCACAAGTCGCCTAAATTCGATGCAAAACTCCAGGATCACATCCGGAATGCCCATAATATATACATTTCTATGACCGTTTCCAGCTGTCAACCTTCTTCCGTCGCTTCTCAAAGATCTGTCCCACGGCCACTCCATCGCTGCGCTGTCCATCCTCGTTAAGCTTCCGCTTCCGACTTCTCTCCAGAGCGCCACCGCTTCCCTTGGCTCTGCGCGTAAGTTTTGCGATCCGATCCGCGCCTTCGGTGAGGCCTCTCCATTCTTCACCTCCGAAAGTGCTCTCCTTGCCACCGCGCTTGGCTTTGTCCTTCTTGCTCTCCTTGGCCAATCGCACAAAGTTGGTTTCTTCGTAAGTAGTGCGCTCGGCCTCGTGCTCTCTCTCCTTTCTGGACTTCGAGCGTCTTCCGCCGGCGACAATGGTACTGCCGATGCTGGGCTCGGCCATAGGGGCGGCGGACATTTCCGCGCTGACAAACTCATCGATGACATTCGACCGGAGTGGACGGCGCTCTCTCTGTTCTTTGCGCTCGGTGGTCGGAAGTGCGGTCGGCATGATCCTCGGTGGTCGGTAGATTCCATCGCCTGTGTCTTGCTTGTCTGCCCTCTCTGCTCTGGCCTGGGGCTCCACTCCCTTGGAAAAGGCGGATACGTTCGGCCGGAAGGCCATCTCGTCGATGTCCTCATCCTCTTCATCGCTGTCCTCGTCGCTGTCACTCGAACCGCTGTCCGAGCCCGACTCTTCTTCGCCGCCAGACTTTTTCGATTTCTTGGTCTTGCTCTTCGTCGTAGCTGGTGCCCCACGTTCGGCTCGTTCAGCATCCTCCGCCGCCTTTATCACCTTATCAACCTGATACTTAAGCCGTCCCTCTAGGGGCCGGACACCTCTGTCCAGATACACACGGAGCTCGGTAAGCTTCTTGACAATTTCCTCGCGCTGAATCGAATTCTCATCGTGGTTATCGCCCTGTTCTTTTGACGAGGAAATTTCTCGTAATTGAAAGATGATCAGAAAGACGAGGTTTTGGAGGTAAGACAGGAGCAGGTCATTTTTCGTATCGAGGAGCGAAATGCCATCCTGAGGAGGCTCGATCGAGACATCGGTCGGAACGTCACGTGTCGCTTTGGGCAGAGAGGCCCCAGTGCTTGAAAGGCAATTGTTGAGATTCTCTAGTAAGATAGAAATATTCTGTAGGCCAGAAGGCTCTGCTTGAACTGCTGCGGTTGCCATTGTCGCTGGTAAGTGCTGTCGCTTTTGGTTAAGGACCAAAGCGCGGGAAAAGATTGAGGGAAATTTTTCGATATTTTGTTCCTTATCACCACGTGCTGATTAACAACGCAAATATCACGTGTGCCAAGACTGCGGATTAGCTGGCCTTGCGGAAGTCCAGGTAACCAGAGCATAACAAGTTCAGGACGAAGACAACATCCAACATCCAACATCCCACGGTGACGGAAGATTCTCTCTCAATCGGCTGGTAGCTTTTTCATAATTTTTCCCTCGACTCATGCTCCCTTCAATTCCCCGTGTCGCGTTGAGCCGATTGTAGATTGTATGTGACGTTTTCTCGAAACGACGTTGATGGGCTACGAGTTACCTTGGTCTTCGTTAGCTTCGCCCGTATTCTGGAGCTGGACACACCTGAACCAACTGTCCCTTGGCCTCCAACAACGTCCACAATGCGGTTCAACAGACGAACATCGCCGATATCCGCGTTTCTTCTCACAGTACCGTCACTATCCGCAGCCTTTTATTTACCAGGTGTAGCACCGACCTCGTACGATGAAGGCCAAGCTGTGCCACTCTATGTCAACCATCTTACCCCGGGAATAGCGCACCGAGATGAACAGCTGCATTCCGTCTTCGCTTACGACTATTACCACACAGCATTCCACTTTTGTCGACCGAATGGTGGGCCGAAGGATGTTCGGGAGTCGTTAGGCAGCATTCTATTCGGAGACCGCATCCAGACATCGCCCTTCGAACTCTTCATGGGGAAGAATGAATCATGCAAGGCAGTCTGTGGCGAAGTCAAGTTCGACTCTCGAAGTGCGAAGTTTGTCAACCGGAGGATAGCTCAGGGGTACAACATCAACTGGTTGGTGGATGGGCTTCCCGGCGCGCAATTGAACATAGACGAAACGGATTCCGACTTCTACAGTCCAGGATTTGCGCTGGGAGATCTGAACGATGATGGCCAATCGATCCTGTATAACCATTATGACATTGTTATTGATTATCACAAAGTGGGTTATGGAGGCAAAGATAAATACCGGGTCGTTGGAGTGCTCGTTCAACAGGAGTCCCATCGGGATTCCAAGGTCCTTGAAGATGGAACGGTCGAGTGCGGCTCCGAGGAAAGTGGTATAATCCTTAGGGAAGATGGTGAAACCCCGGTATCTTGGACTTATGGCGTCTACTGGCGCGAATCTCCTACTCCTTGGGCTACCCGATGGGACAAGTACTTGCACATCGAAGACCCGAAGATCCATTGGTTCTCGCTTATCAACTCCGCCGTGTTCGTCGTGTTCCTGGTTGGCATGGTGAGCATGATACTCCTCAGAGCTCTGAAGAAGGATATCGCTCGCTACAACCGCTTGGATATGATCAACCTTGAGGATCTGGATGGGACATCGGCCGCTATCGAAGATGGCATCCAAGAGGATTCAGGCTGGAAATTGGTCCATGGAGATGTCTTCCGGTGTCCCAAGTCTCCTCTCCTGTTGAGTGTACTTGTCGGCAATGGTGCTCAGCTGTTCATGATGACTGGTGTAACAGTTGGTGGGTTCTAGTAGAATGTCTTTGTTCTTCCTACATCGGATCGCTGACTAGCTAAATAGTCTTCGCACTTTTCGGTCTCCTTTCTCCTGCCAACCGCGGTTTCTTAGCCACCGCCATCCTTCTCATTTACACCTTGTTTGGCTTCGTTGGTGGTTATGTCTCTGCTCGTGTTTACAAGTCTTTCGGCGGCGAAGCCTGGAAGCGGAATATCATTCTCACGCCAGTCCTTATTCCAGGACTGATCTTCACTACCTTCTTCTTGCTCAATCTGTTCGTGTGGGCTAAGGGATCGAGTGGCGCTGTGCCTTTCACGACGATGCTCGCATTGGTGCTCATCTGGTTCGTCATCAGTGTGCCACTAAGCGTCGCAGGCAGCTGGCTCGGTTTCAAGCAGCACGTATGTCTATCCTATAACAAAAGGAAGTGTTGCAAACACTGCTAACCCTCACCCAGGCCATTGAAGGTCCAACCAAGACGAATCAGATTCCCCGGCAAATCCCCCCGATGACTGGCAGTCTTCGAACGGTCCCGTCTCTGCTCCTGACTGGAATTCTCCCGTTCGGAGCTATTTTCGTGGAGTTATATCTTATCACGACTTCCCTGTGGACAAACAAGATTTATTACATGTTCGGGTTCCTTTTCCTCTGCTATGGATTGATGATCATGACCACAGCGGCGACAACGGTGCTGTTGATCTATTTTTTGTTGAGCGCGGAGAATTATCGGTGGCACTGGAGGGCGTTCGTCGGCGCGGGTATGACCGGTTTCTATGTGTTCGTCAACGCCTTTATCTTCTGGATCACCCGGGTGAGTTTCGGCGGACTCACGGGAGCCGTGCTCTACGTGGGCTACTCTGCCTTGATTGGCTTTTTGGTCTTTATCCTAACTGGTATGTCCTCATTATTCGGATATGGCATTGGCGTAGAGAATTTGCTGACATTTGGATAGGGTCCATTGGATTCCTTGCCAGTTGGGCATTCGTGCAACGCATTTACGGCTCGATTAAGGTCGATTAGGCCTCTCGTATTGAACTATCTGCATCCAGCATCACCTGAGCGGGTCATATGCGCTTTCCTCGTCCCCTCAGTCTGGCCCGATTTCACTCTTGGTAGTCATGCCTGGATCTAAACCACCATGATCGACAGTTGATTAATTATTATTCATCAACTCGAGAATCGACGTGTTCTGTCTCTTGCTCCGAAACCCTGGTCACATCCTGTATGCTGCCTGATGAGTGCGCTATAGCCAGTAGCTCCTGCTTCCGTTACATTTTGTTTGTCCTTCTTGGTTCTATTTGATCGAGGTGCCCCTGGGAGCTTGTACATATAATTCACGGGGAAGCGATGAACAGGCAAAACGGCAATTTGGGTTTGTTGGAGAGAATCAGGCAATGTATGATACATGAATGAGATGAAGATATCTACCTATACACTAAAAGAGAGTGCCAGCCAGCGAGCAGATACATACAAGAGCTCCATCAGGGCTTTCAATGATTTATGATAGATAGTCTTCCTCGTTGAAAGCAGCTCAGTAGAAACCTGGATATTCTGCAGGTAGTGAACTGCGGACCTTCTTGTTCTCCCGCCTCGCCAAGCCAACGAGATGTTCTGGACCGACGGGCTTCCTGGACTGCGCGACACTGACGACGTCGGGAATTGGATCCCCCTTTTTTTTTTGCTGGGCCTTTGCCACAACATCAGTCTATCTTCCTCGATAATCTTTTTTTTTCCTTCCTTAAGTCTCCTCATCATTTCCTCTATCTACTATTCACAAGCCTCTTCTCGACTCGTCGGAATCTCCTTAGCGTCCCTCCACTCTTCCCCCGGGCCAAGCAGCGCATGATCACAATCTTATCAATCCACACCTCGTTCTACCCCGCGCCTTCCGTGGTTCCGTCTGCTCATCGCGATAGCGGAATAATCCTGGTTAAATCTGTTCTCGGCTGGCGACTGTAAGTATTTACTCGTGACGGTCTGAATTAGTAGCTGGAAGTTTCGTTCGAATATGGGTAAATCGTGAGTAACTCTGTCTTTTCGTCGTGCAGCGCATCCCCCTCAGGAAGTCTGAACCGGGGGGTTTCCCTCCACCCACCCCCCCCCCCCACCAAAACAATGGAACACTCGCGGTGCTTCCTCATGGGGATCATGGTATCGTTTGTCGCAGCTGAAGCTTGAATTTCTGCTTTGGGGACATGTTCGCTGTACTTGTGAAATACCACGACGCTAACCCCTCTGCGCACATAGACAGTCGAAGCTCTCCCCCTCCCAGCTCGAAGAGCTCCAGCAGGCGACACACTTCGACAAAAAGGAGCTCCAACAATGGTATAAAGGTGTGTGAGGGCGGTACTCGACCGATCTATATAAGCAAAGGAGGGGCGCGGATCCGCTGACCGACGTATCCGGGGAGACAGGCTTTCTGAAGGACTGCCCCTCGGGGAACCTGACCAAGGAGGAATTCCAGAAGATTTACCGGCAGTTCTTTCCCTTTGGCGATCCGTCATCATTCGCCAATTACGTCTTCCGAGTCTTTGATTCAGATAACAGTGGTCAGATCGACTTCAAGGAGTTCATCTGTGCGTTGTCGGTCACGTCGCGGGGCAAGATGGAGGACAAGTTGGACTGGGCCTTCCAGCTGTACGACATTGACGGAGATGGAAAGATTACCTACGAGGAGATGCTGGCGATCGTCGAGGCGATCTACAAGATGGTAATGCTTGATGCCGTTTGTGAATGATGGGTTGGTTCAAACTAACTGGGTGCATGAACGCAGGTCGGTTCGATGGTCAAATTACCCGAAGACGAAGATACCCCGGAGAAACGAGTGAAGAAGATCTTCCGCATGATGGACAAGGACGAGAATGGAAGCCTGGACATGGAAGAGTTCAAGGAGGGCAGCAAACGCGACGAGACCATTGTCAGCGCCCTGTCCCTCTACGATGGACTGGTATAGGTGTGCGCCAAAAGAGCACACATCCGTCTCTTCTTCACCCTTGGCGAACCCGGCGTCCTTTTGCGGTTTTCCATCTCACCCATGGCTTTATCTAGTTCTCATCTGGCTCGATCTTGTTTGATACATGCTTATATCTCTAGGATTCCCACAACTTGTGATCTGATTGCTTTCGGCTGGCCTCGTCTATCCTCTGATTGTCGAGTGTGGACGATGGTCGGCATCCTGTACTTTCCCTTCTCTTCTTGCTTCGGTCGTGCTGTACATGAAGTAAGCAAGTCATACCGGCTCGGCTTCTCTCCTTCAATTCTCTTTGCACCTCTGACCGCGTTTCATTTTGATACTACTGTTGCTGTGGTTGTGGATTGTGCTTTTAGCGTGTGAGTTTAGAGTGAGTGGCCGGAATATACGTGCTTATCATCTCAAATGTACATATAACCAAATGGATCTCAATTTTCCTCTCAACATGTAAAAGGAACGGCTATCAGGCCACATGCTGAGACTTCATTATCGCCAAGTGTCTCATATTAACGGCTTTACCGCTCGTGCTTTAGCTCCATTCGATTCCTCCATCTATTCCCCTCATCCCCAAGAACCCTTGGGCTTAAGATTGCAAGCTTTGTCCTGCTTCAGAACTCAGACCAAACTCAGCCAGAGTATTAGTCGTTGCTTTCCTAAAACTGTTCCTTCTTCAGTGCCGAGTGTTTCGAGTAGTGGATTACTGCCTCCCTGATGACGAGCCTGGCCCCAGCGCCACACGGGTGTCGCAATTGTAATGATGCTTGAGTCCAGGTCAGTGTTTGGATTGCATCTATGACCCTAATCGCTGCCATTCAATTGAATTGTGGATTATCTCAGCTATCTACTACCTCCTTTGAGTTTTTACCAACTCTGGCTGTCGTGTCTTTCCCCAGTTTTCCTTTGCCGCTCCATCATTGCCTTCCCACTCCTTGTTCATCACCAGTAAATCTTCATCTACTATAATCATCGAAGGAGACCAAGGAGACCAAGCACACTTTAACCGGTGGCTTGGCGGCTCCAAAAGCTTGACTGCGTTTTTGTGGCTCCATTCTGACCTTGCTTAGTGCGCTGGTAGCTCACCATGCTTGAGCTGCACAAATCCTCGGACGAAGCTCCGAAGCAATCCAACACTGCCGCCAGCACGCCATATCTCTGGATCGATGAGAGCGCGTCACCCTCACTGGCGAGCAGAGCGATATCCTCGCAGCAAACCGAGGTATACACCGATTATGTGCTCACTACTTTCCCCTGCTACTTCCGATGCACCGCGAACCGCGTCCCAGTGACCTGGTTTGACTTCGTCCACAACCGACGCGGGTCGATGAACACCTGCTTCGACTGGGCACTGCGCGCAAGCACCACAGCATACACCGGAACCCTGCACAATGACCCGCGTTACACATACGCAGCAAGGGTCTTCTACGTTCGCGCGCTCCGTAGCCTGGCCACGATGCTATCAAACGCTTCGACCGCGGCTTCCGACGACGTGCTGGCCACAATCATCTCGCTGACCTGCTTCGAGATCCAGAACTGCACGAACCCCGACTCGTGGCTACAGCACGTCGCGGGTATCAAGACGCTCATACGCCTGCGGGGCGCCCAGGCGCACCTCCACGGGTTCGGCCGCGCCATGTACCTGACCCTCCGGGGCCTAATGGTGACAGCTGCGCTGCTATCCGGCGAGGAATGTCTCCTCCAGGAACCGGAGTGGCAGACGCTCAACAGGCAGATCGCCGCCGAGAACGCGCGCTGCCCGGACTCGTTGGCGTACACCGACGTCGCGGAGCGCGCCTTCAGCGAGATTTCCAAGGTCCCCGGGTTCGTGAAACGAGTCCGCGAGCTGCTCGTCCGGCCCCCGCGAGACAGGTCGGCGGCCCAGCCTGCCTTGCTGCGCGCCGTCCTGGCTACGCGGGCCACGCTGCGCGGCATTCACACCGAGTTCGCCGTCGCGGTGTCTACGGCTCAGACGAGGCAGAACAAGACGCAGGGGTTCATCGGCCCCGTGCCCTACCACTTCTTCGATGGCTTCTTCAACCTCTACGTCCGGGGCATCCGCTCCGCGTTGCTCATTCTCAACAATCTAATCCTAGCCATGGACCATAGCCAGCGGGTGGCCATCGAGGAGGAGAATCGGACTCTGTCGGGGAGAATCCCAGACAATCAGCTCAATCCGAAGACGGAAGCCTGCGACTCCTCCCCGCTTACGCCGTCGAAACCGTCCGGTAAGCCTGATCTGGTCGTGCGGTCGCTGGTGATCCCCACGCGATCTTGCGAGCCGTCTACGTCGGATTGGTTGGACCGGCTTCTGGCGACTATGGGGATGGAGGGTGTGAGGGTCACGTTAGTGGACTAGGGCCCTATGTTTAGCAAATTATTGATACCCATTATGTTGACGCGGCTTGAATGTATGTATGTACTCTGCGCATCCATTGAGATATGAAAATCATCTCTCCTTGCCCCAAAAAAGAAAAAGAAAACTTTGGGCGTACTTCCAGACCCGCGCCAATCCCGCTCGACAAGGCTTCTACTCGACGCCAACCGTACCATACCATAATGTTTCATATTGACATTCGGTGAAAAAGTTAGTCTACTTACTATGTATCGTCGCGTGCGAACCAACTTCCCTCCTCCCAACCACCACCATCCCACCAGTGCACCTTTTATCGTCTTGGTAGACAGAGATTTCGAGACCCCAAGGACCAGGGTCTCTCAGAACACGGGCTGGCAGATCGGAATCTAGGTGCAACCAGCGACGTAGGAACGAGACGGAAAGGGAAAAGAGAAACGTCAGGAGCACTGAGGGACGGACTTCGTCATCGGCCAAATCACAAAGATGAGACAGCAGAACAAGCGGGAGGATATCTAAACGCCCCAAAAGAATTGGAAGAAGAAGAAACAGGTTAGGGTTTAGGTATACCAAAAGCGAGGAGAGACGCCGGCCGGGAGGAAGGGTTTGTCTGGCAAGACACGAAGAGAGGGGTGGCTTCAAATATGTTCGGAGGAAGGGTAGAACAAACAGCAAAAGAGAAATCGTGGATCATCGTCGATCAAAGAACCAGCTCGTGCGCTTTCCACTCTCCTGCGACTGGACTCCCGCGACCGGAGCACTGCTCTCTGGCCCTCCGCCGCCGCCGCCTCGGAGCGGCTTAGCGATCCTCGAACCCCCGAAGCTGAAGCCGCTGCCATCCATAGACGGAAGACCCCTTGTCGACCCCTGCTTCGCGGCCTCGAGCCTCTCTTTAACAGCAGTAAGTTGAGCTTCAAACCTGTTCGTGCAATCAATGGGTCAGTCACTTTGTCATGAGCCTGGTATCCAAGGATACTCACCGATGATTCGCCTGAGTAAGTTTCTCCTGGCTCTCCTGAAGCAAGCTTTCAAGACTCGCAATCCGCTCGTTCCTAGCGATCAACTTTCTCTCGGCGATGGCGACCTCCTTCTTCAGGCTGCTGTTCTGTTCCACCAGCTGCCGCTGTACATGGGTCAGTTGTTCCAGGTTGCGTTCCAGGAAGGCCATCTTCTTTTGCTGGGCGCGGTTATTGGATGAGCGCAGCACGTTGTTGTACTGTTCTCGAGCATCGTCCAGCGAGATCTCAAGTTCCACCACCCGCTCACAGCGGTTCTGCAGATCCCGCATCAGGGACTTCTTCATGGCATCGAACTCGGCGATCTGCTGTTGCAGGTTCTTACCCGCAGCACCGTTGGTCGACACCTTGGACTGGGAGTCGGCAAGGGACTGACGCAACTTGGTCAGCTCCTCGTCCTTTCGTGTGATCTCGCTGCGGAGTTCCGCCGCAGCCTGCATCTCGGCTTCCTTGCGGGCCACGTAGATCTTCTCTAGCCGCTCCCGGATTTCCTCGACATCGCCTTCACCCAGGTTCCGCTCCAGGAGATTCTCATAGTCCCGCTCGAGATCGGCCAGCTTCTGCTCCACCTCCGCTCTGCGGCTGTCCTGCAGCTCGCCCAATTCACCCCGGTCATTCATGGTGAGCTCAGCCTGGCGAATGAACCCTTGAGTCTCCAACAGACTGGTGCGCAGCTCTGAGAGATCATCTGGCGCAACAGGCTCGCCGGCCTCGCTGATCTTGTGCAGCGCATCGACCCGCTGGATGAGATCCTGAAGTTTGCGCTCGTTGTCCGAGAAAACGTCCCCTCCCAGGTCAAACCCAGCCATCATCTTGGCCATCTTCTCCGCCTTCTTCTTCTCCTTCTCATCTAGCGCAGCGCTGGTCTCTTTGGCCTTCATTCTGACATCGAGGAGTTGCTGTTTCACATCATCCAGCTCTGTCGTCAATTCGGTGTTGGCTTCGCGAAGGCTGTCCATTGTGATGGAAGCTTCCTTGCCCTCGTATGACACCTTCTCCAGTTGCATACGAAGTTCATTGACCTCCGTGTTCAGCTTTTCATTATCCTTTCCAGAACGTGTCGAGTTCTCCTTCAAGCTCTTCAGTTCCTCGCGGGCCTCACGCAGGCTTCTCTCCACATTCGCGATATGGCTCTCCCGTTCAGCAATCTGATCCTGGAGCTCATTTTCCCGTCTAAGGAATTCCTCCCGCTCATCCTTCTCGAGAACCAGGCTAGGGGTGCTGGAGCGATCGCCAAACCTGGAGTCCGGTCGTGGAGTCTCGGATCGGGGGGTTTCCTGTAGTCGAGAAGGGGTGCTGGGTCGCGGCGCACGAGCTTCAACTTTGGCTGCGCTAACGGCCTCGTTACCTCGGGCAGGTGTCCAGCGGTCTTTGGGAACCTGTTCACCGCTTCGCCATACATGAACTTCGGTTTCCAGGGCCGAAATGTACGTCTCAAAGTTGGTTGCTTGGGTCTGGGCTTTGCGAAGCAACTGTTTCAGCTCAGCCGGGCTCAGCTCAGCATTGACCTTCGCCTTGTTCTTAATCGCCTTAGCGCGCACACCGAATCGCAGCGTCGAGATCGTTTCCGCATCGTTGTAGCTACTGGGCGAGCAGTTGATGATCAAAGTTGTGCGAGAGTTACCACCCAAACTCTCCTGTAAGATACGGGTGAGCTTCGAGTCACGGTACGGGATATGGGTCGATTTCCCATCAGTCAGCGCATTGATGACCATACCAAGAGCACTCAAGCTCTTGTTGATCTTCTTCGCCTCTTCGAGAGTCTGGCCGCTTGCGCCGGTCTTGCCAACCTTCTCGCTACCTGCCAGATCGACCAGGAAAAGTTGGCCGCTCTTTGCTGAGCCCGTCTCGAGATTCTTCTGCGTAACCGTAATGACGAAGATGGAGTGCGACCGGGACGATTCTTGGTTCATGTTTGTCGCGGCCACCGCTCTTGCCGCACCACCACGCCGCATCACCTCGTAGACCTCCTGCACGCTGGACACATAAACCTCGAGCAGCCCTTTGACGTAGACACCGCGCGACTTCTCCTCATGAACGGGAAGGTTGTCGTTCTGCGGCACCAGCAGATCCCGAATCCGCTCCATGTAGATTTCCATATAACTGACGCGCACGGTATACTCGATGTTGCTCGGGCTGGTGAGAATGCTGGCGAAGATCTGCTCGACAATACGCGGAATGATACCCTTGCCCTCCGCATCATCGATATCGGAACCCATCATCGTATACGACTTTCCGGCACCTGTTTGACCGTAGGCAAAGACCGTACCGTTGTAACCATTCAGAATATCGTCGACGGTAGGGCGGATGGAGTAGTTGAAGATATCCCCTTGTCTCGAATCCATGGGGAAGACGCGATCGAACGTAAAGGCTCCGGTGCCTTCCCTGGACTATTACCTCGATCAATATCTGCTGCAGCCCCCTATACCAGCGGCCCCCTTCCCCCCGTTGCCTAGAGAGGGACTCACGTTGATGAGACATGACTGCTCATTTTCAAACTCGACGATCGGCTCTCCTCCGGACGATAGTTCGACTTTGTTCTGCGGTCGGAATCTCGCAACGACTATGTACCACCGGTGAGTTATTTTTGTTGCCCAAATCGTTTCAGAAGAGGGTATACGAACCCTTGATGGTGTTGGAGCCGATAAGACCCGTTGACCTGTCACCCCGGAATATCATCAGTTTGGTCCATTCTCTCTCGCCCAGTTAGTCAGTCAATGGTAAATCGGACTCACGCCATATTTGCTCCAACCCAAACCTCGAGATCCACAAGGGGAGATTATAGAGAAAGAGAAATGCCCCAGAGGGTGGCGGGTAATTCCTAGGACCTCGTTCAGATCCAATATTCACACCTGCCAGCCAGCTGTTTAGAGTCGGTGGGATGTTGTTTGGGTCAGGGGTCCACGTGCACGACGGCAACGAGGAACACGCGATGTGCTCACTCCGAAAAGGAAGGACACAGGAATGGATTGAAGAAATCAAGTCCGCACACACCACTGAGCTCGTGATGTGAGATGGGACTCACGAGTCGAGCAGAGACGAGCAGCGTGGGGATCTTAGATTATGTCTCTCCAGTGTTGCAAGAATGCTTCGACACGAACCGTTTAGGATGCGGCTTGGCGTCGGCCCAAGAACGTTAGAGAATCCCCGTCCCGCATCATCAGTAGGAAACCATCGCTGAATGGTATGTCGCTTGGGTTAGTGGTCTGTCGGAGAAAATATTTACGTTGACATGGGGAATAGCGACTACAAAGTGTCGAGCTTCAAGGGAGTTTAAAAAAAAAAAAAAAAAAAAAAAAACAATAAAGCTCCTGCATTATGCAACGCAAAATTAATTAAGTGATGCAGCTATCCACAAAACCAGCAATAAAGAATCACCAGGCGCCAAAAACCCCGCGCTGTGCATGTCATAAAATATGTGGCAGTCCCTTCAAAGACTCAAAGGGCGAAATTCAGGTCATACCAACCCATCAAGACAACGCATGTCATGCTCGTTTGTGTCTCTTTAGTGGATGAGACTGTTCCTCACAAGAGACCAAAGCAACGACACCCCGGAAACCATATACACTATCCATTTCATGTTAACAAAGTTTAGTCATCCCAGCTCTTTTCAACAGTTTCGCGCACACGCTTGATGTATTCCTTTCGATTATCCTTGTAGAGATTCGAAGCTTCCACATTTGCAGGAGACGAAGTGTTGGGATCGTTCAGTAGACTGCGAAAGAGTGTTGGGTTAGTACAATCTGTTTGAAGAAGATCAACAGACTCGGGGGGCATACCTCTGGATGCTCGTAAGGATGGCCGCCACATCATAGGTTGGACTCCAACGGTTCTGCAGAATATCCAGGCACAGCTCTCCTGTGCCATAAACATTTGGGTGGAACATCTGACTGATGAACTTGACTCCGGGGGGTTTGTTGGGGTATTGTTCCTCGAAATGCATGACCAGTCGGAATGTGCCATCTTCGAAGGGTGTATCAGCGGGGCCAATGATGACGGCATTCCTGAGGACGAGTTTGTATTAATATCCACATATGCATGAAACAAGAGCCAATTCGGGACGCTCACCAGGTCATGACATTGTCTGCTACAGGAGATGCTGAAACTCCGGCAGGGGGATCTGTCTGCATGCGCTGCGGTTATGATTCAGAAGTTAGCTCATGAGCCACCAGCAACACGAGTAGGTCATGGTAGTGAACGAGGGGAAAAATCACAGCAGCTCTTGACAAATAGCCAGGTTGTGCTGCATTAACACTTGACCTACATACCTTGAAGTCACGCATGAGACGACGACGGGCAGAAGTAGACATAGCGGGGTGTCGAGGCGATAAGAGCTATCGGAATAGACTTTCAAAAGGTTCGAAGCAAAACGAAATGTCTCAGACTAGTATTGAAGTAGCCTGAATGAATATTGATGTTGGAGTTGATCTGAAGATTGAGCTTGTCTTTTGAGGTGGACAGGACTAAGAGGGAACGATCACAAGAGCGGGAGGAGAGAGGAGCGTCGATCCAATAGTTAAGACTAACAGTTAGCTGCTGCTCTGTCGGGCAGCTGGTTGCTGTTGCTGAATGCTTAGTCAACGGTTAATTAATCACTGTCAAGACTCAACGGTCATTATTATTATTACCTACACAGTATTATTATTATTATTGTTCCAGCATCCGGTCGAATTCTCCCGCCGGGGAAACTAGCTTCTTTCAGACTAGCTTCGAGCTTACGTCAGGTACTCAATTACTCATCAGTATCACTGACTGACTGTCATGTGATTGGGTCCTGTCCAGCAGCCTCGGTCCAGGCGGGTGGGCGGCTACATGCGGAAATCGGAATGTTCTGCGGAGAACATTGGGAGGCATACTCCGTATCCAAGTCAGCAACTTGCCCCAGACATTATTAACTATCTATTCATTTCCTGGGGTTCTCCTTTCGGATCTTCTCCTTCTCCTTCCTCCTTCCCAGCTCTTGCATCAGACAACTGTCAATATACACCCCTATTGTCACAAATGGCGATTCAAACAACAACCGGGCTGGCTACTCGCCTGGCAACCAAACGTGTTGCATTCCCCGCATCTCGGCAGTGGCAGCGTCAGTTCAGTGCTGCTCGTCCTAGCTTGAAAGAGATTCAGGAAGCGTACATTCTCAGTGGTGCTCGTACGCCTACTGCTAAGGTAAGGTTTTTCTTGTTGTTAATGTTTACCTGCCGTCGACTCATTATATACTCCTAGTTCAACGGATCGTTTGTCTCGGTCTCCGCCCCTCAGTTGGGTGCTGTTGCCATCAAGTCCGCAGTGAGCAAATCCGGCGTCCCTGTCGAGAAAATTACCGATGTGTACATGGGCAATGTGCTCCAGGGAGCAGTGGGCCAGGCGCCCGCTCGTCAAGCCTCCATGTTCGCTGGACTGTCTCCGACCGTGGAATCCATGACTGTCAACAAAGTCTGCGCCTCCGGCCTCAAAGCTGTCGCACTCGCCGCTCAGAATATCCAGCTCGGTCTTGCAGAGGCTCAGGTTGCCGGAGGCATGGAGAACATGTCCCGTGTGCCCTACTATATGTCTCGGTCCAGCCAGTTGCCACCTTTCGGCGAAATCAAGCTACAGGACGGTCTGATTCAGGATGGCCTGTGGGATGTCTACAACCAGTTCCACATGGGCATCTGCGCCGAAACAACTGCCAAGAAATATGGCATCACCCGTGAGGATCAAGACCAATACGCCATCCAGTCGTACCAGCGGGCACAGGCCGCCTGGAAGGAGAACAAATTCGCTGAGGAGATCGCTCCGGTCACCGTGAAGGGCAAAAAGGGAGAAACAGTTATCGAACGGGATGAGGGTTACGAGAACCTGCGCATCGACAAGATGGCGACTTTGAAGCCAGCATTCTTGAGAGATGGCACCGGCACGGTGACCGCTGCAAATGCTTCCACCATGAATGACGGTGCCTCGGCTCTTGTCTTGGGTAGCAAGGCTATTGCGCGTGAGTTCGGACAGGGTAACCGGGCTCTTGCTCGCATTGTCTCGAGCGCAGACGCCGCCATTGATCCTGTCGATTTTCCTGTGGCTCCATCCAAGGCTGTTCCCATTGCCCTCGAGCGGGCTGGCATCGCGAAGGACCAGGTCGCAGTTTGGGAGTTCAACGAGGCCTTTGCTGCTGTGATCAAAGCCAATGAAAAGGTGAGTGTCGATCCAGTCATTGTCTACGATAGGTTCATTATTTTTTCTAATGATTGGTACTTAGATCCTCGGTCTCGAAAACGCTCGAGTTAATCCTCTTGGAGGAGCTATCTCTCTGGGACACGCTCTTGGTAGCTCTGGCTCTCGTATTCTTGTCACCCTTCTCCACCAACTGCAGCCAGGTGAATATGGTGTGGCCGCGATCTGTAACGGTGGTGGTGCTGCAACCGCCATGGTCATTCAGAAGCTGGACCGGGTGGACTAAGAGGCCAGTGATGGATATTTCTACTTTGTTCCAATTCTTTAACAATTCTTTTGTGACCTCAAAAGCCACAGCGCGATGATTCTATACCCACGCTTCGATGCAAAGTCCGTTGGCGTTCTATGCATGTATATATATATATATGATGAATGAGATTATACTTTCTAGAATAAATCATCTCATTGATGATCTAACCGTATCTCTTTATCTATCCCAGGCGGAGTGTGCTGGATCGTCTTTGTAGAGCGTAATCCACGTGACCTTGGCGATATCACACCAGAGGCTTTTCTATTGCTAAACCCAAAACAGTGGAAACAAACTGACCTGATGCAATTCTATGATTGTACACGGGTGCTCTGTAGGCCATCATACGAAGAGATCTGGAAGATGGAGTGATATTCTACTCTATTAAGTTTTCTGAATCGTTTGCTTTGCAATCCATCTTTCCCAGCAAATACATATTCTGCTAGACTCTCCGCAATGTTAGATCCCGTTGAGCTACATGTCTCCCCTTCCTGCTACGAGTGCATTTCATGGTCAGCAGACGGCGAAATCGCTCTTGCAGCAGGAGAGTACGTTCAAATCCTGGTAAATGATATTGTTTGCCTATTGACCTGAGGTGGAAGACTGACCATCAACCTAGACACCACGAAAATCCACCCAGAAACAAAAAGGGAGCCGCTCTGGCCACTCGAAAAAGGAACCAGAATGGCACATCACGCGCTTTCGAGCCAACATCTTCACTAACAAGGAATGGCCTACAATATTCCCTCAAGATCGGGATAATTTCTCCATTGGACCAGAGATCTCTCCGAGCTCAGTAGTTGGGCTGGCCTGGTCACCACCAGGACTAGCGAAGTACAGACGGTGCACTCTGGCCGTGCTCACATCCAACCTGATACTGACCTTCTACCAAATCGTTGAAGGCAAATGGACGCGAGTCGCGATTGTGAACAAGGCGTTGCTGTCGCAGTTTGAAGCGTTCATTCCCGACGAGGGCCCGAGGCTGCGCAAAACCAACATACGAGCCTTTGCGTGGTGTCCGCCTCTCAAGGTTCCCCGCGGCGAGGACAGTGGTACACCGGCCAACTCAGTTCCAGGCGCAGAGAGCCGATGGGGCTCCCAAATTCTCGCAGTCGCGAATGATGCCAATGATGTGATTTTGCTGCACGTTCAGAGTTCTAATGCCGCGCAGGGCGCTCCTACCTACACTTTCGACCTATTGTCCCTCACCTCAGTGCATGATCCTGTAGGAAACTATCCTATGGTGCATTCTGGCTCGGTTCTTGCGGCATGTCTGACATCGAAATTGAGGATTTTGAGTATGTCGTGTGGCCCTTGGTGTCGCAGGAAGACCAAGGAAGAGCGGGGCGCTTGCTTGGTGACAGGGAGTGTAGCTGTTGTATACGGCACAAAGCTCAAAATCATCAGAATCGATGCAACACTGACCCATGACGGCCAAGGGCCAGAGACATCGTATCGATGGAATCTGGAAGCTACGTCTACAGAGGATCAACAATTGTTAGGCAGATTGTGTAACAGTCACACCTATCATAGACCGGTCGAGTGGGTACGATCGGTAAGTACTGGAGTTCTCTAAGAATTGATTTTGTCTCACAGCGTGTAGGAAGAATCCGAGCAGTGCCATCTCGCTGTGAGTACACCAGGGGCTCTCAAAATTGTGAGCTTCCCTCGCGCAGTATATGGCGGATCAGATACATCCTATGGAGAAGTGCAGACTATGATATATCCTCTTCGCGAAGAATCAGAAACCGCCACAGAAAATGAGATAATGCATTGGGAGCCTATCAGCGGTAGGGAGACGCATCCTAGACCAATCACCGCCCTCGCTAAATTAGAAACAGCAATGACAGTCGCATGTGAGAATGCGTCCGCAGTACCTACGCTTCAGTTTGGTACCATTGGAGGGATTGCGGCAGCCATAGATCTCACCGGCTCTCACATCGACGACTCGCTTTCCCCCGCCCCATGGAAAACCGAATTCGATGCCATGCGTGAAAGGTTCGATATTGACCATGATCTCGGGGGTATGGCCATCGGCAGAGTTTGGGGGTTAGCAGCCTACGATGGGGTCGTTGCAGCTGCTGTCACGCTGCATCCCGGGGATATGGTCGAGTATCGCACCGGTGCGCAGGAACGCACCACAATCATCTTCTCAAGAGCAAGCTTGCATGCGCAGCAAGACATCCCAGCGGTTTTCCAGGCGCTACCAGAGTTTACAGCTGACTATTTGCGCTCGAGACGTGAGGCTGTGTTTGGGTTCATATTGAGTTCTCTAGACCATGATGATAGAAACCCATGCTATCAAATGATCGTGTATACAGCTGCCTGTTGTGCTCTTACAGACTCTCAAAACGATACACTGCGAGCACAGGCTAGAGAAGCCTTCGAATGGCTTGCCACAACTACAGGGGTGGACCTGACAGAGGAATTGGCAAAGTGCTCCGGGTCTGGCAATATGGTCGAGGCGAAGCCAACAGAGCAGCTCAACGGACCAGGTGGCCACATGTTCGAGAAATGCGACATATGCCAAGCCGGAATAGCTTGGTATTCTGCTCAGGAAGCGCAATGCGCGAAAGGTCATCTCTTCGGTAAGTATCTGAATTGTCCTTTGGAATAGCGAAGTAGAATCAGCTAACTGCTCCGTACAGTTCGCTGCAGCCTTTCTTTCTTGTCAATTCAGGAGCCAGGGATATCCAAATTCTGCTCTGACTGCGGAATGGAGTATCTCAATGAGGACGTCATCGGACAGATGCACGGAGCAGATCTCCAAATTGCTTATAAAAGACTTTCGGCTACGTTCGACACGTGTTGCTATTGCGGTGGCAAGTTCCGTGCCTGAAGGCTGTCACTCATCTTGGATGCAAACTTTCGATGTGGCTCAAGCCCTGAGAATAGGGCGATTGGAATCTTCAAAATATTATGCGAGGCCCAAGAGTTTCCCGGCTACGGGATCCCATTCGTTGTCCCAACGGTGGTTACTCTCCTTGCGAGCACCAAGGCGAAGCGTCTCAAGTTTCCTTGGATTCTCGAAGAGATCAACAAGCTGTTCTACGAGTTCGCCGGGGCTTCCGAAGCCCATTCCGTTCACGCCCTCGGTTACTAGTTCCGGCCAGGCTTGGAAACGGCTCCATCCTACGACAGGTAATCCAGCCCCAAACATGTCAACCACTTTCATGGGCAGGTCGACTCCACTGCTACTGGTGTGTAGACTGATCCCCAGCGAAGCGGATGCCAGAAGACGAGCATAGTCTTCCGTGGTCAACCATGCGGTGCGAATGGTGACCTTCTCAAGCTTACCAGCTTCTTGAAGCGCCGATATTTGCTTCAGATACATCTCTTTTTGGGGACCCTTACCCGTGATGATCGCCAGAATAGACGGCAATTGGGGTTTGGTAGTCGTTGCCATATTCGAGTACCGGCAGAGTGCGTCGATGAGTACCGAGAAATCCTCATCGGGTGTCCAAGACGTCGAACTGACAAGCACCCGGAGAGACGCCGACTCTAGCAGGTGTCGCACCGATTGTGTCTCAGGCAATGACTCGAGGAAGTTGTGTCGCTCGCGATCGTCCAGGATAGGCTGGAAATGGCTTGCCGGACGATCATGCAAGGGCAGAATAGGCGCTTTGAGACGAAAGTCATTCTTGAGGACGGACGCCATCGCTTCGGTTACGCAGAAGTGCGCGGTGGCGTACTGGCAGAAGGTCATCTCGTACCACTTGGAGATTCTGACAAGTGGATGGCTGTCTCCAAGCTTTAGCGCTAGGATAGTGTATCCAAAATTATGCCAATCAATTATCAATTTGGTGTGTCGGAGGAACGATACGACGGAGGCAATTGCTAACGTGGGTATGGAAGGCGGGTTCTGCATTGATTAAGCCTTAGCAAGCTAAATGTAGCCTCATGTGAGACCCGCGACGCCAGTAGGGGCTGACCTGAACGAGGAGCCATTGTGCCGGCTTTGTCTGATACCCCAAAGTCCACCAGAGATAGAAAATCTGGAAGGCCACTTTGAGCGGTCCAAAAAGAAGGAAGAGGAGCTTGTTGCTAGTTTGGAGAAAGGAAGGATGCGGTGGAAGGGCGACAATAGATATCCTAGGGCTGGACGTAATGTCAGGGTGAACCTCTGATTCTATAAACAGACATCCAGTCAGGTAGTTGTTGGAGAGATATTCAAATTCAAGCCATACCCTGATATCCGATGATGTCCACTTGACCACCCGCTCTTGCAATGCTCAGAGCATGGTATTGCATGCGCGGACTGCGACCGATGTCTCCAAGAACGAGAATCTGCGTCGTGGTCTTTGCCTCCTTTGGTGCACCTTGATGGGTACGCCGAGGTGTGTACCTCGAAGGCAGAAGGAACAGCAACAATGTGACAGCCGTGGAGACATAAAATGCGATACCGATGAGAGACTCGATCATGATGCCGTGTTTTCAGCTGAGCAGATCACTTAGTCAATGAAGAACATGCTGGTGCTAAGTCCCAATTCGTATCTGCAATATGTCAAGCAACTTATTATTGGTGATAACATACTGCGGGATGATGCCGCCCTGACGCAGTGGGCGACGTAGATGACACGTGATAAACACTATATGCGAATTCAACTGCGTAGGCCGCCATACGATTTATCACCTGTCACCCTTGGGATAGGAACATATAACTAATTTTGGGTGCCCGAAAAGCAGATAAGCCCGATTAACTCAGTTGGTTAGAGTGTCAGACTTTTACCTTCGTTCCGTTGTTAGAAATCTGAAAGTCACGAGTTCGACCCTCGTATCGGGCGCATCTTTTTTTGTTTTTTGTTTTTTTTTTTTTGCTTTTGCTCCCGTTCTCTTTTTCCGCATCAGTAGTCCCAAGCCGCTGTTGTTCCTTTTAGTCATATGCATGTGAGCCAGCCTGCAGAGTACAAAAACTGAAGACTCATAGCTTAATCCACACTCGTACAGGACAGGATGTATGTACTCCCTACAGTACTATGTAGATAGTTAGCTAAGTCTTGTCCCAATTAGGCAGGCAGGCGGAGAGATAAGAGGACCTTGGCGTCAATCACGTGTGCCCCTTGGCGCATTATCCTCTCCAGCAGGTGGAGGCTTCGTCGCCTTGAACCTGATCTCCCACAGGGAGAAGACCATCTCGGGGGCGTTTCGGATATTTGCGACACCTCACAATCCCCTATACACTTCAATCGGCCACGTTATTCTCGCGCGATGCCGGGTTCTCTCGCTCAATCCTTTGGCCGACCGTCTCTTCAGAGCTGCTAAGCTCCCTTATCCCTCCCGATCTTGGCCCGCCACAAGTCACGACCCCCTGTCGAACCTCCTCGTCTCTTCGCGCTCTGCTTTCACTCATCGCTGTTTTAACCTCCTCGTGGATACGTACACGTCAATCGGAGATCATATATCATGTCAACGGGAGCCCCCGTGTCCAGTGTGGAGACACTCCCCCCCGCACCTCACGGACACGGATTCGGACACAGCCGTGGCCATGGCCATTCTCGCTCAAAGCGCTGGTCGCAACCTCCTGTAGGCAATGCGCTGTCCTCAACGGATTTTGCTGCGACTCAATTGCCATCATCCACAACTTCTACCGGTTCCACTCAGCCCAATAGCTTTGTCTCTGATTCGAGTCTGCACAATCACCAACATTCGTACTCATATTCTCTTTCGCATTCGCACTCGCACTCGCACGCTTCCATACACGATTCGTGGAATACCTGCAGGAATGAGACTTCTTCGCACCATGGTCATACGCACGAGGAGAGCGAGACAGCAGCCAGTAAGGCGCGGGCTATGCCTGTCGCAGCGACCGGTTCCGCATCCAGCAGCAAGTGAGTGGACCTCCGATCATTCATGAATGCACTTTCTGATTAATCCCGTTGTCTCCCTTAGTCGTGAAGCCATCTCAGGCGCTCTGATGGCCCTACCATGGGTTGCGATATCATGGTACTATCAGCGTTACGCGCGGTGGGACTCTACCGCGAAAGATGAGCATGATTCCAAGGCATCGGCCAGTGGGTGTTTGGACCATCTGTATACAAGGATGTGCAGTCTAACGGCCATTACCATGATAATGCTGGGAGTCGGACAAATCATTCAATGGACGCAACAGGGCGGAACCCACAGTGCGGCCAAGGTCCCCAAGCTCAGTACAGATGTTGGAGTGGCAGCGCTAAAGCGTATGTGCGCAATCGCACTCCCTATCTATGCATCGCTGAACGTGAGCGGATACCTTGTCGCATTTGGCTTGCTTTCTGCTGCGGCAGCCGGTGTGCCTACCTTCGTCCAGGACCGCACTGCTGGCAGCAACGCTCAAGGCAGGTTTAGTGAAAAACGAGGTACCGTTGCTTTATTAGGCGTCGTCACATTATTGGGCTTTCTTGGATTGAATACTTCCTTGGCCTCAAGTCCGCTATTCGGCTATATCTCATTGCTATTATCCATATTTGTCATACGGCCCCCCTTTGAAGGGACAAGTCAACCCAAAGCTGCCTACCCAGTTGGTCTCGGTATTTCTGCTTCGGGGCAAGCAGGGACATCAGTGCCGCAGGACTTGCCCAGCGGGGGCTTAAGCGCTTCACCAAATGATGGGGTGTTAACCCTGATTGTTGGGCTGCTTTTTGAGCTCTTGATCTTTGTTGTCTCTGGTGGCCCATCCCTTTCAGCCACGGATGCATTGTACCTGCTGATTACTGCGGGTACCTACGCAATATCCTTACTTTTCTTGTCACCCTCCAACCTACAGTCTCCTCACAAGTCAGGTCTCGCGATAGGTACCGCTTGCGCAGCCTTTTTATGTGCATTGCCGCCACGAGACGATATGTACGTGGTATATGCATCGCGCTGTATTCTTGCTATGATATCATTCTTTGCCGCTCGATACGATGACCGGCAGCTGCGCTTGGCGCACCATTCTCATCAACATCACCATGCTCATTCCGCGGCGGATACCTCACGAGCTACCAAACTCCTTCTCCTCTACAGCGAACCCTATCCGCTACTGTACAGTATCCTCAAAGAAAGTGACTCGCGCCGGATCTTCTACTTTATGACGTATGTGTACCAACATACTTGCCGATGACACTGGCAGCTGCTGACTTATTCTAGCTTGAATTTCGCCTTCATGTTAGTTCAGCTATCGTATGGGTTTATCACCGGCTCCTTGGGCCTGCTCAGCGACAGTATCCACATGTTTTTTGACTGCCTGGCGCTTGTTGTTGGCCTTTGTGCTGCTGTCATGAGCAAATGGCCGCCGAGCGCGAGATTTCCTTACGGCTACGGAAAAGTTGATACACTCTCCGGGTTCGCTAATGGCATCTTCCTCATGTAAGATCATCAGAAATCTTCTCTATTTCGCGCGGGCCCTGACACAACCTAGGATTATCAGTATCGAGATTATTTACGAGGCGGTGGAGCGACTCTCATCTGGAAGTCAAATGCATCGTCTTGGTGAATTATTGGCTGTCAGCGTTGCTGGTCTTATGGTGAATTTAGTCGGTATCATGGCATTCGACCATGGTCATGCGCATGGTCACGATCATGGAGGCCATTCGCACTCACATGGAAATGAAAATATGCATGGCATCTTCCTCCACATTCTCGCCGACACTCTCGGCTCTGTGGCAGTGGTGATATCCACTATCCTTGTACACTTTTCCGGCTGGGCAGGATATGATCCCATTGCGTCTTGTTTGATCGCAATTTTGATTTTTGCCTCGGCCGTCCCGCTGGTCAGCAGCACGGCCAAAACCTTGCTGCTTGCTCTCCCGGCTGATGTCGAATACAATGTTCGTGAAACGCTGGCTGGTGTCAGCGCTCTTCGGGGCGTAGTGGGATACACTGTACCCAAATTTTGGCTCGACGACACTGGAGCGACTTCCGGGCATGATCACGATCACAGTCATGGTCATAGCCACAGCCATTCTCACAGTCACGATCACGGTCATCGTCATGCCCATGATCATGATCATGCACACAGTCACAATCATCATCATAGCCACGACTATGGGCACGGCCATACTCACGAACACGATCACGAACACGATCATTCTCATGAGAAACACACAAGTGTCCTCGGGGTCATCCACGTGATTGCGTCTCGCGGAGCTGACTTGGAGGACGTACGACAACGGACGGTCAATTATCTTCGAGAGAAGAACATGGATGTTCTTGTCCAGGTGGAACGCGAGGGTGACGGACGCTGCTGGTGCGGAGGGGGAAACAAAAGCCCCTAGCCTCACTGACCACCTTTGTATATCTTGACGAAACATATGAGCGTTCTGTGGTTTTTTGAACACATATGGCTATATTCTTTTTGTACTATCTATGAATACATATCAGGAAGGATTTGAAATGCATATACCATAAGTAGCATTTGCTCATGCCATGCTTGTAAGCAATCTGACTGTCACCTGCGCTACCTGGTTGAACCAGCTTCTTCTCTGGAAACCCCCTGGACAGCATCCATCACATGTTGCCTATTGATTAGGGTTGATTAGGGCCGAATAAGCAACGCTCCAGATTGTGCGAGTGTCCCTAAGTTACACAAGGTCCACTAGGAGAATGTAACCATGTACGACAAAAGCCCCAGGCACCTGGATCCCTTTGTCTCAATGCAGGACAAGAGGGCCGCCGCTTCTCTATTGCATCAAGCTGGGCAACAGTAAGCGCCAGGATTATCACCTTCAGATGCCAATGCCGATAACAATAATACGCGTCCCGGTCAAAAATCATGGCTATAGATAGGCGTGAGACAGACGGTAGGTACCGAGAACCAGCTCCCGGGATACTGTCGGCGGAGGGAATGAACTTCCAAACGCCGAGTCGGTGTCACGTCAGCGGTTCACTCCTCGCGCAGAATCTGCACTGCACACCTTGTCTGGTGGAGTCCAAGGGGTGATATGGTTGTACAAACAGCCGTCTCCTCGGCTGCACATGTAGATGCGGCCAGAATACGCAGCAACTATGTTTGATCCTTCGTATGAGGGAACGTCGAAGGCTCTCTGGGGGATGTCGATTGGCGTGAATTTCTGGATGAAGTGCTTCAATTGGCTCCGTGGCGAAAAGGCACAGTGACATTTCTTGCGCTGTACTACCGCACCGACTCGGCTTCAGCTGCAAAATACTGAAGATCATATGCAATCTGCGTAGAAAATGGGCTAAGATCCGCGGCACAGAGCGCTGCATGACGGATTTAGTGGCATATATTTCGAGGCTTCGCCATGTCGCACTTCTAGGATCCATCAGCTTCTCTCCCCATCGGTTGCCAATTCGGTTCCTTCCGCCATACCCTCGCAATGTCCGGTCCGATGGCCTCGCCGCCAGCAACGGAGATTTTGAGGAATGGGTATGCGAGAGCATTTGAGACACATTCTGTTTTCCTGACTGGCAGCACAGGATCGCTTGGAGGATGTCTTCTGTACAAGTTGGCCTTGCAACTTCCGACCCATAGGATCTTCGTTCTTATCCGTGGATCGCCTCAAACTGCTATTGAAAAATGGCGAAAACTCATGCCTGGACATGTACCGGCGATCCTCGACTCTGGGAAAGTGGAATTTGTGGTTGGAGACATCAAGCAAGCGGACTTTGGGATTAAAAAGGCAATGTTGCAGCGGTTGCGTGAAGAGGTCACTCTTGTCATTCATGCGGCAGCCAAGATAACCTTGGACGCAGGCATCGCAGAGTCAATCGAAAACAACTGTCTGCCGACGCTTGAACTTGCACAGATCATCTCACGCTTCAGGCGTTTGAAGCTCTTTATCCAGATCTCAACGGCGTACGTGAACAGCTTCCTGCCCGATGGGTATGTAGGCGAGCGACTATATTCCATCTCCGATGAAGACCCGGAGGATGAGCTAGCAGCCATACAGGCAACTGGGAAGTCTCCCTACACCTCGCGATTCTCGTCATCGTACACCCATGCCAAATATCTCATGGAGCGGCTGTTGCTCAAGAACTACCCTCTTCTGCCGCTTCTGCTTGTACGACCGACCATCTTTGGCTCCGCGTTTCGGGACCCATATCCTCGATATGGACCTCTCAATTCCACGCCGATGAATAAATTCGCCAGCCTGTTCTTCGCAGACCTAGGAAGCACACATGTGTGGCACGCGGCCAAAGGGTACAACAGTGGTGCAAATATCCTTGACGAGATTCCAGTCGATTTTGTCGCGAATGGTTGTCTTCTGCACGCAGCGGCAAAAACACGGGGGATCGTCCATCTTGGAGCTCAGCTTTATGTGCCTCATACTTTCGATGACTTCTTACATCTTGCAGCATCGAACGCTCCGACTTCGATCCAGAAAGATTTGCCAACGATAGAATTCACCCAGGACCATGATGTTCCGCAGTCTCTACTGGCAGACCTAGTAAAGGTCGCCACGCGCAACTGGCTGTTTGACTGTGGTAGGTCGTATTGGCTGAAACAGGTAGGTGGACCATTGAGCTTTGCCGCATGCAAGCATGACGTCGAGCAGCTCAATTCCACGAGGGTCAAAGAGATTTATGAGAAAACTGCACAGAAATTGGCAAGGCTGTAGTTTTGTGCGGGGCGGACGGTGCCTCATGTCAAATAATCACAAAGCAAATCATAAGAGCAGCCTTTTCCCGAGGGATTTTTATGCATATTTCATAAGATTGGGATGATGCTGCGATGCCATCCAGTATAAGTCGGTCAATCATTGAAATGATATCTCAGAACGAGTCAGTGAAAGATCCATTTTGACTAAACGTGGCCCATGAATCAAAGACCCATTTTGTGTTTCGGCCATAACCGCGCCTCTTCCCACCGAATATCCCCAGGTTGCAAGACGGCGAGGAGCTCTGAGACTAGAGCGGGACCGGAGTTTCTCGCCCACCACATAGTCCCATCGAGTTCACCCAGAAGCACTCCCCAATACATAAGAACCATGAGCGGGAAAGGCTTCCGACATCTCAAGGCATGTGCAAATTCATTACTAGCAGTGGCCAACCACCTAAGAACTGACGCCGCATCTTTGCACGTAGCGTATCGAGTAAAACAACCGTGAAGTAGGGAGATAGCTTCCTTCACAATACGGTACTGTTCAGGATCAACAGCGGCCACGATATCATCATTCAGAGCGGCCAATCGACGCAGGGCATGGTCTGTTTCGCTGTCTAGCTTCACAGCCGGGCCATTGTCGACCTCATCCTGCGATGTAAAAAGCTTCATTTTGAGCCACTGACGGCTGATTCTGAAGATTTTACTAACACCTTGCAACAATTCAAAGACGACTATGACATTCTCAGTGATGCTCGGGCTCTCGTCGCGCTCCGCAGTCAGCCGCGGTAGAGCGATGCCAATGACGGTGGTGAGCACGGAGTGGGCAAAGACCGCATCACAGTTCAACGGGGTCAGATTATCTATAGCTCGCCGGTATGGAGCAAATGCCTGGTTGTGATATTCCATAGCAGTGTCAATGTAGGACAGAGCATCTGGTGGCTCAAGAGTAGAAGCTATGTGCAAAGAAGCAACTGCAAGGATGCCACTCAGGAGAAAATCATGGTCAAGAGCCTTCCGTGGAATTGCCATCTGCCAGACATGATAGTCCAATGGGTTGTTAGAGAGACTCGAGTATGTTTCCGTTGAGTACTTGTGCATGAGCTCCAGCTCCCGCAGGCTGGAACATTTGGTTTGAGTCGGGATTACCAGATCGGTCGATGGCCGACTGACCGTCTCAGGCAGCCTCTCACCGTTGGAGATTGCAATAGGCGAAGGCGAAGGCCCTGCAGATGTTTCACCTACAAGACTACGAGCTTTTGGTGTGTTGAAGTATGTGCATCCCAATTCTCTGGAGATGCAATTTGAACAAGGGGGGCCCGTTTCATCACACTACAATGCAGTCAGAAGAAGAAACCACACTAAATTGCATCTCAGGCATGATCTCAGGTAAAGCTTATTGCAGGCTGGAACAGAAGTGGAGAATGTGGGAGAGGAGATTGATTCTAGGACGAGAAAAGAGGCGAGTCCCATTGGCCTTAGTGCAACCTGTGTTGGGCTCAAAGCAGCATAGGCGACGGCACTGCAGTAGATAGAGCTTGGACCACACTTTCCAAAGGATAGAAAACAAACCATACTGGATATCACACCGAGGTTGAGGAAGAGAGTATGAAACGTGATTGGCTCACCTTGACTCTTCTCTTCTTGCACTGGTCGCATCCCATCCGGGATTTTGTGTGCGTTCGACGGGGCGGCATCTCCAATCAAGGCTGTATTCCAGCTGCCGACATTTCCAGGGGGGTTCACTGCCGTAGAGACCTCCAACGATGATGAGGGTTGCGGTACATGGCTGATGCTGGACGGAGTTGATTTGACGGAGAAAATCATCGCGGGTGACACGTGGGATTCTCCGGCATCACGTGATGCAGCCTGACACATCCACGCACATGGCCTGCGGTCATGCAGCCTGTCAACCTCACTAGTCAACACTCAACACTTACTTCCGCATCTCTCACGACGAACATTAAGCAAATACTGTCATCAAGCATTTTGAATTGTTCCACCGGAAGAGGCGCAATAAACTACTCCGTCAAAAGTGTCAATAAAATCTGGTGGAGCCTTGTTCTCCGCGTATCCACAATGCTAACTATGGGACGGCAGTCAAGTCCAAGGATTGACTTTCATGCTACCAGCCTACCACACAGTGAGGACTACTAAGGAGACGAAAAGACCCCGGCTTATTCTTTGTGAGCAGTCTGATAATAATGTTCTTCTCAGGCACCGAGTTCCTTTCTGAAACATAAGCGAGCCGGATCTACAGCATCCGAAGTCCGAGCAACATTCAAATGAGGCTGTAAACGCGCCGTGTTGTCCATTCAAATTGTGATAAGACAAGAGTCTCCAATGGGGCCTAAGCGAAGGCGAAAAACGAGAGCGAGAACGAGAGCGAAGACGAGCGCCAATCAAACCCAGTTAGCAAGATGCTTCCAGTTGTTGTCGATCCACCTCGCCGTTCGTTAACTACATTATTAACTATTGCAAGCTCCCAGTCCCAGCAGGATCGGGGATACATGGCTAATAATGGAGATTTATTGACTCGTTCAACGCCCCGTAATCACTAAAATATTATCAATCAGCATCATGGAAATAACGGCGTTTACCTTCTCCTTCCCGTTTTCCTTCTATCTCACCCTATAGATCCTTCATTCTCACACACACACTCTCTCTCTTCCCCTTTCTTCTATTCTTTCCTTTCGCATACGCTCTTTGATCGTCCCTCGTCTTCCGCAAGCGTTTCAAAAACAATGCCTAGCTACCAGGATTGCTCGGCAGTCAGCCCGGTATGTCCGGTCGAGTCCACGACCTACGGCTACTACCCGAACCTAGGCGCCAACATCTTCTTCACGGTCTTCTTCGCCATCTGCGGCATCTCCCAGCTGGCGATCGGCATATACCACCGCACATGGACGTTCATGGCGGCGCTCGCCGCGGGCGCGCTTCTCGAGATGGCCGGGTATATCGGCCGCGTGCTCATGCACCATAACCCGTGGGACTCGTCGGCGTTCAAGCTCCAGATCGTCTGCCTCGTGCTGGCGCCAACCTTCGTCGCGGCGGGCATCTACCTCACGCTCAAACATATCATCCTCGCGCTGGGGCCGGAGCACTCGCGCCTCAACCCGCGGCTCTTCACCTGGATCTTCATCGGCTGCGACGTCGGCTCGCTGCTCCTGCAGGCGGCGGGTGGCGGCGTCGCGGCCGCGGCCGGCTCCACGGACAAGGACATGCTGCTCGCGGGCGACAACATCATCATCGCGGGTATCGCGTTCCAGGTCGCGACGATGTCCGTTTGCGGGCTGCTGGGGCTGGAGTTCTTCTTCCGACACTGGCGGCGCGGACCGGGCCTGTCGGGCGAGAAGACCACGGTCGGGAAGAGCGTGGTGCTGCTCATTGCAGGTGAAATCTTTGCGTACATCACCGTCTTGATCCGGTGTATCTATCGGTACGTGGCCTACCATCATCCGCCCCCTCCCCCCTTAACGTGTTTGTTAACATGAAAGCAATCCAGTATCCCCGAAATGGCCGGCGGATGGGGCAACCCGCTGATGCAAAGGGAGAATGAATTCCTCGTCCTGGACGGAATGTAAGTTCCGTTGCCTCACCTCACCTCACCACCTGGGGGGGCCTCCACCACATCCATATCCACCTAGAGGAATCAAACTGATGATCAACAGGATGATCGCCCTGGCAGTGGTGACGCTTACGATCCTGCACCCGGGCTTCTACTTCAATTCCATCCGGAGGGGATCCAAGAACCGGTCTTAGGAGTCGCCTTCAACTAGAATATACAACCTCCCCTCTCTATACCCAAAATTCAAACAAACACATATACACCTAGGTACCTGTATATATGTCTTTGACGTCTAACGGCTGGAGTTTGTCTTCATCATATGGGTGGTGTAAGCATACCATCTTACTTGCATATATATATAAACTACTAAGACATACACCTACGACGTTGCAGATCCGAGTTTCGTTCATTACTAGCAATAGCGTTCTTCATGTAGCGCCATCGGAGGTACCAGAACATTCCCGAAAGCGAAATACCAGACCCAGCCCACACCAGATCGATGCCCAGAAAGTGTAGAGAAGAATCAAGGAAAGGCGGAGAGAAAAAAAAAGAAAGAAAGAAGAAAGAAAGAAAAAAAGCTAAGTAAATTGATTCAAAACTCCAGTCCGATTCCATTCCCACAAAACCAAAAAGCTCAAGAGATGATGATGATGATGATGATGTACGAACCACGAGACAAACAACATATATAACCCGGACCGGGCACCATTTCCTCGACCCGATCCAGCATGCATGCAAAGAGCAAGAGATGTCTGCTGTGCCCGGAAAGAAGATAGCAAGGAACTGCTAGAGATGAGAGAAAAAAAAAAAAAAAAAAAAAAAGAAAGATAAAAAAAACCCCCAATATCCATGAAATGCCTAGTCCTCCCCCAGACTCTCGCGGACACACCTGCGAACGCGCTTCTTAAACTCAGCCGGATCTTCTCTCCATAGCCGAGCAGCCTCGACGTTGGCCGGGCTCTCGTCGTTCGGACTCGAGAGCATGGAGATGACGGACAGCAGGATGGTCTCGGGGGTCTGCACGGGGGACCAGCGCTCGGCGGCGGATTCGTAGCCGTACTTGTCTTCTTCGGGGGGATGGAGAATGGAGATACAGACTTCGCCGTTGGGGTAGACTAAGCCGTGAAATGCGTCAGTAGGATATTCAAGACAGAGAGAGGAGGCTGGTAAGGCAAAGGGCGCGCTGACTGTTCGGGTGGAAGACGGGGCTCTCAAACTTCATCTTCGGTGGCATGTGCGGATACTCGGGAGGGAAGGAGAGTCGAGCACGGAAGAAACCTCCTGGTAGTCAAGAAAGAGCAAAATTAGTACTTCATTCCCACCATCACGTCACATCACTGATCCGGTAAGGTGAAGGGGTTGTCCACTCACCGCCGTACAACTTGACATCGTCGGAAATCATCAGCATCACTTCCCACTCAAAGACATTACTATCCACCAGTCCGCAGCTGATGCCTGGAATGTCCTTATCCGACTGCATCTGCTGGAGCTGGCGGGCCAGCATACGGCCAGCAGCTGTTGTGGCCATGATGAAGGGATCCGGCGGTCTTGTCTGCGGGGCAATCACACGGCGGTAGTCAAGCAAGAAGAAGTCGAGATCAAGAGCTCCGACGTCGAGTATACAGGAGCAAGAAAGAGAGAGAGAAAGTCGAGGAGATGTCCAGAGTAACCAGATAATCTATTATCCAAGGAGAAATGGAGGAAGAAACCGGCGATACGTAAGAGCAAGACCGGGCGGGCGGTGTGCAGAATGGGTGAAAGGCCCCTTGAGTTGTGGGGGGGAGGGGGGGAAGCGGGGCTGCTTGACAGTATCAACTATGTATCAACTATCAACTATCTCTAGAGTTTATCGGCAGCAGCAGTATCGATAAGGCAGATCGTCAGGAACATGAACAGCCCACGCGCCAACAAAAGTACAGGCAAGGTGTTATACGCTGATTTCTCTCAAAGATCAGGGGATGTAAGAGGGCAAATAACTTAGCAAGTGGCTGTCAGTGAGGGGCAGAAGAGCGTGAGGCCCGCATGAAGTCAGTCCCGAATGACGATGCACTGCTGCGCGCCACTCAACGAGAGACACTGGACGCTTTGCCACGTTGTTATCCAGCATGAAATGACTTGGTTGTATAACAGATAATATGTATTCTACGAAGCTAAAGTGCGGATGAATGAATCTACATTGACGACTCAATAAAGAGATATGAAGCATAATATTCAAAGATGAGAGCGGAGAGGTTGGATAGGAGATAAGCATTCATATAGGTCAGTAAAAACAAGAAAGGAGAGTAGCCTTGGGAATCACCAATGTGTGGAGTCATGCCAGAAGGAAATCAAGCCAAAGTATTTAAGCACCGTTACGAGAAACCATGTCGGCGAAGATCTTCATGAAAGTATCGGCTCCGATCAACAACTCCCCGGTGAGGATCAGAGAGAAGAACAGGCCCACGCTGAATTCGATGGCGAAAACCTTGAACACGACCTTCAGGAACCGGACGCGAGAAGCGCGGTCAAAGGTCTTCCAGGCATCAGTGATGCTCAACTTACCGCTGCCTCCAAGAATGGCAGGGGTCACTTTGCCGCCAAAAGAGCGGTCCATGGGCACGATAGTCTCGTCCTCCTCAGGGAGCATGGAAGCAGCGACACGGATGAAGATCACCCGGGCGGGAATGGAGACCGTGAAGGCAAAAAGGGCAGGGGCAGCGATAACGGCACACGCGTGCCACATAGCCTTGGAGGGGGGAACATTGTTTTCAGGAGCCGAGGCCAACTCGTCCAGGCCGCCACAGGCCTTGATGATGATCAGGGGGAGATAGAAGGCAAGGGCACAAGCGGCCTGCTCGAAAGCAGCAACGGGGGCGATCTTCAACCAGGACTTGTAGCCGGGGATACGCTGGTAGAAGCGCTTGGCGGACGGCTCCGAGATCACAATGTGGACCCACGCCAACTGAAAGTTCGACAGGAGTGTCCCGACGAGTGTCAGATAGATGCCCTGGCCAATGAAATTGGTACTGGAGAACGGCATCAATCCGAGCAAGAAGCTCGAGATCGCAGTGTATGTCAGGAACATGCTCAAGCCGCGGAATCGGGACCAGGGGCCAGCGCGGGCCCGGAGATGCTTGACGGTGGTGCGAAGTTTGCTGGTAATGGGCATGGGACGAACAGCCTCCACTTCGGGCTCAGCGGGGTCGACAGACTTGTCGGGATTTATGTCGGTATCGATGCGGACATAAACATCGGGGTTGCTATCTTCAACCGCCGTGAGGGTGGTCACCACCATGCCGTAGGTATATTCGATCTAAAGATGACGAGATCCATGTCAGCAGCAAATTCATCAGAAATTTCGACGGTTTCAGCCAAACTCATCACATACCGACCAAGAGATCAAAACAAAGGCGACGAGAGTCGCGATAAAGAGGGCGACGAACCATCCCGACAACTGGCTCTTGGGCGGCTGCTTGGAAGGCTCCTTTGGGAGGTGCTCGAAGGCAAACTCCACACCGCGACGGACGATGGAGCTGACAACCATGATGGATCTGGGACCAGAAAATATCCACAGAAGATGTCAGAAGGGATGGAAGACTGTTTAGAGATACTTAAATCTGATGAAAAAAAAAAGAGAGGGACTGATAGTTGGATGGCAAAAGAATCTGACAAAGGGCAGATAAGCGATGGGGGGATGTCAGCCATTATATTATTATCTACGGGGGCGGTCTAGCCGTGAAGCTAAGCTAGGCAGGTAAGCAGGCCACAAGGCAGCAACTCACGCCAACACCAATGAACAAATTCAGTTGATTTTGATTTGCTTTGATCAGAAACTCACTGACGGAGGAGTTTGTCATATGCCATTTGTTTGATGTTTCCTTCTCTCAGAGTTAATCTAGAAGTCAAAATATCTCCTGGATTTCATTTTCCTTTGGAACCATTCTTCTTGACGATATATATAGCCCAGGTACGGAGTACAATAGGTATAATAATAGGAGCATTAACTACTACCAAAATGTATTAGTCAGCTGTCAGTCAATGATCTTTGAATACTTTCAATCCAAAGACTGGTCCACAGAACTGGCGCCATCTTGCGACCGGTGTACTCCTACGGACGCCTATTCGCGTCAAGCTTGGAGCAGAGATGGCATGCTCCATGGATGGTCAACACAGCCCAGCAACAACTGGTCACTGGTAACCATTGATTTCGCGGCGTGAGCGCTGCTTGAAGCCACCAACCTTACGATCCCATCTAGGTCAGCCAGCGATTGGATGGAAGCACCCTGCCTGTCATGGGCGGGCGCCAACAGGTTTCAAGTCTGATTTGAAAAGAAAGAGAAAGAGGTGTGTTCTCCTGTCGTCCTGGAGTTGATTGGAATAGACAAATCAAAAATCCAGCAAGTCTATAACGCAAACAGGATATCCAGGCTTTGAAAATGCTCCCCAGAAAAAAAGCACAAAGAAACTCGACGCAAGATATGCGCTTAACAGGGTACCCGCATGTACAAGTGGTATATATAACAAAGCCCCTACGGGCGATTCGCCCCACAAAAATGACAATTCTATTTCTTTCTTTTGTTCAAATGTCGTAGACCTCTAGTCAAAGAGCTTCTTCATGAACTGGTGCGCCAGTTCAACGCCGGCACTGTTGAGATATTGTTAGTAAAAAAACACAACTTCATCGTCGTAGGATTAGGTCACGTACAATGTAGCCGCGTTGGCGGGGACGGCTCTGGCCAGGGCCGGGCCGAAACCAGGGAAGAACGCTTTGAAGCCTCCGCTGGCATAGACGGAGCGAATCGTTCCGCCGATGGTGGGCTTGCCAGGCGCACTCTGCAGTCGCGACTTGATCGTATCGATGGGGAAGACGGGGATCCACATGGCAATACCGGCCGCACCACCAGCGGCCAGAACGGCGGGCATGGACAGGTCGCCGGTCACGTTGCCATTCTCATCCTTGGGGGTCAAGGTGCGCTTGATGTACTCGTACGCGGCGAAGTAGGCGGCCGATCCGGGACCATCACGAGCCAGAGTCATGGCGCTGCCGCGGAAGACGCTCCGAATGCCACCCTCCTTGTAAAGCTGGCGAACAACGTCCATACCACCAGAGTACTTGGGCTTCTGTCCAGGTGGGGGAGGGTTCTGACCCTGGATCTGCAGCAAAACCTTGACGCGCTCGAAGGGGGCCGTGATCAGTGTCATGGGGATGGCCGAGAAGAAACCAGCGGCGGAGATCTGAGCAATGGAGTACTGGGGGGTGTTGTTGTGAACGGGCACTTCGGAGAATTTGCTGACGAGTGTCTTGCCAACGTCATAACCCTGCACAGCTGTTAAATCCCGATTCACATGGCAGAGCTCATCGTTCCCGCCAGGGATTTACATACCCAGAAGCTGACAGCGACTAAAAAAAATAATCAAATAATCAGCTTGATTCTCTCCCTCTAAAGCCACGCGATAGGGGAAAGAGCTTACACATAGGAGTGACTCCAACCAGCGGAGCCGAAACACCAGCATACATACCCTACGATCAATCCATTAATTTGGCGCACAAAGCCCAATGGAGATGCGCAAACATACCCGAACCAAGCCCTCACGAGCAACTGTCCTGCGCACAACATCCATCGCGCCCGAGTAAACGCCCTTCTCCGCGGTCTGCAACCGCACCTTGACCAGATCAAAGGGATGGCCGACGACGACGGCGCAGATACCACCCGCCGCACCAGCAGCCAGGGAGCGGATCTGCGCAATGGTCTGGTTGACGGCCTTTGTCTCTATGGCCTTGATCTCATCTTTGAGCTGCTCGGGGCTCGACGCGGATGTGGACGACATTGTGGATGATGCTGTGAGTGTGGACGCGGGGAAGCGCAGTAGTAGGACGGTTGGTCGCTAGATAGTGGGGGAAGGATGGTCAAGGAAGGAACTTAGGGAAGATAAGGGGAGTGAAAATGGTTATGCGGAAGTCCCCAAGCAGAGCAGAAGAAAAAAAACAAAAAAAAATCAAAAAAGGTAGAAGATGAGGAAATTTGAAATGAGGGGGAGAAGTAGAATTAGAATGATAATCACACCGGATATCAAGCACACGAGACAGGGGAGGGAAGAACAATTAAGGTAGCTCCAATACTGCCAAATGCCAATCCCAGCGGCCGAGGCCGAGCAGAAGGATACTACCGACGATTCAGCACCGCAGAGGTTGTTGATTTGTTGATTTGTTACCGCTCGGCCAACGCGTGACTTGGACCTCGGCTCGGGGGCGGATCAACAATGTCCCTGGACGTGCTCTGGTCAGGAGGGAAAACGAGAGCACTACGAAGTACCTGTACGAATATCCTAAGAAGCACGCGGCAGGGACTCAGGACCTTAGGGCCTCATGTGTTTTATATCAATTATTTTAATCTGTCTTCCATATTGGCACCCAACTGATTCCGTCATTTGATCCACTGCTGGAAGCTATCCCAGCATGAACACGGACGGACAGCGCCGGATGAACGGGCACTACCTCCATGGATCCCTGCCCCGGATTCCCTTACTCCAGCTCTCCTGGCCAGTCATGGTTCATTCCAGCAGAGCGCATCTCTACGGACGACAGGAAGTTATCCACCACGATTCTTTGTAGTTTGTACTGGGGCACTATTTGATAAATCTCTGAAGGGTCTCAGCTACGCCTTTTTTCAAATGTCAAGATTTCACATGCTTGAGAGCTGGATTGCGGTGTAAAGTGTATACATACAGACTTGCATGCACGTGCATGGCCGTCGGTCGGCATGATGGCATCATTAAGGTAGGAGGCTGGCTACACTGCTTCATACCAGAAAAATAATTTCTGGCACATGTACTCTAAAATCTCAATATTGGACTACTATCGAACTACGCCTGACGACCAGGGCTTCAGGAAACATAGACCGGATAAAAAATTAATATATTAAGAGTCGCTCCCATATATTATACATCGTGCAGGGTGAAAGGAACATATTATATACCCGTCGAACCAGGAACCCTCTGAATCCCACGTACAAGCCGTTTCGACGGCAGGTATCATCAACCATAACTCATCAGCGTGAAAAGACATGTGTGCCGAGAGTCTCGACATCGAAAAGTTGAGCCGCAATCATTCCTCATAAGACATTTACAGAACAGCCAGGGCAGCGAGGGCCAGAGCACCCATAGCGCCAGTGCCGATGGCAGCACCGCGGGGCGCAGCATTGCCAGTGGAGGAACTGGAGGGGGCGGTGCCGGTGGCAGTCGCGTGAGAGCCAGAGCCAGAGCCAGAGCCGTTGGTGGTAGCAGAGCCGGAGTTCGAGCCGGAGCCGGTCTCAGAGGAACCGCTGCCGGTGGAGGAGCTGTCGGAGGAAGAAGCGGTGGTGACGGTGGCCATGGTGGTGGCAGTGGTGGAAGCATTGGTCTCAGTGACGGTAGTATCAGCGCTAGAAGTGTTGGTGCCGGTGGCAGTGGAGTCCGAGCCGGTAGTAGAGGCGTCAGTGCCGGTAGCGGTAGCGGAAGCGTCAGTGCCAGTAGCAGTGGCAGAAGCATCGGTGCCGGTAGCAGTGGCAGAAGCATCGGTGCCGGTAGCAGTGGCAGAAGCATCAGTGCCGGTAGCAGTGGCCGTGGAGTCGGTGTTGGAGCCCGAAGCACCGGCACCATCGGTCGATTTGCTACCACTGGCAGACGCAGTGTTGGTGCCCGAGGCGGAAGAACCAGAGCCAGAGCCCGAGGCGGAGTGGGCGCCATTGCCGGTCACGGCAGGAGAGTCGCCTGGTTAAAAGTGATCAGCATCGAGTACCTTAAAGACATGAAAGTCGATGAAAAAAAGTGACTTACTAGGGCAGGAAGAGAGGGCACTTCCGACGACTTCAGCGGCATTGTCTTGAGGGCAGGCCTGAGCAGTGCAGTCACGGATACCATAACCGTAGTTGACATTGCCACAAAGACACTTCAGATCGCCGGCAGAGCAGCCCAATTCACCAGCCTTGTTGTTCATGTTGCTGACGCACATTTGCTGTGATCACACCCGAGTCAGTCAAGGATGATCCTGTTGATTCAGCAGCTCAATGGGGGGGGAACATACGGAGCATTCAGACGCGGAGAGGGCGGCGCTCGCCAGGTTGGCAGCAGCCAACAGAGCCAGAGAAAGAGAGACCTTCATCGTGGGATATGGAAGAGTGAGATGGAATTGGCAGGTAATAGAAGGGTTGGAAGGGTTAATTCAGGAGGTTAGGCCTTTTGGCTGGGGGATGATCAATCAAGTGTGGGTTTAGGAAAGGGAAGTCGAGCGAGAGGACGGGGAGGAGGACTGTTTTTATAATGCAACAATTCACAACAACAACAACAACAACAACAACAACAACAACAGCCGAATGATAAGAAATCTAGCCGAACCATGAACCTATCGATTGACCGACCAGTGGCTTTCCGAGGATCCAGTCTGAGTGCGATCGCCGTGGAGCGTCTGTAATTCTGTATGTCTCCAAAGTCCAAAGTCCAAACTCCATCCGGCTGAATGGGTGCCCAGCCAACAAGTCGAACGTGGCTACCAATGCTAGTAGCCTAGTTAGTGTTACTGCAGACTGCAGTAGGCCGAATCCCCACTGCAAGAGACACGGGCCTGCTGTGCAGCCTGTGCAGCTTGGTGAAGTCATGAAGCACTTTTTCCTTGGCCCACAGTATAGGTTCGCCGGGTCCACCGCAGGGATCTTGGATTCTACTCTGCAGTATCTAGTTAACTATCTAGTATCTACCTATCGAACTACTACTCCGTAGGGACTAGGGACCGTAGATATCGGGTTAGTCTAGTGCAGAACTGCAGATGGAATCATGGAATGTCCGTGGCTGGATGGTGATAACCATCCAAGTCCCAGCCGCGGTGGCTTGATCGCGGTCCACCTGGTATTTCCATGGATATCAATTGGCTCGACTAGTGATATAGTATGGGTCTAGTGTGTGATAGTCCGATCCAAGATTTGAGATTCGCTCATTGTTACGGAATTGGGATCGGTACCTTAGCTTCATACAGACACAGTAGCCTGCATAGCCCAAGAGTTCAGTACCTAGTAAACTCTCTTGGGTGAAATGGAGTTCCAGGGCCATCCCAGCCCCAGGCACAAAACCACAACAAAGCAACACGTCCCTCTAGCGAATCAGAATTAGAATCTGTGTGTGGTTTGAGATTTGTATGCGCCATTAGATTAGATAGACAGCAGGCCATATGAGTTGTACCAGACGCTGCAAAGGCTGACCAGAACAGGTATTGCGGTCTTTCAAGGAGTGCTCCGTGCGACAAGGATACGTCAATGGCGGCGTCATACTGATGATGGGTGTGAATCTCAAGGCCAGCACAGGCAGATAGGTAATATCATGTTTTTACTCCTTAGTACTTACACAGTAGTAGGAGATACTTAGTCTGAGATAGATACTGCAAAATACAAGAGTACATTAGTAATGGGAAAATGGCAAAATGGGCCCATCCAACCATGGAATGAACTCATGGTGAATCAATGGATGAGGTCGGTCGGCCTTATCCGAGAGACCGAGACTCGAAAAGAGGCTGGAAAAACTTTGCATTAATATTATAAAATGAAAGAGTTCAAGCATTTAATTGAGTGGCCGATCGATGGTGGAGCCGATCGTCCAGTTGCTGCTGATGAGTGGTTTAATGCTCAATAAGGGTTCCACTACTGTGAGAGCAGCAAATGAGATTGCCAAACTATTGCGGGGCGGTTCACCAGCCACACTTTTCTCGGTGGCAACCTTTCCTTTTCTTTTTTCTTTTTTCTCAATTTATCAACCAAAAAAATATTCATTGATGCAGCGTCAAGGTCATTCGGATATTTGGGCGATGTTTGCCACCCACTAAAAAGTGATACTAGACTCCTAGAGAGATACTAAGTAGGTTGGAGCTATTGGTTTGCCCCAGTAACCATGGATGAAGTCATGAAGTGAGGAGTCCAAATTTCCTTCATCCTTAAATAATATCTACTCTGTAGATAGAGTCTACACTCTATAGAGTAAGTAATAAAACTTATGATACAGAAAATCAAGTACAGAACCCCTGAATACTAACATGATCCTGTCTCAATTTCATTTGGTGACTTTTTGTATTTCACAGATATAGAAAGACATCTCATTTCCAAGTCCTTTCCGCAAACCTTGCTGGGACAGTACTCCGTATGTCGGTGAAACTACTCTGTACAATCAGCGAAATTGTCAAATAATAATAATACTCCGTGAGGAGAAGACAAACAGGAAAAGCTTAATTTGTGGCTTTGTGGCTTTGGCTTTGTGGCTGTGGCGGTGCACCTAAGCACCGAACACACTTTCCGATTGCGGATTTCAGTTGAGCGTCCAAGGCTTCATGGAGTCCAATCTTTCGCTGTCTTCCATTTCGACTCGCATTATTATTGTCACGCAAGGGCAAGGACAAATCTCGGGAACCATTTCCTCTCTCCCGTACGAAAACCTACCAGCTGACCCATCTGGATGCCGAATTTTCGCCCACACCAACCCAAGTGATCACGTACTCCGCCGTATGTAGTATCTACTATCTACTATTAGCTAGTCAGTATGCTCCAGATTCTCAGGACTGATGTTCGCCCGTGTCTTTTCTGGAATCTATGAAGCCATGTTGGCTTAACGGGCACAATCTACTCTGTACCCTCGTGGCGTCTATCATACGAGCTGCCCATGCGAACAAGTGTTCCAGCCGTCTGACTGACTGCTGATTCGTCCAGGATAAGATCTCAAGCGTTGGCATGACTGAGATCAAGTCATCGAAAGACTGAATCTGCATTCAGGTCTGTTGGAACGCCTTTGCTCCGTATAATCTCCGTTGACTGCAGGTAACTACTATTTCCATGCACACTGCTTGAGGGGGACGATGTACCCCCAATCTATCAGCAGCGGTTTACTCTACACTGTAGCCGAACATGACCTCGTTGCTGGTAGCTTCAAAGGAAGCGCCTAGATGGCCATGTACTCCACATGGGACACTCGAGTCTTGAGGTACATCCTAGGGTGCTACTGCTAAAGCAGTCAATAACCCCATGGGATAGCCAATGCACATGGCAACTTCTTGAGCATTGCTGTGTTCGCGGGTCCCAAAGTAAGAAGTGAACCACACAGTAATCTTTGGATATGTTATCGACTCAAGGCGACTTCAGAAAGAATTCATGGAGATGTATATTCAAGGTTAAGATATTGAGCATTTGTATATTTTCACAATATGAACCCATTCATATATGGTGGAGTACCTCACTTCCTGAATACTATATATAGATATATATATATCTGGTCCCTGAGCACCAAATATCGACGACTATCCCGATTCTGCACTCCTCTGAGAACTCGCAGACCATGACTCTGCTCATTTTCTATAACGAGCAGGAGATAGATACTATCATCTCCATCAAAATCTATATCGCAACTACCTCGGGTTGATGAAACTCAGCCAGCCTATGAGGTTGAGGTTGTTCCTCTTTGGCTGATTTGCTGACAAAAACACGAGGGGAAACAACAAAGGAAAAAAATCCCATCACCATCACTTTGTCGCGAAGCGAGTCATCACCATTTATTCATCTTTTGCTCGAGAACTATTGGTGTTGCTCAACTGATTAGACTGAAATGAATCAGTTAGCCCCTCTCTAGTGCCCTGTGTGATCGTGTCTTGACGCTTTCTTGAAGAATCCCTGCTGCATCGCATCCTCCATCAAGAGACAAGCACCTCAAGGCATCAGGGGGTATCTACCACCTGGAATTCATCAAGACCATCTCCTGGTCTTAGTCCCTTGACATCGACATCATGTTTTCCACCTTTGTTGGTGTTTCTCCTGACATGAAGGATAAAGCAAGTGACCTGAAAAGTTCCTCCTCCACTGCTTCCACATCCACTACCACCCCAGTCCCCCCACGCTCTAAACGCAACCAGGTCGCTCGAGCTTGCGACTGGTGTCGTGTGCATCGGATCAAGTGTGACAACACTTTGCCATGTCAAAATTGTCGCGACCGAGGCGGTTATTGTACCAAAAAGAGTGCCATGGAATTCCGCACTCTGCCACATGCTGTGAGGTTGGACTCCCCCGCCCCCTTCTCCTCTGAATGTGCTAGCTGCCGGGACCTAACAATCAAAAAAGAGAGATCGAGCGGTTGCGCCAACGCGTCCAGGAACTTGAGCATAAACTCGAAAGTGCTACCACCAGTACCAACAACAACGACGACCAGTTATTGCGAAATCAAAGCCGACAATCGAGGACAAAAAAGGGATGGCTTGGGATTCATACACGCACGGCATACTCGTCACAAACCCAATGGTATGGGCCGTCGTCGGCCTTCTACTTCATCGGGCGCATGAGCGCATACCTCAGCGCCGCTCTCGACCAACCTCAAGATGATCATAACATGCAACCTAACTCCGCCTGTCGCACCTTTATCTGCCCTACCTCGCCGACACACGTCCCCGAAGAACCACCAGCGCCTTCTGGGTTCGTGGATGCTTCTGCGGGATCGGAGACGTATTTAAATGGCATTGAAGAAGACTACTTTCTGGATCTGTTCTGGCAGTCATACCATCCCATCTACCAGATTCTTGACGAGGCCGAATTTCGAGAACATTACAAATCTCTGTGGGTGGATTCAGCTACCACGCGAAAACCTTCCGCGCTGGTTGATATTATCCTCGCTCTATGCATGCAATATGGTGTTGCCTTGACGTCAAACAGCGGTATTGATCCCGCCATCACCTCTAGCCGACCTCATGGACAGGTCGACATCAGCGACGCCAGTATCGCAGGCCGATGGTACTACCGTCGGTCACAATCTCTCCTCACGTCGGAGCTGGAAAGTCCTTCCATCACGACGCTCCAGTGCCATATCTTTTCGGGCGTCTATTTGTGCAATGCGTCCTTCCAGAACATGGCACACACTACTGTGGCCCTCGCTGTGCGCACCGCTCATATTCTTGGTCTCCATCTGGAACCACCTGTGAATCTGCCGCGTCCTCAACGAGAGTTGCGCAAGCGCATCTGGTGGACGTTATACGCGATCGAGAGCAGCACATGCATGAAACTCGGTCGACCATGCACTATGCCTGACAATTCTGCGACGTGCCAATTGCCTGCCGACGATCATGAGCTGGCTCGGCTATCTGTGTCGAATATCGCTGCCTATGGCGATCAGGTGACGTGGTTGACGTACAGTCGCCTTGTCCCAACACTGGTACTAGCGGTACAAAAATTGTATCTTGCATTCTTCGATAAATGTGCGGAGGTACTGGCTGCCAACGATGCTAAGTGTGTGTACCTAGACTCTCCGTCTTTGGAAGCCTCGGCTGAGTTTCTCATGTCACACATGGACACTATGCAGGAATGGGTGCGCAGTGTTCCAGATGCCATGAAGACCAAGCGCAAGGGTGGTGGAGAGCCGTTCTCAACCGATAGATCCGAACTAGATCTGGAACGCTATGCTCCCTTGTGGTTGCAGCGCCAACGGCTTATCCTGGAGCTTCTCTACCACAATCTCTCTATGAATCTCTACCGGCTCCTCCTCCACTTTCCGTCCTTCCCAAACGTTAACCCCGAAGGTACACCCTTTGCTCAAGGATGTGCAGTCTCCTGTGTCAACCATGCGATTGCGATCACCCACATCCTTCGTCAAATTCTGACTTCCACGGATTTCCTCAATGGCTGGTATCATGCCTTTCAATGGCAATGGAACTCGACTCTTTCCATGATCGGTTTCATTCTTGCCTACCCTTTACACCCATCTACACCAGCCGCTCGCGCCGCCATTGAAAGTGCTATCACTGTCTTTGAGGCCTTTGGCAACAACTTCGCGGTTGCGGGGAGCGCCGCCAATGTCGTTCGTGGACTCGTCGCCAAGGCGGACTTTCTCAGTGGCCGCTTTGGCGCTGCTGGTACTGGCACCGCCACCACCCTGACTCCTCCATTCTCGGACCAGATGGATGGATCTTCAGGATATGACGGGAACTATGCGGGCTGGAATACGCTGCCGCCAGATGAGCCTTCCGCCATGTTCCAGAGCACGCTGGTGGGGGCCATGGGATTGGCTCATAACGTCGATTCGTACTACAGTTTTGAGCCCTTGTATGCAGGGTCAAGGGACCTGGCAGATGCGTGGAACTTTAGCCACAATTGATCTGTTTGTTAGCGTCAAACACATAACCTCGGGATAGAGGGATCGGTCATGGCGATAGCTCGTCGTCGGTCTATGTTTTTGGTGGTCATCCTGTCCAACGGAAACTTCTACTCTGGCCTCTCCACAATGAGACAGATGGGACAGCCGGAAACTCGTGACCCCTCAACATATGTTCTGCAGATGATTCGGATTAACGCCGTTGTTGAGTGACATATTGAGCAGTTCGACTCATGAAATGCCTTGCTCGCCGGTCAATTGTTACAAGACCATGGGTGATCGGACTGCAAAATGCACCTATCATTACAAATTGAGTGCTCCATATTTACATGGAATAGAAAGACAGCCAGAGTTCTACAATCCCATATTCGCCAACATTTCTGCATAGACAGATTTATCCGTGGATTGATTTGCACCTGGTGGTAGTCGAGTCGACAAGCTTGAGAATTATGACGAAGTCATACACCGAAGTCCGGGTGACAGTGTGGTCGAATTCATAGTATCCTCTCGTCACAACTCATCTTTCAGTAACACGCCTGAGTCCCAAGTCCGCATTGAAGTACTCTAGCATTAACTGTGACGACAGTCATGGTCTCCATATATCCCTGTACCATAGTAGGCTATAGGCTGGCCTGGGGAGAGTCCATACTATATGAACAATGGAGATCTAGAGCACTGGTCATCCATCTGATCTACCACGTATACCATATGCTCTAGGCACCTGTGCTTGCAGAATGCAAGCAGCCAAACTTCCAACCCTGGTCCAATTACGCCTACTTACTGAAATTAAGGCTGTGGGCAAAAATCAATTAAGCTAGACTCTAAGCCACCCTGAGCTCCACTGCTGTCCTAGCATGCTGGGATGCTATGATGCACGGAAAAAAAGCATCCACAGCTTGAATACCCTGGAAGAGTTTACTGGCATTTACACTCTACAAACCACGGAGGAATATCCATATTCCCAAATGCAAAAAAAAAATAAAAAAAATTGGTTGATGATTTTGATGTGGTGGTAATGCTGCTGAAAAGGCTGCGCAACCTAACGTCTGTTCTAATGCGGCAGGCATTTCAACTCCCCATCTACGTGATTTTTTTTAAGAAGCTAGAACGCAACGAACCTAGTCCTATTGGGTTGCTGGAGTTCGAGTCGCCTACACGCAAGGCGCTACCGATCTGGAAGTCGATCTGCAAGGATTGATTGATTATCATTGATTTCTAGGGCATATTTTGCGTTGAAACGCACCCCCGTCACTGTTATATGAGAAGGTCGACGGAACACACTCAACCTAACCGCCATTGGCAAACTAAAGCACGGGCATTGAGACCAAACAGGTACATGGGGGCAGGATATGAATACCCTATTGCTGGGACAAGAAACCCGATCCGTCCAAAGCAATCCGGGTGGCTTTACCGACCACGGGTCGATGCAACGGCCGTTGAGGAGCTCAATGCCAATACCTAGGGGTATCCGGCCTCTCGGGACCCAAGGACACAGATAAGTGAGGCAGTCCCATGGGGTTACAGCGATCTGAGAAGCTAAGTTAAGGGATGAGCCTAGCTCCCGAAACGGCACATTCCGCAACAGCACTGCAACCTCAACCCAAATCGCGGACCGTGATTTTCCGCCGTGAAGAATGCAACTGGAGTTATTCTCCGACGAAGTTCAGTAGCAACAATTGGGTGGACCCGAAAATAAGCTTAGCTTCCTGATGGATTAAGGTGGGCAACAGTTTCATTTTACAGTTGCGGCCCGCTTGCAGAAACGGCGGTCGTTGGTGATGATCTCTCGACACTGCGCCCGGGACCGTGGATTGGTTTACCCGTGGACTCAAAGCTACTACTGAGCTCCTCGAGTGGATGGTGCCCCTTTGAAAATAAATCCTCGTTGAGAGCCCCGATCCGGCTCAAATAGGGCCCACCGAAAGACGAAATCCTTAAAAAGGCGCATGATTCCGGGCTTCGTCCTCCAGGTCACGTCTCTGTTTTAGATTCGGAGTCGCTCAAGTTCGATATCTTCGAGACTATTCAACCCGCTGCTGGTGAAAAGATCACTATTGGCAGTATTATTGCGGTTGACAGTCACGCTATCATGGCTCCTATCTTCAAGACAAAGGCCGCCCTGCTGGCCCTTTTCTTCCTGGCCGATGTCTTTTCCATCTCTGTTCTCGTCCAGGCCCGACTGGTCGCCACAAGTCAATCGCTGGACATTGTAAGTTTCCACATGTCATGAAAGGAGAAGATAGAGACCCCTTCTGGAGGCAGTGGTAATGGGAGCTCCAGCTCTGGAGGTTCCAGCTCTGGAGGTTCCAGCTCGGCAGGCTCCAGCTCGGGAGGCTCCAGCAGTGTAAGCTCCAAGTCAGGTTCTGGAGGTTCCGGAGGTAGTGGCAGCGGGAGTTCCAGCTCCGGTTCTGGAGGCTCAGGCTCGGGTTCAAGTGGCCCTGGAAACTCTGGCTCTATTGGTTCCGGTGGTTCCACCTCTGGAAGTTCTGGCAATACCGATACTAGCACCACAAGCAGCCCCGGAAGCAATGATCCAGATCAACTAGCATCCAACGAGAACTCATCTACTGGTGGCAGCGGAGGCTCGTCGAACAATGGCGGCGGTAGTGGCTCTGGCAGCAATGGAGGGTCCGGCTCAGGTGACCCTGCATTAACCAAGTCAGCAGGATCGGGCTCTACCACTGGGGGTAGCGGTTCTTCCAACGGAGGATCTGGATCTGGATCTGGCGGCAGCTCTGGAGGAGGCAGCGGCTCTGGAGGAAGCAACTCTGGCTCCGGCGGCTCCAGCAGCTCCAGCAGCAACCCGATCGTGTCAGCCTCGGTGGGCAAGGACGGGGTGGGCGTGAACGTGCCGAGCTCCGGTGCCTCCAACACGGTGCGGGCCAGCACCGAGAACTCCGGCAGCGGCAGCGGCAGCGGGCCGAGCAGCGTGAACAGCGGCGTCAATAACGGGGCCAGCAACACGGGCAGCGGCAGCAGCGTCAACGTCAACACGGGCACGGTCTCGGGCGAGAACAACGCAGAGAAGCCAAAGGAGGATAAGAAGGAGGATAAGAAGGAGGAGGACAAGGGGGCCGTCAATACGCTGCTGGGGAAGGTGACTTCGATTATTGATTCATTGCACTAGTTAGTTGGATGATTATAGTAGAATTAGAATATGGGATCGAGGGCACTGGATTTGTTTGTACTGCGTTGCGTTTGGTACTGTTTCAATTGAAAAAGCAACCCTCACTCATTCTCCACGTAGTTGGATGTGTACTGTGTATGTACTGTACAGTTCCACTCCCCGTATACGACCTTTCTACTGAGCGAAACACATAATATCCTTTCCAACACCATCATGAAAGTTTTCTGACAATTCAATCGCCTAATGCGGCAAGTGGACCCAGCCCCGTTCGATCCAAAGTTTCAACACAAAAATTCTCCTCCTACGAAAGACCCATATTCAATATGGCAGAGAAGACGAGAAAAAAAAAAAAGAAAAGAAAAAAGAATGACCTACGCAGGGCTCGAACCTGCAATCTCTTGATTCGTAGTCAAGCGCCTTACCATTGGGCCAGCAGGCCTTGTAGATGCTCTTATCCTGTAGTATGGATATATAATCCGCCCGCCAAACAAGACGTAAGATGTAAATGCAGCACAGGCTATGCTTAGGGTTCTGCACTGGCGGAGCGAAGGGTATCATATGTACAATTCGAAAAAAAAAAAAAAAAAAAGTAGAAAAAATAGCTATGTACCGACAAAAGGAAAGAAAAAAAAAATCCTAGACAAGGCGTTAATACTCATACACTCAACCACCGCTTCTCCGAGACAAAGCTCTGTTCCTCGTCCGCGATGCACTCCAACTGGATGGTCGGGACGTCAGGCTGTGGATACCAGCAGCGATATACGGCGACCATCACTTTCCCCGCCACGAACCCGGTCAGACAGGCACACAGGCCCGCGGCGACCCCGAGCAGCGCCGGCAGAATGACGGGCCGCACCAGGCGCATGAAGCTGCGGTCCCGGCTGCTCCAGGGCATGGTGTTGTGGTAGTGCGAGGCGGGGGGGCGGCGGTGCGGACGGTGGCTGGGGCGATGGTCCGCGGGGTTGGTGCCGGTCAGGGCCTCGAGGAACGGCCGGACGTGGTGTTTGAAGGGCCGCCAGGGGCTGGATTCGTGCCCGGGGTGGGGGACGGGGCTGCGCTCGACCTTGATGATGCGCAGGGTTTCCTGGTGACTGGTGAGGCCGACGGCGATGGAGCTCGGGGCGATGGCGCGGCCGGACTGGTCGAATAGGCGCAGGTTGAGCAGAAGGTGGAGCGTCTCGTCGAAGACGGCGCCCGGCTGCGCGGGGAGAGGCTGGATGTCGACCGCGTACGAGACGGTGACCGGCTGCTTGCCGGAATCCCAGTACTTGACTGCTGGGAACTGGAGGGGAAGAGCGACGGGGAAGATGGGCTCATGGTTGACGTATAGGGTGTGATTGGTGGTGGAGAGGTCCAGTGTCTGGGTGGTCAGTCAGCATTGGTTGATTTCTCATGTCTCCCATGAATTGATTTGCGATCTAAACTTACTATATATGAGGGCGGCTCCAGCTCCTGAGAGCACTGAGCCTCGGCAAACGCACATGGTGAGCAAAGAATGTCAATCCGGTAGAGATGGCGAGATTGTGGGATGGTGGGAGTGTGTGATGTTGGTGAATGGTCTGGAAGCGAGGCAGCGACACTGCTTAGACACACTGCTGCCAAGGAGAGGAAGCGCAGCAGTGACATGCTGGTGGTAGCTGTTTGGGTTGGTGTAGACCGTGAAAGATTTTTTTTTTTTTTTTTTTTTTTTTTGCAGTATCTCCTGCGTCGAGATTCAGGGATTGTCGAGTATGATTATCTACCGTATAAAGGAGAGACCAGCGAAAGGACGGCGAGAGTTGATGCAAAAAACGTGCTCATGGCCGAGGGCAGTGATTTGCCGTGGAGGAACGAGTCGAGGAACTTTATTTAAGACTGACGATGGGAGTGGACATCCGAGGGTAGATATGTAGACTGTAGACTGTAGACTGTAGACTGTAGACTGTAGAGATGAATTGGTCTCTGACTCTCTGGGGCTCTCCCCGTCTCACTAACTACTCACGACCCAAGTCACTTCTCTTACTGCAGATCCATTACTATTATTATGATTGGGGCCAGAGACTAGACACCAACTGACCAACGGAAATGTTGGTGATAGTTACAGGGACAGCCTCAATGATACGATTAAATGAGTGACGAGACCCATCTTGTCAAAGATCGGGATGCTTGTATGTTCCCTATGTGCTCAATCAATAATACCCTCTGGTTCATTTCCATCACAATCCCAAGGGTTAATACTTGATCGTAATACTCTCGGAGCCTGGGAGTTCAAGACATGGACGAGTGGACCAGTTGGGGCTTGAATAATGCTTATTTGCTATTACTATTATTATTAGTTACTCCTTTTGTTTGACCTTTTGAGTTCCAGGCAGCCATGGGCCAACACCAACACCCGAAGGCCCCAAGGCCCCAAGGCCAGCCTCCACACATGTTGGTTCAGGGTTGGTTGTTGGAAATTACTGTTCAGTGTTCAGTGTCACCAGGGCTATAGAGTATAGTGTACTCATATCAACCTAGATGAGATAGTAAGATCCTTACCTTGGACCTTTCTTTGAGCAACCTGGATTCTATTCATTCTATTCATAGACCCCCTCACGCCATGTGACCGCAGTGCACACTGCGGGATTTAATAGACCAATCACAATTAGCTCTGTGAAAGCTTAGCAATCCTGGTCTCAGGGCCCACCTGCAAGTTATACCATTGGTAGATACTACTACTAGTACTAGTACTAGGTACACAGGTCACAGTACTGTGTACACCCAGGTATCAGAGTACTCCATTCTCCGGACGAAGAGATATCTACCGTACGGAGTACCCTTTCGCCAAGTACAAACTTCCTCTCCCCAAATGTTCGATCCCCTGGTCACCTGGTCAATTGGTGATTGCTGAATGTCTTCAATGGTCATCGACTTCGCGAATCTGATACTCAAACATCTGATTTGATGGCACCCCGTGCTCGTTCTCTAGCTTCTCCGCCGTCTCCACTCCAGCAGCAGGCACCCGGTACTCGAATCGCTTCCCGGGACCAGGTCGCCGTCCATCAGGTAACGCATAAGGATATGGGAGGTATTCCGGCATCAAGCCCAGTTGGACGAGCACCGTTGCCTGATCCCACGCGATGTGCTCGTGGTACAAGCGATCGCCTCGGATATTGACCACGGATGTGAAGGGGATGCGGAGATGCTTCCCCGTCGGCGGGATGCCAGGAATTCTGGGTCTTGTGATCAGACTGATGTCTCCAGAAATGGTATATCAGGGGATCAATGAAAAGTGGACTTACAGCCAGTCAATCTGCTTGTTATGCGTGAAGGAAAAGATAAACTCGTCAACAACCCGATCAATCCCAACCGTTCGACTGATGAGTTCCAGCTGCGAGTCATCCGGGTTGTTGAAGATGAAATGATTCAGATAGAAATGGCTCAGTTGCGCCCGGCCAATCCCACCAGTCAACTTGCCGTCGTCAGTACTGACTTCCCAGCCGCCAGAGATCCGACGATAGCGCCACTCACCGTCGGAACATCGTTCACATAAGGCTCCTGGACCATCGTCGCCATGGTCTTCTCCACGGAACGATCCTCAAACTCGAAATGGGTATGCTCCTCCCAGATCTTCTCCAGATCGAAATAAGGGCCGCCGAGATGCTTTTTCAGAAAGCTCAGAGACCGAGTGTGTGCCACCCCCGCCGTCGAATACTTAAAATCCGCATGTCCAGGTACAATAAACCCAGCAGACGATACTTCGGGGTATGAGATCACCGTGCCGTTCTCGTGCGTTTCCATCTCGGCGGGAGGTCCAGGTGAATGCAGCAGAGCAGGCACCCCTAGCCTGATGTCCCAGCTACCCATGAGGACTACTGCCGCTGCCGGAGCATCTACAATGGTATTGAGGATACCCCCAAATCCTGTCGCATAATCGGATTGCGAACCGTAGACTACATCTATCAGCTGTGATCAAGTCATCCCCCAGAGAAACATACCCAGCAAACCGAACTGATCCTTTCCATCACACTCTGGCAATGAAGCGAGCGCCTCGCTCGCTGTTTTGACAAGGTCCAGGACATATGTGGAATCACCACTGGTTTGCGCATCAAGACTGATCTGAGCTACCGCATAGCTCTCCTCGGCCCATTTCTGTAGCGGCTCTGGATCAAGGCTTTTATTCTTCTGCTGGCATTCCGCAAAATGACCCGGCCGGATGAGTATCAGTCCAGGGCCATGTCCGCAGCGGGAAAGAGGGGGCTGCAGAAGGACAGAAGGTTTCAGCACAACTCGTGCAGCTGAGGGAAGAGAGGTAGAGTCGGAAGTCATGGTGATACTTTCTACGGCCATCTAAACTCGGTGCACTATCCGTTTGATTGTAGCTGTGAGGATACTAAATCATGCTGCAGGGAGGGATTCGGCAGTTCTTGTAGTAACTATGCCACTGTTGAAACACCCCACTAGTTGGGTGTCATAGAGTGGTATTCACCATATTAGTAATACTGTAACAGAAAACGTCCAGGGACTTCGGGACGCTGCGGGAACGCTCCCTATTATTAAATGATGATTAGATAGTATATTGATGATTCGACGACTTTAAGACTATAAGATAGTCTTAATCACTGATTACTAGAGAGGCAAGGATTAGTCTCTATATTAATCTATAACTTTCTGTGCCTAACTATATTCTATTCTTTATCATTACAAATACACTCACTTACTATACCTAAATAGGCCTAGCATGATGCACACTAACTAGTATGTTTATCTACTTATTTATATCTACTAGAGAGGAGCTAGGGTAAGAGAATTTAGGCTATCTAGATATATATATAGGAACTGGGCCATGATTTGCCATAGGGTCAAATCAGTGTAGGTCTTTTGCCTCAGTGGTAAGTAGGCAGCCCAGTGTCTACTCATTACAGTAAGATTCTTAGGAAGGCTTAGTAGCTAAGGATTCTAGATCTTAGTATCCTAATTATAGACTAAAAAGAGATTAGTGCGTAACTAATAAGTTAGTCTAGAGAAAATCTTTAGGTATCTACTAGCCTAGTTTCCTATAATATATATTAGGGTATAGGTGCCCCCTATAGAGTAAAGTTCTTATAGTAGAATAGTTAAAAAGTAAATAAGCTAGAGGCTAGTTATTAGAAATATATAGAGATAATAAAGAGATAGGGTTCTGAGAAAGGCCTAATAGCTAAGGACCCTAAATTATAGTACCCTAATTATATAATAAAAATAGATTAGTTATCTTAACTAGTAAGTGTGATATCAGTGAATGAATATCATGAGTAGATTAATAATTATTAAGGTCAACCCTAGGTTACTAAGGTTAACCTAAGAAATCTCTATAATATCTATAACTTATCTTTTAGATAGATAGCTAGTAGCTAGATATAAATATAAGATCTTATCTTAGATAAATAAAAAGATATTAGCCTAGCTTATTTCTCTTTACTCTTAGTAATATTATCTTACCTATAGTAATACTATCTAGTAGTATATCTAAAGTTATAAATAATAAGAAATTAAATACTCTTACTTTATTAGATTTATATTTATCTTAATAAATATCTACTACTCTTCCCTATAAGTAACTACTAAATTTAAGCTAAAAGATAGTAGGGTAGTTATACTTAGTAAAAAGTTTTTATTATAGGAGAACTCTCTACTAAGCCCTACTAAGAGAGATAAAAATAAAATAAGATATAATAACTCTAGGCTAGAGAAGTATTACTTAGTTACTAAAATAAGTTTTAATAAAAAATAATCTCTATAAGATAATATCCTTAAACCTTCCTATTAAAACTACTAGTAATAACTAGCTATCTATAATAAATAATCCTACTAAGAATCTACTAAAGGATATAAGATAAGTCTTTACTAGATTATTTAAGATAGTAATTTAAGAAGTATTACTTACTAATATTAATATACTCTTCTAGAGTATTTATTAAAAATAATATAATAAATAAATACTACCTCTAAGATTATAAGAGATAAATTATTATTATAGATTATTATCTATCTTTAAGGTCTTAAATCTTACTCCTATCTTAGAGTATAAAGATATATATATAAGAGATACTACCTAAGAATAATAAAAAAGAGTTAAGGAATATTTTAAGGATATCTTATTAATAATAAGAAGAGTCCTCTCTAATCTAGAATATCTTATTATTATTAAGTAGAAACTTATAGGATATACTTATAAGAGGTAGAAAGTAGATAAAATCTAATTATAGATTAATCCTATATTAGTAATTACTAATATAGAAACCTTTTATATATAGCTGCTAAAGAACTTTAAGAAATATAATATAAATAATAAAAGATAAAAAGAATATAAAAGCCTTACCTAAGGTCTATAATCTATATAGTGGAATTACCATGGGTAAGGTAGTATCACCAGGGGTGAAGAGAATAGGCTGGGCTAATGCCTCTTTACTTACCTGGGGTAAGATCTTCTATTTATACCTAGCTACTGGCTATCTATCCAAAAGATAAGTCATAGATATTACAGAGATTTCTTAGGTTAACCTTAGTAACCTAGGGTTGACCTTAGTAGCCTAGGGTTAATCTTAATAATTATTAATCTACTTATAATATTTATTTACTAATATTACATCCTCCCCTACTTAAGGTAAAGCTTATCCTTAGTAGGTTATCTAGCTCCTTACCAAAAGGTCCTTATAGTCTAAGGGAGTAATATTATATATAGTAAGTAGGATTAGATTTACCCTTAGTAAGTAATATTAGATTATATTTAGTAAGTAGTATTAGATTATGCTTAGTAAGTAGTATTAGATCATGCTTAGTAAGTAGCATCAGATCATACTTAATAAGTAGTATTAGATTATGCTTAGTGGGTAGTATTAGATTATGCTTAGTAAGAAGGATTACTAGTATGATTATTATAGTAGAGATAAGATTATATATTATTTATTTTAATTTTAAGTAACTCTACTTTACCTTACTTATTTTTTTTTTATCTCTTATATTTCTTCTTCTCTTCTTCTTTTCTTCTCCTGTGAGCATCTTCTTTTTTATTATATTAATTACTATCTTCTTTTAGTTATATTAATCACTATCTTCTTTTAGTTATATTAATCACTATCTTCTTTTAGTAAACCTCTTTCTTTATATACTAGTCTTCTATATTCTTCTTATACTTAGTAAATATAAGTACCCTATAAAAGAAGAGTAAAGGCTATCTTATCTATTAAAAGAGTATAATTACTTTTAGTAAGTTTAGTAAGTATCCTTCCTAGCTTTAGTAATTACCTCTTACTAGTAGTAGAAGCTTATCTTAACAGGCCTGATAAAAGTATATTAAAGGTGATGGATATTATTTATCTAATTATCTAGAAGTTTAATAAGAAGGAGAAGCTAGATATAAAGGAATATACTTACTTAGGCTATATATTAGCTACTATTCTCTAGTAGTAAGGTGTATCTCATAATTATATATTAGCTTATAGTAATTATTTTTTAGATAAGGATCTCTTTAGGGGATGTATCTCTACTCCTAGTTATAATAGATTTATATTTTTTTAAGGGTCCTATGCTAACTATACTTAGAGTAACTAAAGATTAGTATATTTATTCTATATATAGAGTCTTTATATATAGGATTCTAATACTCTTAATAAGTATATATTCTTCTTAGTAAATATTTCTTATCTATAATTACTAATCTTTTTTACTCCTATAAACCTATTATTTAAGCTAGTAGTCTTAGTTTCCTTACTAATTATAATAATAAGTTATGTAATTAGCCTATAGAGTTAGTAGTAATAACTAATAATTATAGTAAGGAGTTAGATAATAGTGCTAGTAAAGGTTCTCTAAATAATAATAAATATATATAGTCTAGTATAAAAGATAATATTAATTCCCCTATAGTAGAGGTAAGTTCTTCTAGTATTTCTTATAGTAAAGGCTCTTCTCCTATAGTAGAGGAGGCTTTAGCTAAGAAGTATTATCTTTCTTTAAAATATTTTATAGTAGTAATAATTAGTCTAGCTAAAGAATATTATTCTATTATAATAATTCTCTTTTATTCTTAAGCTAATTCTTCTTTAGTAACTCTCTCTCTTACTTAAGGTAGTTTAGTTAGATTAACTCTCTCTCTCTCTTAGATTAGTTCTATTATAGTAACTCCTTATACTTTAGTAAGTATCTTATTAATAGCCCTAATAGGGAGTCTTATTAAGTATTATTCTTCTTTATTATTACTTAGTTATAAAAATCTCTTTAACAGAGTTTATATTTCCTAGCTAGTAAGTTATATTAACTAGGGTGATTATTATAATCCTTCTATAGTTCTTTAGGATCTTTAGGTATTTACTTATTATATTAAGGCTTACCTAGAGGAATTAGCACCTCCTCCTAGTAATAATAATAATTTATTCTAGTTAGCTAAGGCCTTATCTTATAGGGTTCTTAATATAAAGTTTAATTTAGACTTTTAATTAGTAATTATTTATTACTTTAGTTAATTAGTATAATTCTTAATACTTTATTATAATTAATTTTTCTTTATAATTAGTAAAATCTACTAGTCTATAATTCCTTTTCTTCTTCTTAGAAAAATAATTCTAGTATAGTACTATTTTCTAATCTACTTATATAAATATATTATCTTTATACTACTCTATTTACTCTTAATAAGAGGATATTATAACTATAAATAATTCTTTAAAATCTATCTCTTTAGTATTCTTTTAAGATATTAATTCTAAATTATTACTTTAAATTCTCTTCTAGTTCTTATTATCTAAAATAGTTAAGTCTTTACTATTCTATAGCTCTAGTAACTTTATTTATTATTATATAAGATAGCTATTTCTTACTAATTTTTATTTACTAATATATTAAGTTTTTTACTTACTTATTTTATATTATATCCCTAATCCCTCCCCTATTTATTATAAACTTTCTCCTAAATATTTTTATTTATTATATCCTTCTACTATGCACTATGATAGTTCTTTATATAATAATATTAGAGGGTTAATCTTATTAAGTATCTTTTATATTTTAATTAGATTAGAGATTAATAAGCCTACTTTTTATAGCCTAATATTAAGACTTATTAATATCTATAAGTATTATAGGTTATCTTCTACCTCTACTTTTATTAATCTCTATTTATTAATAAGGTTCTTTAGGTTATATCTACCTAGTTCCTATAATATATATATTCTAAGGGGGTAGGCCTTAATTATTTTATATAACTTAAATTACTTACTCTTAAACTTCTAAAGGCTCTTATTTTATATAAGGATCTATTAGCCTTCTCTAAAATAACTTTTTTTATTTAT